CCGGCATCAACGGCGTCCCCACGGCCCTCGTCTGACAGCCGTTTCGCCGGGCTGCCGCGGACGCGGACGCGGACATCGTTATCCGTGCCCGTAGCCGGGCACAGTGCACTAGCCATGTCCGGACCACCGACTGAACGACCTGTTCACCCAAAAGCCATCCTGAATGGATACGATACTGCTGTGTGGGTAGTGGTGACCAATTCCATTTCTTCATCTATTTGTATTTCCGGGCCTGCGAGCATGCCCGCCTGAAGGCCTGGTAAGTCAGTTTGGCTGGCCGGTGAGCTGGCCGGATAGCTTCCCGCCTTATCAGCTTATATTTTTACCATTCTGGGCACCTCTTGTGTTATCTTAATGGCCCCAGTGAGTCAAGCTGCTACACATCAAGCAACGCCAGTCGCGTCAGTGCTTCTCAACAGCGCAGATCGATGCTAAGAACGGCTGCTGTTGTGACGGTGTGGCTGACAATTTGCAGCCCAAATCGAAATAGTGAACGAAGATCGTGCACGGAAGAAGGCTGTCACTCGACCTGTCAACTCCACTTCTGTGCTGTGGCTTGCTTCAGGAAATAGGGACAGTAACAGTGGCACTGTCGCGTAGCCTAGGTGGCTGGACCTGTATCCCAGCGCCCAGCATCTCCGACGATGTCTCGGACCCGCAACTAGCATTCGCGAATGCGATCATCATGCCATCGAAGCTGGAGCAGGATGTTGGCTCGAGCCCACTGCGGTCTAGTCCATGCCTGCGATGTGCGGACACGCAGGACACTCCTTGGATGTCCTGGGTAGACACTGCCCGGATGTAACCACTGGCTGGATATCCTGTGGATCCGAGGTTCGAGCGAGCGAGCTTCTCAACTTGGAATAGGTGATACAGGACCTTGTTGGACCGGTAAACGACGTGCAGGACATGACATTGTGTTCGTCCGCTGCAAATCGCCGGCTCTATTGTCCCGACTCCGAGTCCCCAGGGCGGTGTGGGGTTGTGGGCCTTGCGGTTAGACCGCATCCCAACCGGATGGGTACCAGAGCCCTGATGCTCCCAATGTTTGGACTAGAGACTGGCTACACGGTGATCAACCGACCGTCATTGGCTGCTGCATAACCGACGTCTTGGGACCACCAAGTCCGCCCAGGACTTTCGAAGCCCTACAGAAGCAGAGGACGGTTGCAGCGCATATTTGGCTGCGCCAGTGGAACTGCAGCTAAAATATCCGAACGTGATCGCTTGATGTGCAGAGGTTGAGTCTATCACACCGCGCAGCCGCATTGTGAGGATTTCATGCGAGATTTCCCCTCAGTGTACCCAGCCCGGGGTTTATTAATGACAATACCGCTTATGACGATGCTGGCCAGGCCATTTTCACTTGTGGCTGCCTATCGTACGATCTGTGGAGTTCACCAAAAGGTCCATACCGCGATGTCCATATCGGTTTCAGGGGATGCACCTCAGCAGTAGAAATGCATCGTCAGCACCTAATCTCCATTGCTATCGTCGGGAAGGCTTGCAATTGATGCCGGGGTCATCACCACCTCCTTGGCAATAGACTGCCATCCATCCCATCCCACAGTCTGTTGTGGGCAGTAGAGGCGCATGATAAGCCCACGGTAAGCGAGTGGCCTTCTGGCATGGTGGCTACCGACGTGCATCGTGGCCATGTGGCTTTGTTATTTTTGTCGCCGCGTTAGCTCCTTCGCGTGACGGGTGTCTGGGCAGAAAGCGGTGGCTAACGGAGTGATGGTGAGGCACAACCGACGGCCCGCTGCGGAGGATGATTGAGTGATCTCGGGTGATATGTCGTACACGACTGCGAGACAAGGCGGTCGACGATGTGATCTAAAATAAAGCAGCCCACTAGGAATCGATCGTCGTGTGGACGAGACTTCCAGGCAACAGAATTCCCTGCAACGAGACTCGACAATAGCAGTCGCCAGGGTTACATCAGACCTGCTGGGGATGCTTGCCAGTGGAACAGCTTGAGCACGGAGCAGGGACTGGTCCTGGATCAAGCAAGACCCTAGTGAGGGTGTGTCGATATCGAAACACATTAGGGCCTATGTTACTTTTTATGTGCTGAACCTCCACAAGACGCCCCGTCCACGCCTGCTTCGCAGCAACGAAATTAGTGTTTAAATGCGAGACTGGCAGTGGACGGAAGTGTGACGAGTTTGCGATCGTGATGTGAGAGCATGTACCGAACGACGGAAGGACGCGGGTAGTGAGTGGGTATCGCTTTGCTGTGGTTCTGCGTCATTGCGACCGTTCCATGTCTTTGGCAACTTGATGCCAATGACACACAGATGACTGACGCCCACAAAAATGAACATTCTGTCCTTTAACCAATGAAGTAATGGTCGCATCCAGAGAGACCTGAAATGCCAGCACGTCACGCAAGCTCGAAATGCGTGTTTCAGTCGGGGCTGGGAGACCACGTTGACCAGCCAAATGCCAAACGGTGGCCTCTCTCCACTGATTAGACGCCATGGTGGCCAGTCAACCCCCTCTGTCACCGTGGGAATCAGCGAGCAGATCTACTGATGGTGTTTGCTTGCTGAGCTCACCCAGGTGATCGTTCGCTAGGTCAACACCGAGGTACACTGTTGGGATGGCGTGGTCACAGTCCCATGGCAACCGACAAGTCCAGCTTGTTTTGTGGCCCTCGTGTCTATCATTTCCATTCCCAGGGATGCTGGCATAGGAACCGAACCGGCGACGATAGGACCTCTCCGGGCCCGGCTGAGCCCCGAGGGTGAGCCAGGGACCCTAGACGGCGACATCTATCGTAACGCTTTGATGTAACACAGTCGTCTACACATGCTTGAATAACAATCTGTCAGGATGTCCGTGTGTGAATGAAGTAGTTGACCGTCGTCGAATGGACTCTGCCACACCATGTACAGGAAGCTTTTTTTCCCACCTCGGGGTTTGAAGTTGTCAGGAAGGGAGGAAATTAAAACACGACTCGTCAAAGCCCTGATTGCTACAGTGCCATCGCTCCTTCAGGAGAGAGAGATCATGAGATATCTTTTTCTGCATGAGAGGTGCTGTGGCGTGCAACACGTTGTTCACAGTTTCTTCAAAGTCCCTAAACACTGCGCTTTATGCAGGGCATATGTGACGAGGTGACCAAAGGCGTGGCGACAGAAAAGAGAGCCTACAAGAACGGCATAGTACACCCAATGCAAAATCCACGGGGAAAACATTTGAAGGGGATGGTTCGAGGTTAGCACTGTCGTTGGCTGACGAGTTCCATGGCTGGGTTGCCAGCCCATGCATGACAACCTCGAGGGCTGTAGGAGCGACCCGTTTGGCCGATGCTCGCGAAAGAGGTGCTCCCCTCGTCGATCTTGGGAGCCCCATGTCCAGGTGCCCCCCAAGTCACCAAGTGATTGGAAGTCGAGGGGCGTGATTGATCGATTGAGCCTGGCGTGGGCCCGGGACATGTGCAGTTCGGAGTCGAGTGTCATAATCGTGACAGCACAGTGTTCCACCACGAATGAGGATTGATGTCTGACTCGACGGCTAGTTGATTAACCGAATTGCTAGTAGTTTTGACAAGGCTCCCCGTGAAAAGTCAACGGCCATGAAGCGTCGCCGTTGTGGCATTTCTTGGCGATCTCAGAGACTATTGCTCCTTCTGTCAGACAGCACGCGATGGATGGAGCAGAAGGAGACGTCGTGGCTTGCAAAATGACCCGCTGGCGGCTCGAGCGCGAATCAGTGGTGATCCAGATGCTCTAACGGTATCGTAAGGTTCTGACACTATCCCACACATGCGTGCCATCATGGGCTGGCCACCATTTGAATAGAGGTGATCTAGTCGGTGCGCAAGTGACGGGCCGAGACTGGGAGTACAGGATCAGTCCAAAGTCAACAAGTTCTTGCTAAGGCCATGGAAGGTGTCGGGTCCTTGGTTCTTGATTCTTGTCCCAGGAGCAAGACCAACCATGTCAGGCAGGTCGGTAGATACGGAGCAGGTCCAGACGACAGAGGCTGGCGTTGACGGGGAAGCTAACGCAGCGGCTGCATCTCGCATGACAAAAACTGTGCTGAGCATCGACGCATTGGCAGGGTGGACATGCCTGCGATGCGTGAGTCGAGGATATCACGCGGCGGTGAGGATGAGCACGGATGGCAGACGTTGAAAGTTGGAGGGAGGCAGGGACGGAGCAGAGAGAGGCTCGATGATGGGATTGGGATGTTAGTTGGGGTTTGGAGTGGGGCCCAGCGTTCCGAGTGGGCCAGATGCAAGCACAGACAGGTGCAGACAGGTGCAGGCAGGGCAGACCTTAAGCGCGGGCGCTTAATTGACTTGCTACATAGCGCACTGGCTGCAGTTACACCAGCACGAGTTGGCAGTCGCGACAGGCGTCTAGCCTAGCTCCACGCACGGGGCAACGAGTCAACATCAACATTCAACACCAACACCACCACCACCACTACCACCCATCAACATCCATCATCATCAACGCCAGCACATCCTCAAACATCAAACACCCCCCCCACCACCATAACCATCACTGTGGCCACCGCCAACCACCGACCACCAGATCAGAACCTGCAGATTTGACAAATGACCTTGGGTTGCATGACTCGCCACATCTCAGCTTCGACAGGCGCGGGATGCGAAAGGATTGCATCGAACTGCATCAAGATTGCATCGCACATTGGCGTGAGGAACTGGAACTCCCGCATCAAGACTGGCCAACCAAGCAACGTCTGTCGGTCTGTGTTTGAGGAGGCACCTCTCTGCATATTGTGAGGGTGGTTGCTGTCCACTATCTCCAGCGGCGTCGAGGAGGATTGGACCGCGCTGACCGACCGACTGCCTCTACACAAGGGACAGGTTCCTGGAGGAGAAGGGAGAGAGACTCATCCCAGCCATGCCGAGCGGTCCTTGCTAGTGATTCAGGCTCATTTGCTGCAGCATTCGAGTCTCATCTGCAGGTGGTCACCAGTCCGTCACCCTGCTAGCACACACACGCACACACAAGGGCAGCATGGCCACCCAAGTCGCACAGTCTCCCCGCTCTCAGTGGAGGGCGAAAAGGAGCCAGGTCTTCCGGTCTGTGTTTCCTACTGAAACCTCGCTGTCGACACCACAATCCAACACATCCCAGCCATTCTCTGGGCATCATGCAGAGTCATCCAAGATTCTTTCCCCCGTCACGGCCTCGTTCCTCCTGGCTCCTTTGACGTCTCAGAGGCACATTCCCGACCAGAATGCTGGTCCAGGTGTTTTCAGAGGTGCAGATGAGCAGACCACCTTCAACCGCGCTTGGCACACTGTCACCACGGCGTTGCAGCTGCCAACTTCTGCGTCGGGCCAAGACTCGTTCGGGGTTCTGCCTCCGGAATCGCCATTCCAGTCCCATGAGGATGAGGTCGCATTCAATGCCGCGCTTCAGGTGGTGCTGCAGGTTCCTCAGCTAGGGACCGGCCATGACCACACCATCCTGGTCTGGCATAGCCATCAAGCTAGACGGCATTTCATTCAGCACGTAGACCCTCTACTGGCCACAATACCTGCCACCGGCATCTCGAGGAGTCAGGACAAGACGAAGTTTTACAACGATCATCTTGTTATCATCGAGAATGCAGTGCACATACTGGAGGCTGCGTTGCGGTGGTACTTCTACTCCCTGTCCTTGATACTGCGCGGAGTCCAGCGCAGAGACCACCCAAGGGCACTGGCCAGGAGCTCAGAGGCCATAGTGACTAGGTTCCGACGAGATATACATGCACTGATCAGCAACTCAGCTGGTCCAATCATGCCATCGCTACGCGTAGTACTGGATGTTCTCACGGAACAAACACTCCAATTACCCAAGGCCGAGCCTAAGCTCAGTAGCCATGAGGATGTAAGAGCGGACAGCAGTGAGGCCGATAATGCAAGAGGGCGGCTCTTGCACCTGGTCGAGGCTCTGTCACAGGTTGGACTTGCGGGCGAGGGTTTTCAAGGCTTGTTCGCCGAGGTCATGGATCGAAACATGCGAGAGTACGTCCGTCGGTCCTATGCAAAAGTCTGGAAAATCTCTCCAGGAAACACTCGAGGCCTTGCTGGCCTGGACAAAGGCGTGGCCAAGTCCATGAACCTCACTCAAACATCTTGGTGTATTGTGACTCTCTGCCACTGGATAGAGAACCACTTCGCTCGCCTAGCTTTGGAGGTACGCAGTCGTACCGACGGGTCTGGTTCAAAAGCGAAGATCGCTGTGCCCCTGGCAGAACTTCAGCAGTGGAAGGAAGTTGCTATCGGTCACATTGCTGGGCTGCGGATCTCGGAGTTGTTCGACATTGTTCTCCAGTGGCCATCCAGCAAGGGAGCCCTAGATGACCTCAAGGCCAGTGTCACTACCCCTGAACGGCGGCGGCAATTGACAGACTCCTTTTCTGCGGCGCTCCAAAAGCGACTTTTACACCCTGCCCGGTCCACACTAGACATATTGCGAGTTTACATCTCCATGATTCGTACTTTTCACGCTTTGGATCATTCTAAGGTGCTTCTGAGCCGGGTAGTCCCGTCACTCCAACTTTATCTGATCCAGCGAGAAGATGCCGTCCGTATTGTGGTCACAGGCTTGCTCGCCAGCCCAGAGGAGGTGGAGGAGGCCCAGAAGGGCACGTCTTCTCCCAAGGAGATGGGATCCGGCACCGAGGGCGGCGGCAAGCTGGTCGAACTTGCCATACTTCTTAACGATCCGGATCAACAACGGCGGGTAGAAGTTGACGACGAAGACCTAGATTGGGACGACATGAAATGGGTGCCTGATCCCGTTGACGCAGGTGTCAATTACAAACGTCCCAGGTCCGAGGACGTTATTGGCACGCTGATCAGCACTCTTGGAGCCGAAGATGTCTTCATCAAGGAGTTCCAGACAATCATCGCGGACAATCTGCTATCCACGCAGACAGGATTCGCGCAGGAGCAAAAGGTGCTGGACCTTCTGAAGAAGCGGTTCGGCGAATCTGCCCTCCAAAATTGCGAGGTCATGATTAAAGACATCTTTGACTCCCGCAAAGTCGACAGCATGATCCGGTTGGTAGAGTTGGGCCAGCCAACTCAGGCCCCTCGTGTGTTCGGTACGCCGACGCCTACACCCGCGTATGTCAGCGTCGGTCAGCAGCTGGATATCGACGAAGAGAAACAAGGCCTGCTGCCATATCAAGCACGCATTCTATCCCGTCTCTACTGGCCAAACATCGTCCAGGAGACTTTCACTCTCCCGCCGCCTGTCGCAGAACAACAGGAGAGGTACGGAATGGGCTACGAATATCTGAAGTCAGCACGAAAACTCACCTGGTTGAACCAGCTGGGCCAAGCCACTGTTGAACTGGAGCTTGAAGACCGTACCGTCAATGTCGAGTGTAAAACTTTTGAGGCGGCCGTCATCTATGCATTCCAGGATCAAGATGATACGGAAAGCGGAGAGCACAGCAGTCCAGCTCACCGGACCATCCAAGAAGTCCAGGAGCACCTCCAGATGGACGAGGAGCTCGTCCTACAAGCTCTCGAGTTCTGGGAATCTAAACAAGTCCTCGGCCGCTACCCCCACGATCAAGATACATTTGTCGTGCTCGAGCGCAGAGATCAGCCTCTCACCAGGCCTGAACTCCACCCTGCCGCTTCGGCACCGGCAGTCATGCAAGATGACCACGGGGCACAGCCGGGCGGCAAGCCGACCACCCTTAAGCGGGCGGGCACGACGAGCGCCATGGACGCCAAGGAGAACGAGAGGAGGGCCATGTACTGGCAGTTCATCGTGGGTATGCTGACCAACTCTATGCCCAACGCACCGTTGGGGCAGTTGGCTATGATGATGAGAATGCTGATCGCGGATGGGTTTTCCTGGAGCGACCAGGACCTGCAGGAGTTTCTGGCGGAGAAGGTGGAGCTTGGGGAGCTGGAGGTTGTTGGCGGCAAGTACAAGTTGGTGAAGAAGTGAGTTTGCTTTTGTAGCAGGACCCATCGAAGATACTTTTGCTGGGGAAATAGATGCTGGAATTGGAGTCGTAGGCTTGCTAGATACCCTGAATTGAACATCTTCAACATGCCTGAAGCCATTCAGAAGGATGAGTCTATTTCAAAACACAAGCGACCACCTACCTTAAAATTGCCTAATCCCAGAACTGATATTTCCCGAGACCGAAGCCATGCCTTGAGCTCGTGTGGCACCATAGCCAACATTATATGATCCCGGTAAAATGCTGCATCTCAAGACCATAATCTTCACAGAAGCTATCATTGTCACCTGGAAGTTGTTTGATAAGGAATTGTTTATGAGTAAACATGGTAGATCTACTGTCCCCAACCGAAAGTATGGCCCCATGGCGAAGGACAGTGCCTCAAGGGTCGACAGCTTGCCCTGTACAAATGTAAACAACAGTAGACAAGCTCGTGGGTATCTTACATCATCAATGGAATGGCATCACGAAATCCTCGCCGACCTTCTCAGATCCTATGCACCATCCTCCCAAAATCCCACGGATCAGAACTCAGACCTCCTTGACGCCCTCCGAGAAGGGGTGGCTCCCCCTAGACCAAACCCAGAGCGCCGACTGGCCTGCTTCCGCAGCTCGGCGTCCTCGCGGGCGCGCTGCTCGGCCCTCCACAGCTGGCGCACGCGCTCGTCGCTGGCGTCGCCGTTGATGACGCGGCGGCTGTAGATGAAGGGCTTCGGCCCGCCCGGGTAGCGGCCCTTCTTCACCTTCTTCTTGCGCGAGAAGTACGTCCACGTCACGTAGAAGCCGTGGATGTGGCCCGGTATCACGCCACAGAGGAACCAGAGCGTGTTCACTAGGGCGTCCATGCCTACGCCTGCGACGAGCATCACTGAGAGGGGCGGTACTTTGGGGGGTGTCAGTGGGGTTGAGCTGGTAGGGAGGGGAGAGGGGTGTCTGGGGAAATGGACTTACGGAATACGTTCACCAACGTGAGCGTGATTCTTTCGAGGAATATGCGCATCTTGTCGACGTGATGGCCTCCGCAAGACTCAGTGGTGTGGTCTGTTGCCTGGCCTCAAGGGCTGATGGACTCAAGTTGACGATCTATCCACGATCAATAACCCGAGAAGTTATCGTGTCTGTCATGTAGCAGGGCAAGCGTAATATCAAGGGTCAGATATCATCTAGGCGAAGAATAGTGGAGAGATCAACTTATGCCCACGATATCGTTCCAGAGCTCTGCATGTTCCAGACCACACGGAGCTCAGGGCACGGAGCGGGCCGTCCAACCGAGTCATCTGCTAAGCCCACTCACTCAGGCAAGTCCAAAGCTTTGATAAGACCAAAACTTGGAAATCTTGCCTGCACCCCTGGCGCGCCTTGGTCGTGCTGGCAGGCTGGCAAGCCCCATGACGAACGACTGCGACCGTGATGCGACGTTGAGTAGCTGGCCAGGCTGGGCCATCGTTGGTGCCAAGAGCCACTGAGTGACGTCACTTGGCATTTTGAGCCTCAGCTGATCCAGACCCTGATTTTTCGTTCGGTGTCAGCCAGCGCGAACTACATCAGTATCATACTACAGCTGAAAGATTAGATGCGATTTGTTGATTATCAGGCCTACGATATCCAGACAACACTGCTTTTTGACAATGATGTGCCCAAGTCTACAGCTCGCAGACGTGGACCACAGCTAGGGTTAGGAATATGGCAAAAGGGGGGGGGGGGTGGTTCCAGCTCATCTAAGGCACTGAGTAAGGATGAAGGCATTCTGTCTTTTTGTTTATTATAAATAGCTCATAATGCACAATATCTATCCCTCATGTATAGAGGCAGCCCGACTGGTCATTGATCTCGATGAGCGATCTCTTGGAGCCAAGCTCAACCGCACGTGTGATAAGAGCCTGCAGAACGGAGTCAGTACAACTGTCTCAATGTGAGATGAGATTGACGTGCTTACATCGAGTTTGGACTCAGTGACATTCTGCTCACGGCTCAGGACGAACAGCGTCGCGAAATCCGGCGACTGCACAATAGCATAGTCGTCCACAACATATTCTTGAGAGGTGTGTTAGCTGAAGAGCCCGTAGGAAATTCTGTCCCATGTGATTTTTGTTGCGCTGCACTTACCTTGTACAATATAGTTTGGTCCTGGGCAGGTATTGCTGGCGTTGAAGAAGGTGACCTCGAACGCACCAGCCTCGCCATAAACGGCGTCGACAGGAGTTGCCGAGCCCGTGATGGTGATTGGCAGGCCCAATGCCTGGCACTGGTTTTTCACACCAACTGTCCCATCGTCGTTGAGGGTGTAGTCTGCTGTGATGCACTTGCAGCCGGCAGTGAAGATGGCTTCATAGCCTGCGACTTGATACCACGTGCCCAGGTAAGACGCCAGGTCAAAAGTTGAGACAGACTTGGGGTAAAAGCAAGTGCTACGGAAAATTGTTAACTATGGCCTTCGGTGATCAACAAGACACGGTCCGATGGCCACGTGCGTGTGACAGAACAGGGACCGGGCCGAACCAAGGTGTAGGAGGCCGGGCTGGCTTGAGGCGAAGGCGAGGCTTACCCATCCCAGAGAGCTGACACAACGTTTGTGCCATTGGATGTGACTCCTTGTCGGGACTGCAGGGGAGACGCGGCGGCGGCGGCTGCCAACCAGACAAGAGAGCTCACAACGGACGTGGCGTGCATCTTGAATCAATGGAAAAATGAGAATAGTTGCGATGTCCCGATGCTTACTTTGCAGTGCCGATTAACCAACGTAAGAGAAGCCACACAATGTTGTCGCAATACAGTCCCTTTATATCTCGACATCTTCACTTGACGTGACCGTCAACGATATTGCTCGCACTCGCTTAACGCCTTCCCCTCCGCTTAGGTCAAGGTTCTGGTTGGGGTGAAGCAACAGTGACAGAAGCAAAGCTGCCGTCTTGGCCCTCAGCCTTGCCCAGCGCCCCGGCACAGGATATCCACACCGGCGGGGCCGCGATGACGGAACCGTGACTGCTACCTCTACGCATCGGAACGAAACATGGGGATCGATTTCGGCGCGCTGCAGCAAAGCCGAGAACATGAGAGCTCCACATGCCGCTGCACAATCGGTTGTCGATTCCGGGCGCTGGGGATGCGGAGGCGTTGGCTGTGTTGGGAAGCCAGGTCCGTTGACAGGCCCACTCGTGGAAGTATAAGTTGTCCGAGGTCCGACCTCACACACTTACATACACCAACAGACCGCTGGTTAATGATGAAGGCCGAGAAAATTCGTCGCATTGGCCAGATGGGTTTGTTGAACTAGTTTTATGTCTGTGGCTAAATCAAGCGAGCTATTTGATTAGTGACGGCTACATTTTCTCAGAAGGCCCAGGAGATGGACACGTGAATGTAAGCATTGTACAAGTAAATCCGGTGCGTCTTTGCGTTGCGTGCACTGCCAATTCCCGGCGAGTCTTCGAATACAATGAATGTTTGATACTGCTATGTAGCACGAGTGGGATCGAAATGGTTGCGTGGAGATTTCATTAGCAGGCGAATCGATGACTTCGAGCCGAGTCACATTGGTCATGGCGAGGTCGATAGCACAGATTAGTGCGTCTTCACTTCTGTGGGTAATTTTTCACCCTGGGGGCGGGGGCTTGCTTATTCGCGTCAAGGAATATCAAGGAATCACGCCGACCGGCAACATCCGCGCAGATCGCGAGCATGCCAGCAAATCAACTGGAGAGGGGCTTGCAGTCTGATCATGCACTAAGAGCCATCGCGGGATTTTGCAATAGAGCATATGGACCTGATCTTTGGCTGCTTCTGTGGAATGACAGGCGATGGGATTGGTTCCAAGAAGAATTGAGACCGCAACAATATACTATTCTCAAAAACATTGTGTTTATATTTCAGGAGCTGTTGCTACTGAATCTCAGCGTTCCATCTCTAGGTCCTCATCGATAGGCTGAACGAGTGATTCTCATATACGGTTTTCTTAAGTGACACATAGCCACCAAAGACGAGGTTTGAAACCCCGATAAGTTTTCTTAACCCCAGACCACATATATGCAGTTTAGGGAACCTCGCCATCCAACGTCTTCACCACATGCTGCTCTTCCGTCCCCTCTGGCCACAACTCTGGACCTGGCATGGTGTAATTACTAATCTTGGTCCAAAAATCCGGAATCAACACCCCAGGAGATGTATTTACATACGCCCCGGGGAATTTGGCAAGCGGACCCGGCACGCCCGTCCCGTCCTCAGATTCCACAAGAACTTGGGCACAACCGACATAGAATTGCGCATTATTCAGCTTGTGTGCCGCATGAAGGGCGAGTCCCTCAGCACGGATGAGGTACTCGCCTGAGGGCAGTGACGCGGGAAGAGGGAAGCGGAAGCTGTGAATTTTGGCCGTTGCCCAGATGATGCCGTTATTGGGGTCTATCGCCGGCTCCGGGGAGGTGCTAGTCGAGTTCGGGGCGAGCTTGTAGCTCGCCGCGTAAATCTTCGCCCAGTCACCTGAGCCGTCGTAGTCTGCCGCTGAGAAGCCGTCCGGGACGCGGGAGATGTACACCTGCTGCACGCCCGGGTGGCCGAATGTTGAGGCGATCTTGAACCCAAGCTCGGCGCCGGCTTGAACTGTCAAGGTCTCGGTGCCTAGGGCTGTGCCGGACGCGCCGCCTGAGTTGCAGCGCATGTATGTGCTGTTGACAATTTGCAGGGGTGCGTTGGAGATGTTGCTTTGGCGGACATATTGGTAGGGCTCGCCGATCACCTCACCTTCCACAATGAGGTTGGTGTATGTCCAGTGGGCTAAGGCAGAGCCGGGCAGGAGGCTCGCTGCCAGAAAGAAGAGGGGGAACAGCGTGTGATGCATTATTTATTCAGAGATTCTCCAGTTTCGTAAATTTCAATAGAGGTTTGAGCGTGGTAGGAAACCTCTCACCAGGTGTCCATTGTCCTCTGCATCTTATACTGAGAACGCCAAACATGGTTCACTCCGTGGCCTTTCGTAAACTGTCGAGGGATGCATACGACACGAAAGTTCAAAGTGCGTGATTGGCTTCGTATGCAGATTGCAGCAAGTCGAGCGGTTAACTCGTAGGAACAACTTCCGTTTAAGCGTCACTTGTGAGCCGATCCTTGTTGTCTCGACGTGCTCATGGTGATCATTGCTCAACTCAGTCTATGCATATTTAACAGCCAGACTAAATATATTGCTCTGCGTCAACACACTGCATTTGTTGCCACCTTGTTGAAAACTTTCCCCCAACCAGAATCAAATGATGAGGTATAGCGCAGCCGGGTGCCCGTCTTCGTCTTTCAGTGTGCGCCACGGGAGCAGCGGTGATCTGTATCTGCAACTCGCTGGAAATCGCGCGGGAAAGTCCGAGCCAAGGGGGATCTTGCTGTATTCGAATGCCATGTCACGTGGTCCTGTCCGGTATTCTCTTCTGCATAGTGGGAAAAGGGAAGTGGGGGGGGGGGGTGTCAAATCATGTTCCAGTTAGTGTAGACAAAGAGAGGCAGGGGTCATCTGCAACAATCCCAGGACTCAAAGCCCGAGCTATATGTGGATTCTAAATCAATCGTGCGGACTGTTCATAGAGTTTGTAGATTTCCAGCCGTCGAGCTACCAGATTTGAACTTGAAAACAACCGGGATATTTTTCAGCAGAGACTGATGCCTTCGAACCGTGTCGTACTCCGCGCATTATTTCGCATTCTATGGGGACGAAGTACGGTGTCAAAGACGAGTGGAAAGTAAAAACAGGATATTACTTCATAGATTTGCTGTCACTAGAGTATGGGCATTCCCAGTCAAAGGAGATGTGGTGTTTTGTTGGGCAGCACGGGATTCTTAGAGTTGCCGGAGTTGATTGAGCTCATAGCGCTGCACATGGACGAACCTCTGTTCCTGAGATTCCCTTCTGAAGTGTATTGTCAATGGATAATTCATTATATTGGGTCTGGGTCGGCTGCTCTTTCTGCTTTGGACGGAGGGCGATGTTATAGTGGGCAGCATTTCCAGTTTCGTCGTGAAAAGGTCTCGGGGATGTTCAATGTCGGACAAGCCTTGAAGGGAAGCGGGCAGCTCGGAGGCGTGTGGGACCGATATCGAGGTCATAGGCATTCTGACGTGACGCTGAAGGATAGCGGTAGTCAAGAAGGCGTTGCTGCTGTAAGCGATTCCCTAATGGTGCGTGTTGTGCCATCATCTCCCTTGAGCCGTTCCAGAAGTGACTGCGGCTGCTGTTCCGTACCCTCTTTACTTCATAGAGAAGGTAGGTTCATGACAGCCGTCTTCGGTCTTCAGAACAATTCTTTCCAAACGGCAATTTCTTGCTCTTCAAGCTGAACTCCATAGACCCTAAAGGTCGCCTTTGGTCCAGGGTTTCATGCGCGGGTGATAATTAGGCCCTCGAACGCTTCGAATTCGTTCAAAAGTATCTGCATAATAGGTCTGAAAGGTACCAAAAGTTGAAGTCTGTTTGGTTTTCTGCGATTGCTACAATTCACTCCCAAGTACCGATAATTTGATTCATGCTACCGAGGGAGCGGTGGGCAGGGTTGTGCATGGGCATCTGGTACGTGCTTGCGCCTGTGCGGAAGCGCTTGTGATCCTGTCAGATCCCCTTAGTGAGCTCGCACAGCTGCTGGAAATTTTTGACGCTGGACGATCTGGGGACGCTCGACACGAAGATCCGAAACGTGATTCAACACTGGGTGTCAAGTTGCCTCAAAAAGTCGTCGAATCATGACTCTCGCCGGTAATCCATGAGATGCCCCTTCTTGGTGCTGCCAATGTACATTTCGGCCCTCTGTCATTCTTGATTTCAGTCAAATGTAATGGGGTCTGGTCCCTTGCTGAGTTCTTAAAGCGGGCTGGAATTCTCATACTTTATAGAAACTAAGGCGCTCGACATCGAAGAGTTGAAATGCAATTTCGTACTCGGCATTAGACTTGTCTAGGAGGTTCTCTGAAGGGCGGCGCAGCGGCATTTCTAATGCTTAGGGGCCGTTGTGGGACTGGATAATCACCGTGGATAGAGCTGTGGCGGCACAGAGCGGCCAAATGTCATGCCTTCTCAAAGTCCTCCTGGGTGTCCTATGCACCGGCGCTCTGTTGTTGCTGCATGATGGCAGCCGCAGACATGGTGTTGCGACCCAATCTCTGTCGATCGGCAACTGGGAACAACAGGCCGCACCGGTCCCGTCTGATCTTGTTCAAGTCTTCATGTCCAATGAATGCGATAGCGCAGTCCTCGAGCTCGAACGAGAAGATCCGTGCATGCCGATTGTCTCCCATTGACTCCAGGTCAAAGTCAACCCGATTTTGAAGACAGGCTCGTTACCATGATCGAAGACTCGAAAATGACTTTTAAGCCATGTTGATCGTGACGATCTTTGGAAATGGCTGCAAATTCAGGAGCTTCGTCGGGTTAGTGGTCTTCGAAACTTTCTCAGCCGTAGCAAATGAATAGTCGGGTGCTGTCACAGCCTTTGCCAGGAGAGATGGAGAATGCGGCCAAGCCAGCTGAGTATCGTTGGAGAATGGGGATGAAGCGAAACCTATAATTAGCACTTAAATCCATAGACCGGAATGGCTTGGATCACTGAGATTCAGCCTGAGAACGACCACCGTGAACACAAGAGAATCCATCATCAGGCTCAGATTCATGTGCAGGTTCTTCATGGCCATAATAGGCTCAAGGCTGGCCACGTCTGGTGTGAAAGCCGCAGTAGTACTCGACGATGATCTCAATGCAATGCAGGGGCTTGGGATATCCCGTGGCGAACATGCGAAGGGCCTTGACGATATGCTGGATCATGGGGTGCAGCAGGGTGTATATGCGATGAAGATTTCCGAAGTAACTCTCTCTCTTTCTGAGAAAGTCCATAGAGCATCAGATGCCTCCGGTAAAAAGTTCTCTGTCATATTTGGGGTGGCATTGAATTTGGATCACATTGGCCTTGGTCTCGGCGAGCGTGTACGCAGGCGTGGTGCTGCTTGTGTACGCCGGTCTCGACAAGGACACCGTTCTAAGTCAGCTTCCAGGTCTCATCCACGTTGAGGGCATCGCAGATGTCGCTCTCTGGATTGTCTCTGATCATGTACACGGTCTTGATCGGTTTCTTTGCATCTGGCTTGATCTTCTTGTGGTACTTCTGCAGCACCTGTTCCGCAAATTTCAATGTTGTTGATGTCGGCTTTCCGCACGTCCACGACTACAGGTCGGCCTGGCCCTTTGTGACTGCGGTCCGGATCCGTGAGTGCTTCACTGAACCGACTGTCAGCAAGCGAGTCGTCTTCTTTGGTGTTGTTTACTACTATTAGGGTTAGTCAGCCTGAATTTTGATAGTATAGATTCGAAAGTGTTACGGTTCTCAGCAAATCGACTTACCTACCTTCAAGTCGGGGTTGCACCAGAAATTGAGAGGCTGTCCGTCCTGTTGGTAGCCGTGATTAAGAAACTTGGGTTTTCGTTGAGCATTGGTCTTTTCCGAGACCACGCTGAGTGACTTAGAAAAATTGGTCAGATGCGAAGATCAAAAAGGTTCGGAGTTTCCCTGAGGGTAATCGTGTACCCCATTTGGTCTCTGGTGGTCGACTAGGGCAAGCCAGACAACTTTTGCTCCATAGTCATCTGGACAGCCCAGATCAGACCGTCATGGGTCGAACCACCCTGGCGAGCTTGGGCCTAGACACACGTCTTGTTGACACTAAAGGTTATCAGGCGGACATCCTTTTTGGGGGCCATCCCAACCAGTTGCAGCAAGACGCCTTCGTTCTAACTAATTTTGCGCAGCAGCCGATCAAATTGTTATACAATCATGAATAGTCCATCCCAGTATTGTTTTTATTTTCTCTCCTTAGTCTAGCAGCTTCTCCGGGTCATCAGGCGATCCCACCTGGTGGCTGGCATTGCCCACAGCGGTGCTTCTCTGGTTCTGCATTCGCGTCTTGACAATGTCGATCGGGTATACCATGAAGGCGTCGGAAGTGTCGGTCTGAAAGCCGAGGGCAAAGTTATACCCGGGCTCCAGAGCCGAGCAATATACCAATATAGATGCAGCTGTCGGACACTTGAGAAAAGCCGGCTTATTTGTTGGCCACTCGCCAAATGAGTCCTCAAGTTTGGGATGTGGTCGAAGCGAAGATGAAGTCCGAAAGGCGGCCCAGAAGGTGTGGTATTTACAGGATCTGGAGTCGCCGAATGGTCTGACACATGGGACCTAGCAGCTCGAGATATTCTCAAACTCCAGTTTATCTCGGCAGCTGGGGCGTGAGGTCACCAGCTTGGATGACCATTTCTTTATTTGTCGCATCGACATCTTGAATTTAAGAGAACCAATGGCCCTCTGACGTTATCGGCGCCTTTTCCTTATTCATGGGGACAAGAGCTCGTGACTTTCCTTGCCATTAGTTAGGAATGAGGTGGGATATGGTCGATCGTTCAGAACAAAATGGCGAGGCGCCCAAGGAGCCAAGGCAGGATTCGTTATTTTCCTTGCATAACTCACGAGTTCAATGTAAATAGAACTTCTATGAGTGGTTCGAGCTGATGTTGTATGTGGTGGCGAGACGTTTGACCACATTTATCATCTCAGAAAACGCGGCAACATCGTCGCTTAGGAAGGCCGGAGATATAAGTTCCATGCTTAGCCAATGTCCTCTGATGTTATCAGGAGGGACGAGACTGTAGTCCCCCGCGGTCCAAATAATGAAATGCCCCGCCTTGCTTTGGTCGAAGACGTTGTGAGTGACAGGTCATACTGCTGTACGCCCTGCTTACCGCGTTCATATCTTTTTCGCCTTGTTTAGAGTTTATCGGGAAAATGGACGGCCATTGGTCCCGCGGCATTGCGAGCATTAGTACTTTGCTTCATTGTCTCGAATCTCAGTCTCCGATCTAGGGACTTCAAGACGAGACCTATGCAGTCAAATTTGCGGCACTCCGGTCGAGTTATTAGAGTGTGTGACAAAAGAAATGAGGGTCGATCAAAGCCAAAAGGATGTTGTTGGTGCCAGCAGGCCGGAACAAAGCTTAACACGACTGAAGAAGGCTTGATATGTGTTAGTACCGATATTCAACTAGAATTAACTGGGGAGAATGATGCCACTCACAAGCTATGTTGTTGGGGAAAGGGAGCATTACGCGTGTTTCGATGCAAAATAATGCTCCCGTGGGAGCCTATTTTGTTCAATTCTCTTGGGCGGCAGGCCACCCCAGAAATCTGATCCCCGGCTCATGCTCTGTCGGGTTCCCTGCCTTTTCGAGGCCTATTTGGGCCATCCCCTTAGACTTCCACATGCCCAAAACAAGGCGAACAGACGCCAAGCAGCTCAAGTCTGAACCAACACCCCGAGGCTATACGGGACCTTCCGGAAGCTCGTGGCTTGATTCAAGTGAAAAACTTAGATCCAAAGACACCGTCGCTAGTGCTGCTGCTGCCAACGGGATCCAACGGTATTCGAGATGCAGATTCCGTCTCGGCCTCGGAGATGTCATAATTCTTGAGTTCGGCCTTAAAGTCTTGATTTTGACCTCCTGGCTTCAGCGCCCGGGTCTTTTCCTCGTCTTGCTGGTAGAAGGCGGGATTTCTTGGTTTCCTCGGCGAGAACGAAGCGCATTTCGCAGACGTACTCTGTTCCGCCATGATTTGATAGTTTGGTCAGCGGACGGTGGTATATAGATCTTGGAAGAATACTAATGGTCACTCGCGTTGAATATAGCCTAGTGTCCCAGCCCGTTCCTTTGGGTAAGCAAGCACCTCTGAAGACTTCAGTATCTAGGCGAAGTAGATGCAACCGCTGTCCATATTCAAGTCCCGATGACATGTGATTTAATAGCGAGCACACCGTTGCAGAGTATCTGTGCTGGCCGTTTGGCGGAAGATGGACTCCGCCAGCAGCAGGAAGCGCGGAATTTGCTGGTATTCGTCGTATAGTGTCCACTGGCAGTACGCGTACGACACACCCTATCTGTAGTGCTTCGGGGCTTGGGCCACGGCGGACTCAAATGATTTGGCCACGACCAGCTCGTGCGTGACGATACGCTTGAGCTCTGATGCAAAAGTATGCCCGGGAGGTGGAGGCCACCAGAGATCCGGCCGTAGGACATGCTTTTACCCAGTCTCGAGCAGAGGTGAATACAAGGCCGCTGCAATCTGTTCCTCGTGAGAAAAGTCATCGGGGACATTTCCATGCTCGTCATGGTAGCTCGATGTCATCTGAGCATCAGTTGAGGAGTGTAGGAGGCTGCGAGTCTGCGACATATCTTAAATAGTCGTCCGATCCTCTTGCTGGTCGTATACGTTCGTGGCGCGAAGCGGTGCCGGGGAGCGGGAGAGGCCGACCAGACATGCTTCAGAGGATCCTGGATTACGGGTCTGCTGCCGATGGTGTCAACGCAGGCACTCGGATTCAAACAATCCTGACACCAGAGTCTTGCCAGATCATAGCTCGATGACTCCTCGTGAAAAGGGAGTGTTTCGAGTGGGGAAGGGACTCGGTCTCTTCAATAGAAAACATAGTTTACTCCAATGAACCGCAAACAAGGATGACGAGGCTCAATTTGTGCCGCCCCCACAGCTAAGCAGCACAGCCTTTCCGGGCTGTCTGGAAAAGCGGCCTCAATGTGAATGCTGTGTGGGTACCAAGCACGTCTTTCAGCGTCTTTGCCGTGACACTATTTCTCCCACGTACCACGATTCAATCATTCTTAAACTTCTCCACGACCATCTTGAATGGGGTTTGGCTCTGGACGAAGTGGTCCTCCTCAGTTAGGACGCCGAGTCTCTGATCAACGCGCTTTGCGTGGTCCGCTTCTATCAGACTCTCTCCACTTGTGAGGAGGATAAGGGGACGCATTCTCTCTGGTAATAAAGAGCATGAATGATACTACCCTCATCTCTGGCGAAGGTGGCGGGTCATTTTGATTTCCCGAGAGCTCCTTTGAGCTTGGGTACCGTGATATGGGACCAAATCAGGTTACCTTGGCCGGGCATCACTGTTGGAGGGCGCAGTGCCGTTTGAGGTAGTTTCGCCATTAACGGCGGTATCGCCGTTGAATTAGCACTGCTCCTTGTGGCAGTCATCAAATCAGATAGACATCAAATTACGCCGACTCGAGTTGAGGTGACAATTCCATGTTCGGAGTCACATTTTAATATCATCTCGAATCAATGGCCGGCCAGACGTGCAGGTGGCATTGGATTTAGCATTGGTTTGAACATGAGGAAGACCATGGCCAAGGTTGTCGGGGTCAGTACTCAGTGCTCCTCGTGTCTGTGACGCTCTGATGATGCAGCTTGTCGAAGGTATCTCGTTGATGAGAGACATCGCCTCCTGTGCACATGCTTGTGCCGTTAAGACGACGAGGCTTCCTTTGTTACTTCTGTTCTCCATTCAGTTGAGCAGTTTCGCCGCTCAAGGGATTGCTAGTGGTCGGATATTTCGTCAAGATCTCCAGATGCGCGGACCTCTTCCAGACTGTGTGGTGTGAGGAGTTCAACGTTGGTATGGGCTGGCTGAAGAGTAGCAACGAGTTTTTCGTGAGAAGACAGAGGGTTGTGTGATTTGTCCAAGTATCACTGCGAGGCGATTAGCATCTTGTAGTAAACAGAGAGAAGGTTTAGTTTCCTGTTTCGAATAGCGACCTACTTTCACTGGGTCCACCCGGACCCATTGGTTATGTAAAATGCCGTTGGAAAGCAACGGATGGAAGATGGTCCGAAGAAATCCCCGATTCTTTCTGCAAAACAATCAGTATGTTATTTAGCGACAAAAGGCGCGAGGAATCCATATCTGGGTACTGACTTAAGTTTGCAAGCAGCGGAGCTCCGCCATGAACTGCGCCGTAAGAGCTGGGGTTCGCTTGTACCCGGCCTGGTGGGTACTGGTTGGATGAGAACCACCAGGTTCTGTACGGATGAAATTATGGGGTACGGTGTCTATCCCTAGAGATGTTCAAATGTTGAAGTAGCTTTTGTCTCTAGCCAAGTAGCCATGACGGTCTGCTGGCTGTTGGTGAGCATTCAGCCGTTGATTAGAGAATGCTGCTAAGCAAGGAGGCGAATTTCTGTTTGATGCCTTCCTGATGTCCAGTGGAATAGACACCGGAAGCCATGGCGTGGCTCAACTTCAATATTGATGAAAATTTGTGCCATCTTAGCCTACGAGGCTTGGACAAGCACCTTGCAATACCATGAACGAGCCAGCACAGACCATGACTATCCTTCCCGCATGGTAAGAAGCTTCCTGAGTTATCCCCGAGCTGTAGATGGGGAGCTCCGGTGAGACTGGGATATTGTTCGGCGATGTATCTGTGCCAGTTGAGCTAGTGATGTCTCGCCGATGTTCAAATTCGATTAGAATTTCGAGCTCAATCCCGTAGAAAATGGTTGACGCCATCTTGGCGAGTTGAGTAAAAATCTCCATTGGGGATGACTGCAAACGACTGCTGGGTCTGATGGGTGCTGGTCGGACTCATGCTGTCGAAACAAACAGCAGCACTTCTGCTCAGTAAGTCGAGGATTGTCTGGATGTGGTCGGATTCCGCAGGGGAAGATTATCTCGCCAGCATTCATTCGAGGTTTAGTGAGAGCCTCGATACCCTCTGCCACCGTCTAGGGATTAGATTTATCTGTAGAGCTGCGCAGTCCGGAACCGCCATCAAGAAGGCGGATAATGGCATCAACAAACAAGCTGAAGACTGGTAATCGCGGCCGCGGCCCAAAAAATGTACACTAATCATTGCAGTTGGGAGGCTTTTGAGGAAGGATTTCTCATTAATGAGCCCTGCGCCAATGAGCCGTACACATAGTCGGTTCTATCGCTCCTGTATGCCGGCACTGCCTTTTCTGTGTTGAGACTTTCGAGTTGAAGGAGACTTGTACTCGTTGCTGATGCTGTAGACCGTGTGGACAACTTCGCAGCTTCCTCTTTAGTCATGAGTAGCATGTGCGCCTTGTCTACTCCCTGGGCTGCCTCACGAGCCGCTACGCGGTCGAGGGCTTTGGCCAGCTCATTGGTACCGCCGCGCATTTCCTGGCGATTGAGGATATCGGCGTTGTTAGTGATAATGGTGAGATTCATTTTGAATTTGTGATGAGGTATGTCGAGGGGACTTTTTAGGCATGCGGAAGTGGTGCTGAGAGCAGGGCGAGACGCCGGCCCTGGAAGGCCACAGTTGTATGTATTTCTGTTCCAAGGCGTCGATTGTGGTATTTCTGTATTCAACGTTCGAAAAACTTCCGAGGTATTGTAGATTATCTAGGGCTTTCCCGGCTTCCCGATCATACACCAAGGCGTCTTGATGGTGCGGATTTGGAACAGTCGGCGGGGAAGAGAAAGACTCAGTCCAGGGACGGGTTATTTGGGGATCTGTCATGGATTCCAGCGTTCGGACTGAAATTGGCTATGTTTGGGAGAACGTGAACAAGTTCAAGAAATTGTAGGCAAGTCAGTCGTGTTTGTTTGCCGGTGCTTAAAGTATTTTGAAGGTTGGTATGTCGACGTATCGTTGATTTACAGTCGTGCTCAACTCTGAAGATCGTAATGAGGTCTTCTGGTTCTAGCAATATTTGGAAAATGAAGATGTGAACTTTGGCCAAGACAGCTCCTCGCTTTCGACTGTAAAAGCAGCAGCTGTCGTCCACAGCTTCAACCTGAGAGCTGGGCGTCCAGCGTTCCGGTACTAGGCGATGTCGCCCAGCTGGCGTCTCATTTCTTCGCGGGCAGCATTATTAGTGGCGTCGGTTTTGTCCGTGGCGCCCTTGATCTGAGGGACAACATCTCAGAGCGTGGTCATGATACTAACTCTCGTGTGGATCTGTGCCACAGTTCTGCCCCAGGCCACGGCTGGGAGAAGAGGCTCTCGCGACTCGAGATGAGGGATAGTAGTCTTTGGCGGAGGCGTGGGAGGCACATTGGGCAGAGGGCACACCGAGTGAGGGCCAGACTGGAATGAAATTGTGGTCATTCTGCTGACAGCGCTGCCTATCTGACTGACTCCCGTGATTGTTGGGATTGGGAAGCCGAGAGGCAAAGTATGCTGACTCCTGTGCTCATAGCCAAGGTGGCCCCGCCGGTTAAGATGGCCATGCAAAGGCTGGAAATTGAAGAGCTGAACATGAAAGTTGACACTAAGCTGAATTAATCTCTCAAGCCGAGCAGCCTGACGAGGCGCTTTTTGCTGTGAAAGGGTGATGGCTGCTCTCTCATGATGGCCAGGACGTTCAGGACGGTGAATAGGAGTTGTGAGAGGTTGAGAGAGCTTGTATTGGATGATATCCACCTGAATAGTGTTTTTCAGTTGGTGCGGTCGGCGGCGGAATTGGAGAGGTGTCCATGATGAAGATTCGGTAAACATTTTATAGACCGAAGAGATGTCGGATCACCTGGCCTAGACGAACCACTAGAGATGGGCCAATGAGGAGGAAGGTGGTTGAGAGTGCCATGACGGAGACTTGCGACAGTGGGGTTTTAGTTTACCACAGTTGGTCTGAAGAGCCCAATGCAATCGTCCGGCGACACTTGTCTCAGGTACTGACAAAAGAGGAGCACGACACTTCCAGTAGGTCTGAACAGGGTCGACCAGGCCCTCAAAGTCACCAGTCAACAGAATCTTTTGATCGAGCGCCAACAAGTCCACGGAGGTTTCTTGGTGTCTGAACATTCGAACCTCCTCTTTTTCCAGGTTCCAAATCAGCTTCTCTGGGGAGTCTGAACATGGATCATATTCGTACTCCAGCTGCAAGATGCACAGCTTGGCCTCTCGGGCCGCCATGATGCTATTAGCATCTGTGATCTTGGAGAGATGCAGAGCCATAATCGCCAGTTTATCGTCTCGCTGAAGAATTCCAGCACGAAATCCCGGGTTAACGACCAAATATTGCCACTCAGTAATCATCTTCATTTTCGACATCAAGCTCCTCGCGCTTCTGGGCTTGCGCTCATGGTATCTTTGGGGCTTGAGCTATTAAGCCGGACTTTCTTAAGACCTGGCGGAGATGAGCCATAGCTTGAAGCATGACCTTTCCGACCGGAAGTACTTGCTAAGCATCTTCAGGGTTTCATCGTTTCTTTCCGGATCGTGGTGACCATGTGAATTTAGCCCAGTCGTAGTAAGCACCATGGTTGCACATGCGCTTGAGAGATTTTGGCTCTTTGAAGTCTTTCCCAGAAAGTGAACAAGGCTCTTAAGGCGTCTAAGCTGCCCCAGATGTCTCGCAAGCTGTGATTGGCGTTCTTTGCCGTGTTGTGTGGGCCGTTGAGAGTTTTCACGACCATATTAGAGCCAAAGAAATGACCAACAGTCGCACAATCGGCGACGAACAAGTCAATGTGGTAGGTTGTCCTCTGGAACGCTTGTTTTATCTTCGCCATTCTTCGGGTTTGCGGCATTTGTACTCCAGAGACCTGTCTGCATGCCATGAAACCAGACAGTCATGCTGAGAGGAGCCGCCGGTTGCTACGAGAAGAGTTCGGTTCTTCGCGCATCCACTCCAGGAAAGACAGTCCACGTCAGCCAAACTTAGAAAGCTCCTCTGAGCTGGGAACACTAGGCCTTCGTCTAGCCTAGGCGGTCTGGATATTCACCGGGGCGGATGAAAATCTCCCAATAGCTTGAGAAGGGGCTTGCTCCGCTGGACTGAGAAGTCCTGTGTCGACTGTTGACTGAGTCATGAAAGGGTCGTCACGGCAAGACCGAAAGTTCCTTCAAGAGCCGTCACCATCTTCGATGTGTGATTATCCATTCCCGGACCCAATGCAGTGGAAGTCATATGTGCCTTGAGTATAGCCCAACGAGCCCCTTGTGCGGTTGCAAAAGCCACATCAAGCGCAGTGAAAAATTTTCTTTGAGGCGTCAGATAAAACTGCCGAGATTTATTAAGCCCAGAATCCTTACCAATTGTAGGAATTGAGCCATCATAGGCGAAGTGTGCTCTCTTGTTCGTTGAACTTCTCTGCCGGTGCCATGAAGCCAACCTAGTGCATCGTGCTTGATGGAAGGGAAGCCCCGATTGACTGAGTCCAATGATAGGTGGTTCACGTGTGGAAACTTGGAAGTATCAGGGCTGCATCTTCATAGTCTTTCAGAAGACCTCCAGGATATGCTGGCTGATTTTCTGCAGAGTCATGATGCTCCGCAGCCGTCCTAGATCGATGGCAGGGGAAGCACGTGGTGTCCGCAGCGAGAATTGTCTCTAGCAGTGGGTCAGCACATATTCAGCGCCAACTTCACGTCCTTGGTGGTGTCCTCTTACGAGTGGCGTCGATGAAGGCAGTTGTAAAGCATGATTTTGATGGTAGATGGCAGTGTCTTGGATGACGAATGACGATATGAGGCTTACTTGAACACTGGAATGGCGCAAATATCGTTTGCCACGGTGTTTTCTGGAGTAGTCTTGGTGAATATCAAGCAAACGATGTGGATAGACGAAGAGAAGCCATGATCACCAACGTAGGCTTTTATTTAGGAGATGATGGGGAGAAGTAAAGATGGGAGAAACGGTTGCTTGTTCCATGGTGCGGACTTAGGTATCGTTGAGGATGTTGGAAATGGAAAGGAAAGGAGTACAAGTTAGTCGTTTGTCGACGCAGACTTTTATGCTTGAAGAGATGATGAGAAGGAAAAGGAAAGAAGAAAGGATTCGTCTGCTGGTGCTGAGGGTTTAAATACTTTTCTGAGAGCTGGGAACCCAAGGGCTGATTCCCATTCGTAGGGCAGGCATATATGAGATCGCAGGATTCGTACCAATTAGCTCGCTTACTTTCAGGGCTTCAATCAAGAGGATAATATGGAATGTTCATACCGCTGAATTCTATTCGCCGGCACAGACGCAGAGTTCGATGGGACCGCGGGATAATCTAAATCGAAAGGAGAGAAGACCAATAGGACCTTCCTGCTTATCAATTGATCACAGCTTGTGATGGGATCGCGAAGTCTCACGGCATGGCAAAACGAGAGCACCAATGACATCTTACAGAATGATTCTATGAAAGCACGTGATAGGATCGTGGGAATGTAATGAGACCGCGGGAGTGCGATGGGACCGCGAGATTCCGAGGTTCTGTGAGCAAATGTTCACCAGGGAAGAGAAGGCAAGATTCCGGTATGTTCCGAGCACATCTAGGGAGCTTAATAGCGCTAATCCATCTTTCCGCCTTCACCCATGTATCAAAAATTATATTGCTTCTTAGTGAGCAGATCATAGTGCCTGGAGTGCTCTAGATAAGTGCTATAGATTCGTCCACTGGAGACAAGTCCCATTCTTCGGGTGCTGCTGACGATGATTTGTAAGGCAAGTGAAGACCTGCGTCAAACATATTTCAAAAGTGTGTGTAAATGAAGCACAGCTCGTAAAAAATTGCCAAGAGAACCCCCTGTCGTGAATGAGGCATAGTTCGTACCTGAAATGCTGTGAAATAGTCAAAACACAATATTTGAAAGCAGACAAATGGCACAAGGTGAGTTTGATCTATGCAAATGCAAGCAAGGATGCAGGAAGACACTGCGGTCCGGGAAAGATTGATGAACCGTGTATCTAGCCTCATTTTTCATCTGGACATCCAGATTTCCTTAGGAATCTGTTTAGCGATGGACTAGGAGTTTGGAGAAATCACAGGCTATGAAGAGGGTCCTCGGAAAATGGACCATGACAAATTGAATCAAAAGTGAAAGAGCATGGATCCAGGCCTAGAGAGAAGATTGTTTATTCCATCTGCAGATCGAGGAATGAAACCAAAAAGGAGAGAAGAAAGGAAAAGGGATTCATGCCGACGCTGCGAAAGGCTCCAGAAATTTGTCACTGAAATCGGAATGCCCTCATGGCCAGTTCTCGACTCGTAGGTCATATCCTGTCAATCACGACAGACTCTGTAACCCTTCAGTGTAAAATGAACTCTTCCTTCGTCCCATTCACAATGGCTTCACCATCCATGTAGCCGTGAACGTAAGCATCTCCAACAAAGCGGTACTCTTGAGTACGTTGTCCGTCACGATCTGGAGCACTGAAGCCTTCCGGGCGGAGCAAAACAGGGGTCGAGCATCCGTATGGCACGACTACAATATCTCCGCGGGCCATTGCCCCTGAGCCAAGCCCCAAATCCCCCGAATCCGTGATGCAGAAGCAGCGGCCCATCATGTACTCGGCAAAATTGTCCTGGAGGAACTGGCGAGTGATCTCAGGCTCCATGTCATCGCCCATGTCGGAAAACGCCATCAGATCCTCATCGATGGGCAGCCTAGGTAGCCGGGCTTTGATAAGATTCGAAAAGACGCAGTAGCATTTTTCCAACCATGCTTTTTCTAGATCGGACAAATCAGACCTTTTGCTGTCGGTGTTCGTCCGGATTGGCTGTCCGAGGCTGAGAGTCAGGCAAAAACGGCGCTGGTGCTCGCAGAGGCTCACACGCTGGCGGCGTTCTGCATTGTTGCTCTCCGACCCAGATGTAAGCTCAAAGTACTGCAATAGCAGTGCCCTCCATTGCAGAAAAGCCATGCAGTAGTCCACTGCTCGGGAGTGCGTGTTGACGGTCATGCCATGGTTTGAGATCGACCCGATGCGAACCCCAGCAAATACCAGCTTGTTCCGCCTCGGCGGATCCCAGTCATCTTCAACATACCGATGCTCGGCAGGAAGCGCTTCACTAGCCGAGAAAGAGAGCGGAAAGCTTGCGAGTGACTGCGTCGTGGGATCATACGACCAGTCAGGTACCCAGGATGGAAGGCTGGCGCTGCTAATTTGTGGAGGAAAATGAATAGATTCACACAACACATCTAGGCTGCGTGACCGCATCATGATCATTTCCACAATGTCGATGTATATGTCTTTGATGGGGAGGCGGTAGTCGACCCTGATCCCACGGCGTATCCGGGCAGGAAGAAGGCCGAGGACTCCATAGACCCGATCTTTGGGGTCTGTTGCTAATTTGTTTCTGCTGAGTCGCATCAAAAAGAGAGTATACAACGGACTGTCAACTCCATAGACCTTGCGTGCCTGTTGCAAGTGCAATATACTCGCCGGTCCATGATGAATGAGAACCTGCGAGGGACTCAACCGATGCTGAGAGGTTATGTATCGAGTGGCACTATGTCTCTCGTTTAAAAGGGATTCAAGTCTGTCTGCAGAGTCTTTTGACTGGAAAATCGTGGAGCATTGGGTGTAGGCATCCCAGGAGAGCCGAGAAGAGCCACAAAGAACCACAATATTCCTAGCATGCAGTATCTCTTGGACAACCCAGAGTCGGCTCCAGTAATCACGGTCGAAGAGTGAAACAACGGATTTGAGGCCCAGAGGTTCATTCAAGCTCTTTTTGGCATTTGAAAGATCCTGCAAGAGCTCTTGAGCCTGTTCAGAGTCGTCCTCCTCTACCCCTAGCCAGACGACAACCTGTTTCGCCTCACTGTATATATCACATATTAGGGGCAATTGCTGGTTCTTTTCCAGATCGTCCTGCTGGTTAATACACACAGAGTCTGCCCAGACCAGGATATCCTCTTCCTGATCTCTTAGGGCATCCAAGGCGGCGCAAAGACTGACTGGTACCTTCAGCCACCCTTGTTCTCTGCCCCGTACGATAGAGATGTCACGAGTACATCCGGGATCGCCCCACGCATATGAGATGGCCTTATACGGCGGCGGGTTTTGAGAATGGATTGTGATGAGTTCGTAGTCGATTCTGGTCGAGTTCGACGAAAAGATCTTGAAGAGCCTTATCCAAGGCTCCTCGGTTGACGTGGGAGGTGAACCTGGTGGCTTTGGGTCCCTTATTGGAACATACTGGTATTCGCGTCTCGGCTTCTGTTTGTGATCGCTACCTGAAGGGTTTGATGGAGGCAGAACGAGAATGCTCCGTAGATCTCCGTCCGTTTCCTCAAGCCGTGGTGCAAGCCGAGGCCGCGGTCTTCGTTTCTTGCGCGACTCACTCATCCTCGAAGTCCCACATTGACCTTGTTGCCCTATGAAAATTAAGAGGATGAAACAAAGACGGGAACTCTAAGATAGACACGCCTCGAGGCTGCTCCCTGCTTGCTCTCGCCTTACTTAAGGTAGGCTGACGGTCAGCACACCTAGGTACCTCAGTGAGTTGCCTGCTGGGACGACGTTGGTAGGGTTAGGGGCAGCGTCAATAGTAAGCGCCGATAAGGCGATAAGCTACAGCCAGCAGCCGCGCCAAAAGATCTTTGAGAGCTCGCCTGCGACAAAGCTTCTCAACCCAGCCGAAAGGGCCACAAGCAGGCAGTCAATCACGATTGCCGCAACCCTCAATCCGCCGTCGCAATGAGCAGACCGCTCCTCCGCTCCGCACTGGAGCTGCGAAATCCCGCATCACGCCTGCCACCGACCTTCCTTCTGCCCATCCGAGCGCGATGGATCAGCTCGACACACCAGCACATCGAGTCCGCCTCGACGACCGCGACGACGCCACCATCTAGCGGCTCCCCTCTCGAGGCATCGCGCACCCAGCAGACTTCAGCGACTATACACGCCAAAGCAGCGGCTGCCGCCGCGACAGCAACAGCAGCAGCACGCCAAGCAGTGCACTCGAACACGCCCAAGCCACGCGCGCCGCCCACGCAGCCTCCACCACAACCGACCGGCCCAATCCCCCAGTCCGTCAAGGACATGCTGCCGCTGCTGCGGGCACAGCCGGGCGGGCACTACATCACGCTGCACATCCACGGGCGGCCGTACCTGGTGACGCCGGGGGACACGGTCCGGCTGCCGTTCCTGATGCCGGGCGTGCAGCCGGGCGACGTGCTGCGGCTGAACCGGGCGTCGGTGCTGGGGTCGCGCGACCTGACGCTGCTGCCGGACGAGGCCGGGGAGCGCAACCTGCGGAACGGCGAGGTCGCGTACGTCGACGAGCGGCTGTACGAGTGCCGCGCCGTGGTCGTCGGCGTCGACAGCGAGCCCATGCGCACCAAGGAGAAGACCAAGCGGCGCAACCGCAAGGTCAAGACTGTGCGGAGCAAGCACCGGTACACGGTCCTGCGGGTCAGCGAGCTGAGGATCAAGGCGCCGGAGGAGCTTGAGGAGTAGAGGGACGGGTGGGTGAAGTTGCTCTCGATCGGCTGGCTGGCCATGTATGTCTGGGCTGGTCGCTGGGGGGAAAACACGTGTGGGAACCTGGTGCAATTGCGATTCAAAGGACTGCATGTACTCTACCAGGTCAGCTCTTGAAGCAGTCGGACTGAGCCAGCGAAGGGTGAGATGGCTACGCGTGAAGCCGACGACGTCTGGAAATTCATAACTGTACAAATCGCGGTCTCACAAGTGGGACACATATCTAATTCGCCTTGGCAAGCGGTATCGGGTGCTGGAAAATTTGTATGATATCAATCAAAAGTACTGCCATGCCGAATTTGGCGCATTCAACAGACAGCACGAGAAACCGGGCATGTTGATTCGCGGACCGAGCCGAAGACCACCAGGCGAGAGACACCGTCCGTTGGAGAATCAAAAGCCAACAGCTCGTTCACGGTCTGAAACTGAGAACACTCCTATTTGAGTCACAGAGATGCGCAGCAAAAAAGGTTCTTTCATCAGCAATCGCTGAGCAGTATATTATAAATAGACATCAAGCTTGAAACCCTAAAGGGAATAAAGAAAAAAAGACCGTGGGTCTATACAGGTGTGGTATCAAAAAGGGACAAGAAACGTGCTAGACAGCCAACTCGTGAGATGCGTGCTGCTGCTTTTCTGGGGGGAATATCGAGGAGAATAAGAAAACAAACAACCGCTGCCAATCCAACAAACTCTTCATCACTTTCTTTAACCCCTCATAACCAATCCATGGGTCCAATTTGCTCTTTGCTCTTTATTTTATCATCAATCGTCATCACCAAGTTCAAAGATAAACACATCCAACCCCCTACCGTGCGTACAAGCCTCTCCCGGCAAAGCACAACACAGCGGACATATCGCCCCGCACACAACAAAAGTACTGTAAAATCGCTACAGCGGTTGCGACTACCGCCTCTCCCCATCGCTCTGCTTAGCCTCGATGGCCTTGCGCACGCTGGTCCAGTACGCAGAAGGCCAAGCCTTGATGGCCTCGCCGTCAGTCGGCATCCTGTCGCGGCAGCGCGTGACGACGCTCTGGATGATGCGGCCCAGCAGCTCCTCGGTGATGGGCAGGCTGTCGGCGGCGCCCATGACGTCGCTGGCGTACTCGATCGGGTACAGGAACCCGTCGTCCTCGCTCAGCAGCTGCGCGCATGACGGCCGCGCGTGCTGGTCCCGGTCGAGGCACTTCTTGAGCGTGCGCAGGAGGCTCGGCGGCACCTTAACGCCGCCGAGGCCCTTCTCCGGAAACTCAATCTTGTGGTTCCAATTGATGATGGCCTGGCAGCGCGCCATCTGGTTCTGGATGTGCCCAAACGGCGAGTTGCCGTATACCATCTGGTACAGGATGCACCCAAGACTCCACACGTCGGACGGTTTGCCCAGCTTCATGAGCTTGGGGCCCCTTGGCCCATGCCAGTATCTCCCGCCGTTCGCGGAGGTAAATGCATAGTGGCTTGAGTCCATCAAACTCTCAGGGCTCATATAGCTCGGCGTGCCGACCTGCGTCTCGCGGTGTACGTTGACAGTTTCTTCGGTCTGGATGGCGTTCGCAATACCGAAATCAATAAGTTTCAGGCGGCCTTGAACCAACACGAAATTGGCGGGCTTGAGGTCGCTGTGCACAATGTCGTGAGCGTGCACGGCGGCGAGGCATTCAAGCATTTCTTTCCAATAGTAGCGGATGAACACAGGATCAAGTTTCGCTCCCTCCGGATTCTGCCGGACTCTCAGGAGAGTGTTGAGGTCCAATTCACCCATCTCCATAAGCTAGAAACCAGGCAAAGTCAGCGCATGCTCACCAGATGTGTTGAAGAAAGATAGGAAGAGATGTGTTAGAGGGTTAGGAGGGTGTACTCACGACACTAAGAACGTGCTTCTCCTCATTGAGCTCGAAATCATAGAGCTGGATGACACGTTCCACGTTGGTCAGCTTTTGAAGCAAGCTAATCTCGCCCTTGTAGCCCTTGAGCATCGTCTCGTCGGCGTTCTCAATGTTGACTCTCTTCAGGGCAAACATCTTGCCATTTTCAGCAGTAACCCTGTAGACCTTCGCACTGCCACCGCGCCCTATGCAGTCTACCCTTTGATATGACCGCCCGTTGACTTTGAGAATGATGCTCCTCTTCTTCGCGGCTTCTTTGGCAGTGGCAGCCCCGCCTGTTGCAGTAGCTGCATCCAGAACACTCATCTTCGGCGGTGGAGGTGGCGCAGGTCGCTGCATTGGTATCACAACGTGCGGTGTCTTTTGAACATTCTGGCTGAGGGATGCCAGTATCGGGCGCTCTGGCGAAACAGCTCGCGGGATTGCTCTGGAGCCAATCTCAACAAGGCTAGGCGACCGAAGCAGTTTCTTGTCCTGGTCCTTGTCAGAGAAGATGCTGACCGACGGTCTCCGTCTCTCAAAAGCCGAAGGGGCAGGCATTTCGTTCTCCTGGTCGTGTGTTGACGGTATCTCTAGAGGTGCTCTGGCGGCTTCCTCCCGTGCTGCCTCAATCACTTTGTGGGCCTCACTCAAGGACGCCGCCCTGAGATCTGCGTGTGATTGCCTGCGACTCCCAGCTCTCAACTCCTTGCTGCTAACGGGACTGCCGGATGCCGCAAAGTCGCGGTACCCCGACTCATAAAATGATGATGCTTGCGGTTCTGCGCCGCTGCGGCCAACTTCAGGTGGTGGATAGTCGTCTTGCTCGTGACCGTACATCATTTCACCTTCTTCGTTCTCTCTAGCCACCCTGTCCTCCTCGCTCTCGCGTCTCCTACCGCGGCGAGCAGGCCCACTGAGAAAACTGCCAGGAATCTTGCCAAGTCTCTTGACCCGCATAGAGCCCTGGGCGTTCTGCTCTTCTCTCGATTTGACGCTGGCGCTGCCGCCAAATCTCGAGACGCTGCCCATGGCTGACTGTGGACGGGGGGCTGTCTGAGGCTCTTCGGGGCCCTCATGATCACTGCGCATGGAGGACCCGGCGCTTCTTGATGCGAACCCAGAGGAGTTGCCAATCGACTGGCGTTTGTGTGACGACCCAATGGCAATCTGCACTCGGCGGACAGGCTGGGCCGGGGTGTTGATGTCTTCATCCTCGACTGGCGCGGCGGCGCCGGCGCTGTGCACACTCTCGTCCACGTCGCCGGCACGGCTTTCTGGTCGTCTCGTGGTCGAGGTGGACAGCGACCTCCTCAGTCGGCCAGGCTGCACAGGTGCCACACTGGGTGGGTTACTGAGTCGAACAACTCGCTTGCGCGGTGCCGGGCTGCTATCCCTTGCGCGCGCGGGCGAGGTTTGTCGGGAAGGCGCGATTCCTCCTGCGGTGCTACTGGTCCTGGTATGGCGCCGAGTCTCCCTGAACGATCGATCGGGTTCAGGCACTGGCGCTGGCGCTGGCTCTCTGTCCTCCACGGCAGACGACGAATTCCTGGTGAGATAACTTCGTCTCCTGGTCATGACCCTAGGCTCAGGTTGATGACTGGGTGCATCATTAGCTCGACGCGTCGCTGAGGGCCCTGCAGCATCATTTGCGCCGCCATCGTTCAGTAGAGCTTTAGTCAGAGCGCTGAGCTTCATGGGCACTGGGATCTCGTCATCCGAGCTGTCGTGCATGGCATCATACTGTTGCTGTTGTTGTGGTTGAGATTCAGCGCGGTTGGCGCTCAGAGGTGCCTCTCGAGCACTTTGAACAGCGGGCTGAGATTCACTGCGACTGAATGCTGGGCGGGAAGTTGGTCGGCGCAAGGCCTGGCGCGCAGATGTTCTTCGGCCAAGGGACGTGAAGTGGCTCCCTGCGCCCATGGGTGTTGGTGATGCTGCTGACATTTCTGCGACTCAATTGATGCGTCGCTTCGATATCATGCAATGCGGCCCCTCCTCGTCCGTCACAAGCTCGGGGTAAAGGAACAGCTCCAGGATCCTTTAAGCAAAGTCGGTGTGGATCCGGTGAGCTGATGTTTGTTTATCTTGCTGTGGTACGCGTGTGCTCGTGATATAGGCTGGATTTAGGTTAGGAAAAGATACTTTGACGTGCCTCAGAGGTCCATGATCAAGGGATTAGCGATTAGAGAGCCGAGTGAAGCAATGTGCGTTGACCATCGAGAGTCAGAGGGCATCGCAGGAGACTGATGGAATTGGCATGCGACTCGAGTTTTGGGTGGGCCTGCGGATGGAGCTCCAATGTTATGGCGATGCCGCCAGGCCAATTGCAGCTGGCCCTGCCCGTTACCCCCGCAACGTCCGTCCACTTCAGGCAGTGACCTCCGTTTGCATGCTGGGATCAGCACCCATGTCTGCTCTCAGGTTCTTCGTAGGCCTGTCAAACTGCTTGCATGCCTTGGCTTTGTCCAACTGATTGATGACTTCACAATCTGCAACCAATTTAGAATTTGAGTTGAAAGATTCCAGATTCGAGATTGGCTTCCATGCGGCACGACAAGCACCTTGTTCTTCTAGAAGCCCAAGTCCCGTCACTTCGATTTAGAACGAAAATCAACTTAAGCGTAGAGTTCAAAATGCCCATCTCAACCGTGCCTTAAAGCTGCCAAATTTTTAAATTGATTTGCAAATGCAGTCATTGTCTCATGCACCCTGTTGTGCACTCTGCAGCCAACGTCCTCTGGCTCACCGTCCCGTCATGCATCCAAAAGTCCACACCACGAGTGATGCATCAATTCCTCCCATGTGCTGCTCTTCATGACCCGCCCGAGCTTCGCGATTCGACATTTTTTCCAGCGCTACATTCATCGTAAAATGGTACAAGAAGACGCCGGTATTTCGCGTACTTCAAGCCTGAGCTGTCACACCCGTGACCTATGTCCAATGATTGACGATGGTAGTGGATGCCGACCGAAAATCAGTTCCATAAAAACTGTACCTTACTACATACACGTGGTGCTGGCTGCTCGAGTGGTACCATGGAATGCTATGATTACAGTCACATCGAGTGTCAAGTCAGTCTTGGTAGATACGACAGGCACGAGTCTGCGCGGTCTCCTAGAGGCAGAGGACAGTTACGGCAAGCAGCAGCCGTGAGAAACATCTTGAGGCTGTCGCTGCGTCTGCACCACTTGCTTCAGGGCTTGTTGCATATGCGGCATCGTGGCGATCGTCTGTGAGAACCCGTTCTCGCCAAACCTATACGCGACACCTTGGCTGATCGTGCTGCGGGTGGGCATATGATCTCAAGGCTAGCACCGAGAACGTTATCCGGATGGCGAGAGTGGTGCTTTATGGTCACGGCAAACTCGACTCATTAAGCACAACACGTCGTTGGAGTACCCCAATATTCCGGAGAGGTCACGAAGCCTTATTTTGCCATTCATCATCTACTTGGATGCGACCGGCCACCATCCCAACCAAGACCTAAAAACCCATCAAACATCGTGGTATCATGATATCCCTAGGACCCTTGCTCTGGCATGAGTTGACCCGGCGTAATATGCTTGTAAGCACCTCCGAAAAATTGACACCAATGGCGAAGATTCGAGTTTGGCGCGAGACTTTAGGGCATTTAGTCGAAGAGACCGAATCCCATGTCGTCGTCGGACTCCTCCTTCTCTGTAGGAAATTGTCAGCGCGTGTCGCGTATCCTGTTAGAACTGGAGCCAGCTTACCCTCAGCCTTGGCCTCCTCCTTGGGAGCCTCAGCGGCACCGCCAGCAGCAGCACCGCCAGCGGCGGGGGCGGCGCCACCGGCACCGCCAGAGGGAACGGAAGCGAGCTTGGAGCTACCCTCAGAGATGAGCTGTAAAGCGTGATCCGTCAGCAATTTGTCCTCTATGTCAAGTCTTCCCCAGGTATTTCGTACCTCGTTGATGTCCTTGCCCTCGAGCTCAGACAGCAGCTTGCTCAGGCGGTCAGAGTCGGCCTCAATTCCAACGGAGTCGAGGACCTTCTTGACGTCGTCGGCGGAGGGCTTCTCGTTGCCGCCGAGGGTGAGGAGGAGGTAAGCTGCGAGGTGCTTCATTTTGATGTTTGTTGTCTGTGTGCGAGGACGTCTTGTTAGAGATTTGCGCGATGTATTGCGGGCGTCTTGCTGAGTGAGATAGCAAGGGGATAGCACTCACTGTTGATATTTGTAGAAGAACAGGAGAGTTCAATCGATTTAACCGCGTGGCGGAGACTGGCTCGTCGAGTTCTGAGAAGACGGGTGGGTGGTGATGAGTCTTTCGGCGAGATGGAGTGGACGTTCAATCAGATAGAAAAAGTTCACGACGATTAGGAAGTACTGTAGGCAGATTTTGGGGCGTGCAGGGGCCAGTTTGGTGGGTTGTGGCCCGAGCGCCCGCGTGGTCGCATTCCCCCCTTCAGAGCTGCCAGCTGGCAAGACAATCCTGGCAGCTGCGTCGCAGGCAGCTCCCTCCAGCCTGAAGTCCCGAACTCTAATCAAGGCCGCAACCGGATCCATCTGAGCTGACGCCCAATCAGCGTCAGGCCAGTTCGCAGTGGCACTCTCAGGCTTGGCAAAGAGCAATCCCGTCATTCGAGCGCAGCGCAAGGTAAGGCGGGAAAGGGCCACCCCCCCATTGATCCAAAAGCCATAAATACCCACGACGTCGACCTTCCCATCGCCCTGCCTGTCCTCTTCAACCTGCGTTCTTTGTCTACCCGTCCTGTTCGCCCTCTCCCGTCTGGCTTCGATCACCATCCGCCGGATTCCGCACCTCTCCCGCTTCTCGCGCTCTCAGCAGTGTCCGGCGTTCCTCAGGGCGTTCAGTCCCCTAATCTCCAGGCGGACAAACGATAAAGTGGTCGCGAGACCGCAAAAAGTCTGTTGGCTGTCACTCTCCAAAGGCGAAATCCCGACTCAGCCCGCCAGCAACCCGCGCAGATGACTCAACATCGATCGATGGCATGAAGCTATAGAGGCAAATTGTCTATTCTGAGGGTGGGATCAACGTTGGGAACGGGCCAAAGCCCTGGAAATCATTCAACATGCCGGTGAGTCACTTCTTCGTCTCGTCTCCCCCAAAACTGCCAGGTGTCGCATGCCCAAAGGCCCAAGGCCTCAGGCCCAACCAACGCCTTATGCCCATGTCTCTGCCGAGCTGACCCACGCCCACCACTGCAGATCGGCGACCTCCTCGCCTCTATTGAGGGGAAGCCTTCTGTGCCTTCGACGAAAGTATCGGCAAGACCAGGAAACGGGATTCCAGCCAAGAGGAAGGCTGAGGATGATGCCAGAGCTTCCGAACAGAAGCAACCTCGGTTAGGGTCCAACGCAAACGGGTCTGCCAGGTCGACTGGCGATGCATCCAAAGCATCACGCCCGGCCGAGCGATCCTCATCGGGCTACACTGGATCTGCAAGGTCATCTACCACGGCCACCAGCAACACACCAAGGCCCCTTACTGAGAAGTCGGCGTCGGCTGCCTCCAAAAAACCAGCGTTGACGACAAGCGGCAAACCCTCACCCACCACCCCCACCTTTCCAATCATCGGTCGATCTGCAACATCAACAAGCTCATCGCTTTCAAGACCTGCATCGACATCCAGAACTGCAAGTTCTGATGGCGTCGCCGAGTCCACTGCCAAGGCGCCTAAGAAAGGTTCCTATGCTGAGATCAAAGCTCGTGCAGCAGCCCAGGCACAGAAGCTGCAGACGATAGGGAAGATCCAGCACAGAGCCGTCGAGAAGCAGCCGACCAAGAAGGAACAGGATGCCGCCGCAGCCGAAGATGCAAGGCTTGCGAAGAAAGGCGGCAAACCTGGTTCGAGACCAGCCGCCGGCCCGCCATCCAAGAATGGGTCACACCCAAATGGCAATGGAGTCGCAGACCGTGGAGGAAAGGGTCTAGGTCCAAAGGGTGTGGCTGCAAGGGCTGGTGCCAAAGCCGCAGCAGTCGAGGAACGGAAGCCGAAGAAGTCGGCCCTGGCAACCACCGGTTATGCAGGATCTGCACGGCCTGCCCCAAGCAAAGGCAAGCCTGGGGCTGCGAGTTCAGATGGTGGTCGTGATCGCGGACGTGACCGAAATGGACTCAACCCACTGGGGATGTTCAGTCAACGCCGTCGGAGGGACGAGGAATACGACGAAGAGCTGGACGACTTCATCGACGACGATGAGGAGGAGCCAGAGGAAGATCCCTACGGCTACGGCAGACGGTATAGGTATGCCGATGAAGAGTCCGATTCCGACATGGAGGCCGGCTACTCTGACGTGGAGGATGAAGAGGCCGCGGCTGCCCGTCAGGCCCGGCTTGAAGATCAGCGCGAGGAGGCCCTTCTGGAACGACGTCGGCGTGAGAAGGAGGCCCGCAAGCGAGCAGCTGGTGCACTTTAAGGTGCTCTTGCTGCCCACATGCCTTGACTCTCAAGGACACTTTGTCCTGTATACCGGGGTCCACCCACTAAACCTCGACAAGGATGGCTGACACAGGCCTGTCGACACCTTTCACTTTACATCTGTCTCTTCAAATTTCCCATATGCGGAAAGTCACAACACGGCGTTCGAGCAAAGAAGTGGTAGACACCACGGGATCATACATTTCCTGCCTTACCTATGGCGTGGGGTAAATCGGTGTTTGGGAATACCACGACGGGAAAGGCACGGCAGCATAGCGGCAGGCGTTCTTTTTGATTTTTGCTTTCGGTGTTCATACAAGCCTGGTCATGTGGCATTGGTGTGTTTTCTCCCCTTGGATCAATGATACCGAAGCGCAGGGGGAAGGACATGGATTTTTTAAGGGGGGACCGTAGATGACGGCCGTGGTTAAGAGGGAGGCATGGCCGAGCCGCCGTAGCTCGTGTAGATTGAATAGTAGTGGAGGGGATCTCCTCGAATCTGTAGATGCTGAACACGATCAGTCTTTACAGATATATGCATTGTTACTGCTTCTCGAGGTTATGTGCTATCACTTGTCGTCTACTGTGATTCGAATCGTCTTGCATTGTCACTTGACTCTCCGGTTGGCAGGTAACTGATACTGCTTTCCCGGGATGCTGGGTATTTGTTACTGGGCACACATGTCGATATGTATCTAAGCAAGAGGCGCAAGAAGCAGGCTTGTATGTGTGGTAAGATATGAGACCACGAGTCAAGAGACTTGCCCAGCGGTGTGGGTTGAATGGATACGGTCTTAGGGCATCTGACCCGCATTGATCATCGTGTTGCTGACTTACTCCCGCCGCGTTAGTGTGGACGGTCCGTACCGTGTGTGAGATGAGATGTCAGATGCGGGGATGCCCACGGGGCCAAGGCCGGAGCGGCCCTGCTCAGATCGACCGACCGGCAGGATATCCGTGATTGTGTAGAGTAGGCGCTCACGACACATACGTCTCCCTCTGCCTTTCATGGCTCCATCCGTTGATTAACTGGACTGATGGGATCCATTGAACGGAAATATCAGCTTGGCCTGTCGACTCGTAGCCGTATTGGAGTCATCATACCCTATGGAGCTTGTCAATCTTGTGAAGAGCTGTTGTGAAATCGGCACCCATAGCCCACAGCGTTAACGATACCACACGTAAGTAAATCGAGTCTACTCTTTCGAAAAAAATATCACCGCTCTGCGGCTCTTTTCTGGTGGACGGGCTGACCCGGTTCATCCGATGTCCCTGGCCCTGTCTCTGCCTAGGTAGCATAGGCATTTGCCGCTCCAAGATTAATCAAACTCCAGCGGGGGCCATGCCAGCACCTTCAGGAACAAACCTTAAAGCGTAACATGGAAGGACAACTTGGTCGCATACCTGGCTCACCAGCGGCGGAGATGAAGTAAGGGCTGATTTATTCATTCTCAATCTCCAAGGCCCACTCAAGACGAGTCACATCATGCTTTGATTGGCCTTCTCTACTATCCGGAATTAACCTAAGCATTCTTCAAAGTTTAAGTCGGGCCTAATCCTGTGTGCTGTCTACGTCCTTCATTGGGGAATATGATGCAGTCGCTGGGAGAAGACGTCCGAGAGTGCCCAGCAAAACACGTCAATATGCCCCTCAACTCCAGGAGCCTTGGAGAGCTTGAGTCGGAGGGGAATGCTCCGAACATAGTATGGTACATCACCGAGAAAACCCACACATCGCCCGAGAAGAACCCCGTATTTCTCCCACATCACCACAGCGGGGAGATATGCCTTGGTACCGCAGGCATTGCATTGCGTCTTTCTACTAGCCTGTGATTAATCGATACCAAGAGGACTAGGTATGCAACGCAACCAGAATGGCGTCCCGCTCCCTTGGTCCCAGTATGAGCTCACCACTCGTCAACGACCCCGGCACTGTAACCCACGTATAAAGACCAGTCCTTCCTCGCCGTGGACAATGTGATATTTCCCACCACTACGTGTGTGCCAGGCCATAGGCAAGTCAGTGATTGGATTAGCCCTGTTGTCGGTTAAATCAGCAGCCCACCCGCGCCATGCATCACAACTCGTGGCAGCGACATGCTGCATTGGCTGCACTCTCAGGTTTGTCGCTCGTTAAGGCACAGGCACCCAATGGCACCACCTCAGCTGCAGGAGTTGTGACCTTCCCTCCGCCGAGTGGGGTGTCAACCACTTATACCCTCACCAGCTACAACACACAGTCAACTGCTACCTACTTGACCCAGACGGACTTTAGCAATGAGCGCCTGGCTTTCCTCTGGGATCAAGTGGGGCCGGTGGCTACAGGTCCGGTGACGACGACGGTGACGCCAACCCCGGAGCCAAGTGCATATCCGTCACCAGGCACATTCCACCCACTCGTGCCGGCTTATGAGCCCGAATTCAACAATGTCACTCTGCCAAAGGACTTCGTGTGGGGAGTGGCTTCTTCGTCGTACCAGATCGAGGTAACCCATTGTCACCTAGAATCATCCTCTGAATTATACCACTGACCTGTGAAACCCAGGGCGCTGCAGATGCTGAAGGAAAGGGGCCATCTATATGGGATCTGCTGGCCCATAGGGTCCCTAATCTGATTGCAGACAACACCACCGCAGATGTCGTTGCCTCTCACTATTACCTTTACAAGCAGGACATCGCTCGTCTCAAGGCCCTTGGCATCCCGGCCTTCAGCCCAAGCATCAGCTGGCCCCGAATTTTCCCTTTCGGCAAGGGTCCCATCAATGAGGCCGGTGTGGCTCACTACGACGATGTGGTCAAGACTGCCGTTGAGGCCGGCTTGACTCTCGCAGTCACCTTGTTCCACTGGGACACGCCACTAGCCCTCTTCAACGAGTATGGAGCTTGGAACGACAAACAGGTTATTGACGACTTCTTCAACTATGCCACCTTCATCATCTCGAGGTATGACCAGTACGTCACGGAGTGGTTCACCATCAATGAGCCGCAGTACTGCAACTGGCAGTTCTCGACGTACCCAGCCGGCGAGTACTACCCGATCTACAACAATATCTCCGGAGGCGTCCAGTCGCGCTTCCTCTGTGGCCACCATTCGCTGCTGGCACACGCCAAGGTGTATAAGTGGTACAAGAATGAGTTTGGTGGTACCAAGAAGATGACCTTCAAGAACTCGGGCAACTACTTCGAGGCCAACTCGACCTCGCCCGCCGACCTCGACGCCACCCAGCGCCAGTACGACTACTCGCTCGGCTGGTTCAACCACCCCGTCTGGAACGGCGGCCAGTACCCGGACAACCTGCGCAACACGCTCGGCGACCTCCTGCCCGAGTTCACCCCCGAGGAGAGCGAGCTGGTCCAGGGCTCCTGCGACTTCTTCGCCATCGACCCTTACACGTCCTACTACGCCGCCGCCATCGACGACCTCGAGGCTTGCACCTCCAACAGCTCTCACCCAAGCTACCCTGAATGCGCGGGCTCGCAGCCCGTTGCGCCTGGCGGCTTCGCGGTCGGCCCCGCTGCCGACTCGGGCGTCAGCTGGCTTTGGTCCGCGCCGCAGGGCGTGCGCCGCTTCCTGAGCAAGATCACCAAGGAGCTGTTTCCGAACGTGCCCGAGATCGTGGTCACGGAGTTCGGGTTCGCCGAGCCGGGCGAGGGCGACCTCAGCTCGCTGTCTGCGATCCAGTGGGACCTGCGCCGGGCGGATTACTACCAAGGCTACCTGGACAACATCCTCGCCGCGAGGTTGTACGATGGTGTCAATGTTACCGGTGCCTGGGGGTGGGCTATTTTTGATAATTATGAGTGGTTCTCTGGGAGCAGTGTGCGCTTTGGGCTGCAGGTAAGTCGAGATCCATCCCCTTGTTCCTTCTCGCTGTACCGAGACATAACGTGCATGTTGCTTACTGTGTATTCTAGTATGTCAATTATACCTCCCTGGAGCGCACCCCCAAGGCCTCTATGTTCCAGTTCCTGAACTGGTTCAACAGTAAGGGCAGAGGCTTCGCTGGTGACGGCAGTGGGAACTCGACTATCGATGCTCGGAGGCTCTTCTAAGCTTAGAAGGGGCCATTAGTCAGACACGACTTGCAAATAGATCACAAAATAGTAGAACAGCCTTGCGGCCCTCTTTTGGCCTGTGTGCTCCAGTTCTCAGAGACAATCGCCTGGACGGCCGAAGACCGTTCCACAACGAGAATTCCTGCTTATGAATGAGAGTAATTTGAAAGACAATGAATAGAGCGATATGATGGGTCTCATACCCAGATCGTCACTCCGTCCGCTCTCTTCCCCATCACGGTCTACGGTCTGAAGTTCCGATTGAATATATCGAGTCTCGGGGGAAAATTACAGGTTGCTGTTCGCAGTAGAGCTATGCATCGGTTAGGGACCGGTTCGATTCTATTGTCAGATAATCTTCGTAATTTCAAAGTTCTCACCATGCCGACTCATGTAGATGATGGTGAACAGTCCCATGGAGAGAGCTGCATTAGCCGGGCAATGTATTCCCGAGTCTAGATATCTATATATAATTCGTGAAGCTGTGCATAATGAAATTTCTACCTCCAGTTGCCATGGTACATCTCGTGCTCCATTAGGGGAGAGACCGTCCACTCATCACCAGCCGCATTTGTCACCACGCCCCCATGCAAATTTACACCACTTCCCGCGGTTGTCCCATCGACACGCAAACTCAGTTTGCTCTTTGGCCCATCCGGCAGCGGGCGCGTGCTCTGCGGTAGCGATTTGGAACTCTGGTGTGCAAATGGCGGACTCTGCAACGGGATCGCCGAATATGGGTGGTCCACCTGGCCTTCCACCCACTGCGGCGGTGTCGACGGGCGCTGGCTGCCCTGCTGGCGTCTAATCCTCAGCCTTTTCGGCACGAAACGCTCGTACATGGTCATCCTGAGCGGTCGGGTTGTGCCAAACACGATGAGTAGCACGAGACCGGGCGTGACGCCGGGCATGTAGCCTACTATGTTGGAGCTAGCCCGACTGGACGATAGGTCAGGCTCGCTGGCCTGGGCATCACGCTCGACGTCGTCCTTTTGAGGCAGGTGTGTGAGCACGCTGGCCAGGATGAAGCCGCTCAGCATGACCGTCAGTATTGCCAGCCGCGTCACAAGCCAGCTGTCGTAAATGGCTGGCGCGCCTTGGTGTACTTTCTGAGCCCAGGATGATGAAGATGACGACGAGGACTGGCTGTGATCTGGTACCTGCCCATAGAAATTTCCTTCCCGTGTGGTGTCACTGCCAATGTGTCGTGGCCTTGGATAGTTGATGTTCCCGCTGCTAGACCGGAGGCCTTTCCGTTTCCGAGCGTACCATGCCCGCCAACTCTCGAGTTGTCGCTTAGTGTTGACATACTTGATGAGAATGACGATCAGCAGGATCATGCTTGACGCACAGCAAAACACAGACTGGGCGTTGGCGATAAACATGTATGTCAAAAAGCTTCGATGCACAGCAGGGGCCTGTAGAAGACCGATCGTAAGGGCTGTGGGGAAAATCGGCACCAGTTTGCTGATGAGCTCGTTCTGGCGCTCAGCACGGCGATGTGTCACCCAGTAGCCGTACACTGATCCAGCTATTTGGATGGAGAAGGAGAGCATATAAGTCGACTCGATGATGTAGCAAAACAGCCCTATGAATGTACGTAAGCCTTTAGTGTACGGACTCTCCCGCTAAACGATTCACAGGTGTATGTTGCCGCTGCTTGCGATGGCAGATGAGGACGCTTACGGATATTAGCGAGCGCCCTCATGAACCCAAAATTGCCATTATTGAAGATCACATCGGCGTTGCCTGGGTGTGCCTTAATATAGCGTAACTGATCCCACATGAGGTCCTCCCATAGCCTGCGTTGCCGGTTAGCTCGTCGACATGCCGGACCAAACGCCAGGCGCCTCTGCCTGGGCGACATCGCGGAGACGTACTCATAGTTGTAAATCTGTTGTACTATACTACTTATGGTGCAAAGCAATGTGAAGTACCCGATGAGGGCGACATCTATCCGTCGACGTCAGTTTGTCACTTTGCATAAATGAGACGAAGAGCTTACAGCTGGTCCGCTCGCGATGTACCCACACTAGCCACAAGACCAGGACGTTTGCAAGCAGGCATATAAAAGTGTACAATAGAACGCCAACAGCATCGCCTGTGGTGCCGGGAGGTAGCTGAGACATTGCGACAAGAGCGCTTCGACTTTAGAAGAACATGATGTTCGCAAAGAATACGGCTCGAGTTGCCCGCACGTGGGGAAACGGTATGTTATTCCTGTTAGGCAGAAAAGAACGCGTGATCTGACATGCTTCGAAGCCCCACACTATTGACTCAAAATTCAGCTCGTGGCGTTCTGTATGCAGGTTCTGAGCGGGCGTGGCTTGCTAACGACTTGGCTGTGTGACCGAACGTTGTTGTTGGGCGGCAGAGATCGACCTTGATCCACCTGGGCGGCTTTCAGATAACGATCCGTCATATCTGACGCGTTTAACATAAGGCGAGCCGTCTGTTGGAAAGCATGATAACGGAGACGCTCCATTGTAGTATCCATCTTCCTCTGAGCCAAAGCCTTGGATCTTCTTATATGTTCATTCCGTCTCTGTGAATACGAACACCGGCGAGGCGAGACGGATGCCATGTCTGTGTGCAATCCAGCGGTCTCGAAGAGTCTTCTAGGCCCCACATCTTGTACTTGGCCTGAAACCCACTCTGTTGCTGACAATAGTCATGGGTCGTCCAGCTCTGACTTGGATACACTGAAACGGACGTTGAACTTGCGATATCAATTAGTGTACGACTTTCTTCAACTTGCTAACACCGCAGGAATATAAACAGAACATCTTCCTAAGACACTAATTTCTTCAAATCCCCAATTGTTGCCGCTTCGAGGTAGAACGCATCACGAATCTCTATACCAAGATTCTCTCGAAACCTCTGTGAGACGACAAGCGACATAAGAGAGTCAAGCCCAATATCCGCAATTGCACACTCGTCGGTCAGTAAGCCTTTATCAACAGCGAGCTCTTCGGCCAATATGCACATAGCGCGTGATGCAACATCATCGCCACCAGCTTCTTCGTCTCCACTGCTGCTGTCGCTGTCGGTCTTTTCTATCCGTCCATTCGGAGGTGGGGAGCGCCCTGGCGTTGGAAGATTATGATCGAGCTGAGGCATCACTTTTGGACTACCACCAGACTTACTGATATGTCCAGAACGCGGAGGAGTTATGGAATACGTTGGAAGTCTCTCGGTCGTCATTGCTGCTGCTGCCGCTGCTATGGCCTTTTCCTGTAGAGAGCTCACAGATGGTTGTGGACTTGGAGTAGAAGCTCCGTTCTTCTTGGTAGATGGAGCAGGCGCAACCGTGCTTGCTGGGCGGAAGAACCGATTCAACATCAGTCTTGGCCACTGCCGGAATAAGATGGCTTCGACTACACCTATAATCTCACCGTCTTGTAGAATGTAGACATCACCGACGTAGGAGCCAAGATGGCTGCTGTCGTCAACAGCGTCCGGCACCATCCTCACATATGCGAGATATCGACCGCCAGGAGTTAACGGCTTGGCAAAACGCATTGACTTCCATGACGGTGTAATGAAAAAGTTGTTGGTGTTATCAAAGTGGGTGCCACCATTTAGAATGAAACCAGAGAGGGATACGACACCATCAATGAAATGTGGTGGCACCGCCCAGTCTCCTTGGGTGTTTTCAGGGAAAAGGACTTCGGCCACGGCTTCGTCCTCGTTGAGTATGACCGATTGCATGGTGCGATACATGCTGGAGTAGTCCACCAGCTTTCCAAAGAGGCTGTATGCAAACTCGGTGGTGAGCTTGTTGGCAGTGCCCTTCACTGACATAGCATTGAGTGCGTCAATGCGACTGGTTACGAGCCTGGTCAATCGAGTCCAGTCGTATAACCAATTTGAAGCGTCTTCGTAGTAAGCTGTAGCATGGCAGTACCATTTGTCAATGGCCGGGTTGAACCAATTGACGTGGACTTCGCCCTTCTCGAGGTTGGCTTCGGCATTGACAAGAATGGGATGTGCATCAAGAGGGTTTGCAATTTTCATTACCGGATCGTGATACTCGAATTTGGCCACATTGATGCCCATTCCACTGAATGTCGACGAGAAACCTTTTTCTTGGATCCTTTGCGCCATCGTAAATGCCATTTCTGCATGAAGAAACTATCAAGGCTTAGATTTGAGCAAAGAAGGACTTGGCTATCAACCTACCGATGAAGCAACACCATAACCGTTCATAGCATGACCTTCTATCACATCTTTGAGTGATGGATCGGCCATGTTGGACTCGCCTAGGACTTGTGCTGTTGATGGTCCGTAATTTTCTGAGTAGAGTCGATGGATGCTTGATGTCCGAAACCCGCTAAGAACGGGAAGTGCTTGCTCTGGTGAAACCTGGCCCTTTGTCAGATTCCAATCTCCCCGGTACTGGATCCAATATTTCTTGTTGTTCCAAGCGTAATTTGGCACGTGGACAAGTCGAAGTGCTTGCTCAAATGGACGATGATATTCATTCCAGTCGATGTTAAGTCCGACCTCGTACAGACTGCTCAGCATCTTCACTAGGGATTTCCAGTTGTCGCTGTCTCGCTGGAGAGTCGAGCACGCTAGACGAGTTTCCGCGAGCGTACGGCTGATGAAACCACTGCATACGGGCTGATGGCCCAACTCAAGCCAGACGGCGGATTTCGACACCACGCCAGCTTCTACCGCCGCACTGAGAGCCCCCACGAAGTCTACTGGCTTTCGAAGGGAGGTGGGCAGATATGATGAATCGATCTGAGCACCTGATTTAATGACTGCTGAGTCTCGAGGAGAGATGATGGGGATGCTGGGCGCATTGTAAATGATTCCTTGGGTTCGGCGAGTGAAATCATTGACGACGTTATTCATCTGAGAAGTATGATACGCATGCGGCACATCAAGACGCGTTGTTCTATACCCTGCTTCTGACAGGCGGGCCGAGAAAGCTTCCAGGTGCTCGGCGGGACCACCAATAACAGTCTCCTTGGGGCTGTTGATACAAGCTACTTCATATGGCAAGCCATCTGCTTCAAGCGTAACATCGGCCACCGAGGCGCGAACAGAGACCATGCTATGGGTGTAAGGTGAGCAATTCGAGTCCAGAATGTTTGCTCGTGTCCCGACGAGGAAGACTGTGTCACTGTCGGATAGCACCCCAGCCACGGCCAGTGCGGCATATTCACCCAGGCTGTGTCCAATAACCGCGCATGGCTTAACACCAAACGTCATAACCAGTCGAGCGAGAGAAATCTCAACGCATACGATGGCTAGATGTATGGAGGAGGATGGCAGGGCTTCGCGAGTACTCGTTCCATCAATGGCCGGTAGGAAAGATGGGAAGTTCTGGTGACGTGCAAGACTATTGAATTGGTTGAGCTGCGCGCGGAAGAAGGGAGAATCGCGGTAAAGCTGCGCTCCGATTCCCACGTAGAAAGTGCCTTGGCCAGCGAAAGCAAATGCGGTCGGGGGTGGTTTGACTGAAGTTGGAGTCTGCGTCATAGCAGTTTCGATGTGCGGTTGAAGCTGTCTGACAGCGTCGGCCAAGGATGTCACTACGACGGATTTCCGGTACTCGTAATGCCGTCTCCTGGCCGAGAGTGTGTAGGCAACGTCGGCAAGAGACAAGCCTTGCGAATTTTTGATGTACTCGACAAGACGACTAATATTCATGCTGAGGGATTGAGCCGTCTTTGCTGAAACCGTAATAGCATGGACTTCTCTTGTGTCCTGCCATAGGCGTGGCCTTGGGCTGGCTTCTTCGATGATCATGGCTGTGTTACCTCCAGCAGCGCCAAAGTTGTTGATCATGGCCAGCCTCTTTTGAGTACTATTTGGGCTCCAACTGGCAGCTTGAAATGGAATAACAACGCCCAGCTTTCCCAAGTCTGGTATTGCAGGATTCAAGGCTGTCTTAACGCCGATGTGAGGTGGAATCATGCAATTCTGGAAGACTAACATGGTCTTGATAAAAGCCATTATTCCTGCAGCAGCCTCTCCATGGCCCATATTGGCTTTGACTGAGCCCACATGCAGTGGTGCCGATCGATGACCATGGACACGGAGAGGTGCGAACACACTCGTCACAGATCTCATCTCGGTGGGGTCACCAGCTTGTGTTCCTGTGCCGTGCATCTCCACGTACCCTACCGACAGAGGGTCGATCCCGGCTCGTCGGACAATCTGATGGTACAACAGAGCTTGCGCTGCATCGTGAGGATGCGTGATCGAAACCGCTTCCGCCGAATGAGAAGTGGCTGCCGATAGGACTACCGCGAGAATGTTATCGTTGTCGGCTTCTGCGTCCGCGAGCCTCTTGAGAACCACACTTCCGACTCCATCTATTCAGTGATCTCAGTATGTGAATGTAATTAAGGTCATATAGTGTTGAGGGTGAAAAGGTTATGGCATACCTGATCTACAGTATCCGTCCGCTCCCTCATCCCAAGTCTTGCAGCCCCCTGTAGGGGAGAGAAAGTGGCCTTGGCTAAGCCCAGCATACACGTCAGAGTTCGTGAGGATATTCATCCCTCCCTATGGTGACAGCCAGATTTCTATTAGCACTTCTGAGATTTTATAGCCTTTGTGAATCGGGAAACTTACAGTAATGGCCATGTCAACATCTCCACTCCACAGTGACGAGCAAGCGGCTTGGATAGCGGCCAAACTCGAAGAGCATGCTGTGTCGACACTAAAGCTAGGGCCCCAGAAATTGAAAAAGTAGTTGATACGTCCGGGACCAAACGCCCTGCATCCACCGGGAATGAAATAAGTGCCTACATACTGTCCAGAATTAACTTCACGATAGTCGTCGCTGGCTTGGCCGTAAAAGGTACCAATGCGCTGGCGGTGAATGACGCCTCGACCGTCGACATAACCGGCATTTTCCAGAGCTTCGTACGCCGTCACCAAGGCAAGACGCTGCATTGGGTCCGTTTGTTCAGCCTCTCTGGGTGACATGCCGAAGAACATAGCGTCAAATAGCCCCGGATTATCAACAAAGCAGCCGTATGGAGTCTTTGACGTGTTTTGTCGCTTTCCCGTGGGATCTACGTGTGTTCCGACGTCAAATCGATCGGAAGGGACATGGCGGTGCATGTCCTGTCCTCGTATCAACTTCTCCCAGAATTCTTCCGTAGTGTCCGCACCCGGGAAACGACATGCCATTCCGACGACAGCAATCTTGGACGACCTCGAATCCTTCGGGGGGCTTTTTCCGAGCTCGAGATCCAACACAGCTGGCACCATGGGGAGGTCTGACACTGCTGCATTGGGAATTTTGATCCGCCAGCTTTCCAGCAGGTTCTGGTTATAATGTGAGGGTTGTATGCTTATAAGTTGCACAGAGTTGGGCTTCAGTTGCTTCAAATGTTTTGTGACACTTTGGAGAACCATGTCCCAACGCACCCTCTCGGTCAATATCTCTTCCATAATCTTTTCGAGCAGTTTTGCAGCCTCTGTGTCTCGAAATGGCTCTCCGCTCACAGGCGAGATTAATGGAATGTGCAGCTCCCGCGTGGATTCGATTTCCGGGATGACTTGTCTCACGTGTTCCAAGCCATACGTTTTGTCAGTGTGCCACATACCCTGAATTTTCTTCATTGCCACATTTTTCGTCTTCTTAAAACCATTGAACTCGGAAAAAAGGGCATTCAGCGTTTTTGGCGGTCCACATAAGCTGACAGAGCCTCCAGCATTGTCGACGTTGAAGACGGACGCGCCATTGGTTGGGGGATATCCCTATTGCATTCATTAGCTTATGCTTAACTTCCAATAGAGTTCTGCACTAACTTTATGTTCGTTGAATTGGTTGACCGAATCGCTCACGTCTTTCTCATCCACACCCTGGACACAATATACCCAAGCTCCTTCCGCATTAATCTCATCGTGAGAGACCTCCAGCGACCGGCAAACTCGATCGACAACCAGACCAAACCGGAATGAAATTCGGGCGATATCCTGGGCGATGCTTGGTATCATCGAAATGCTCGGCGAGAGACCAATTGCAGCTGCCGAGAGTAAACCCGAGCCCCTTCCGATGAGTAAGGTACTGACCGCTGTGAAGTTATACTCCAGTGGATGAACCTCATGATATCTTGGTAGAATGGTTGTGAGCTTTTTATCTCTATTGAATGGCTAGGTGAAACTTACGCGACAAAGCTTCCCAATTGCACGACAAGAACCAATACTCGCTCGATAGCCCCTCCAACTGGCGTCTGTCTTAAATGAACAACATGATCTGTCAAATCGAGGACGCTCTCGAAAGGTGGGATCAAGTCTCGATATACACGGCTTAGTCGGCTACACTCGTCCTTCAATGCCCGTGTCACACACTGTAGCAATGATGCCAGCACCACATGGTCTCGTTCTTTGCTGAGCAGATTTAGCCTTCTGAATAGCGTTCTTTGATCGCCCTCTGGGTCTCCCTGAGGAATTTCTCCTGAGAAATACAAGACTTTGGCTGGAATCATCTTGGCAATATTAACTTTGCTTGTCAAGAAACTACAACAAGTGATTTGGGGCTCTAGCAACCATAGAAACTCCAGCAATGCGAGTACTTAAACGGTGTTTAACGTCTATCTATCGATTACTCAGCACTAGCCTGTATGTTATTACGCGTCAGCATATAATACCTTAGCACATTACTACGGCATCTCTGCTTCCTTTGCTTATCATCTGCGACAAAAGCAGAAAAATGGCCCCCAAAGTCTTCTGTCAGGAATATCAATTGAAAAATTTTGAATTTCGTTCGGCATTGTCTATAACACGCATCCATAACGCACATGGTGATAGACGACGTACTCTTGGCCAACGGCGTTCAAACAATCGTCCTTACCCCTTAATTTCTACTATGGGAGCGACCACTTGTGTAAGAATACCAGAAGAAGAACCAATTCAATAGGACTTCCAGTTTTTCGAAAGTGATAAATCCTGTAGGAATGCCAAAGCTGCTGCTGTCGTTGTCTGCAGTCACAGTCGCAGCCAACTCCATCGCTTCGTCGATCTTTTATGTTGTTTCCGATGGATCGTTCAGCTCGGCTCCAGCCATGTACATCGTGACCAATAAGCGCCGAATGAGTCGGCCCTTCGGTAGAGGATTGGCCAGTACTTTTCTGACTATTGAGAAGCTTGACCTGGGTTGATAGGAGCCCGACGAGGTCGCATGATTTTCTTAGATTTCTATTGGATGTGTCAACGATTCGGCATTTGAACAGGGCGGCATATCCCGCACAAGCAAGTCGAGCAGGTCCTGCAGCGAGATGGCATTGTTGGGGCAGACCAGCAGGCAGAGCGCAGGCGGCTCGGTGCCGACGGCCATCAGGCGCTGGTAGAGTCATTTTGAATCACCGACTGCGGCGCGCTCTCCCTTCCGTGTGGGATGACGTGCATCTCCTCGATGAGATATGGTCGCCGAACAGGGACGGCAGCAATTACTTCGGCTCGGCGAAGGGACGCGAATGTTGTAGATCAATGGTATTTTGGCCCGCGACGTTCTCCTTATTGCCCAGATGGCTCTAGTTCCGTTTCAGCTATTTGATGCACGACGGCGGCGACAGGAAGTGAGGAAGTACGACTTCAAGATCCCTTCTGCATGCTTACTAGCCAGCTCTATGGTCCAGTATCGCTCATCTCGTTCGTCAAAAGATATTGTTCTCTAGTCTTCAAATGACGCACATGCCAATTGCGCAGGCTGTTGTCAATTTAGCCTGGGGTCGTGGGTACCAGTTTGATAAGACTCTATAGGATTTCTAGAATTGGTTTTAGTATAACGGCTTGGAGATGAAACGCTTTCATGTCCAGACCTTGCGCGGCCAGCCAATTCGTGTTCTTTCCCGATGTGCAAACGTGTATCTGTTCAACCACCTTGTACGTGGCAATATAAGTTTGTAACGGCGAGAATTTCAACCAGGAACTGAAAATTCACTCATAGATAAGCCGGCATCGACCACGCTCAGCCCATTGTCGTCTTGTTGATGCCCTCAGTTTCCTGTACAATGTTCGAGATATTACTGAATTAGATTTAAAAGAGTGGTCCATAGGGGGGGGGGGGCGCTTATAAATCGGCTAAAACCGAATTACTTAGTAGTCATTAAAGATTATTACTTGAAAACTCATAATGATAACTTGATTAACGAAATAAAATCCTTTTGCATAAATTATTATTTTGTATATATACTTCGATTGATACATAAAAGATTGAGGGCCACACCTTAACTAGCTGCTTTGGCGTCTTATCCTTGCGCGTTATAAAGGGCAAACGGCTGAAGACTTTTCTTGAGTATATATATGGGCATGATCAAGCAGTAGATTACATTTTTAAGCTTGACTTGCATTGGCTGTTGTATAGCATCATATTAAACAGCGAACCCGACAAATCTTGGAGTGCAGAGAAGCTTGCTGCTACACCGCCTGAGAAAGTACTGCGAAGACACCCTCAAATCCCTTCTTTACCACTTGCAGCATTTTATCGCCATGCTTCCATGTACAAAGATCCATTCCAGGGTATAGCAAGTGCATGACAAAGGAGAGATATTAATAGACATATGGGGTACGAATGGAACCTCGATACTTTCCATTGGAAACATGAAGGAGAGCAAACCTGCAGATGTGCGGGTTGGCTCTATGCAGGGGCAGTAACTCTGTCAGGCTTGGCTCAGTTGGGAAGCGGCGTGTCACATCCACATTTTTGGCGAGCGAGCCACCGGCTGATAATTGTGGCCGCGCCCCGCCCAGTCTGCGGAGTTTCACAGGTTTCCCATAATTCTTCCCACATCTACGTGAACGTAATTGACGAGCAGAGAGAGTCTGAGTCGCTGCAGCTCATGCAACTATAGGCAATAAAGGGCCAGGATGCACGTTCAATCGAATATTGTCATCGCAGAGAGGAATCTGTTCAATTGGCCACGCCAGATACGTTACATAAACAACCCAGTGTCGCATGCAGTAAAGTAAACCAACTGTGTCAGTACAACAGCTGTCATATATCTGCATGACTTAAGTGCCACACCATGGCCCTCTTTGTTCTGAAAGCCAGCATGCATATGCGTGGGGTATTTCTGGGAAGCGTCCGGGGTGGCCATCTGCTTCCGCATGGACCTTCGCGCCCTACGTCTCCCAACAGACATTTACGTCGGTTAACTTGCACCCTGCATAGGATGAAATGCCCCTGTCTCCTTCCGCATAGGCGAGCCGGGCTTCGAGTGTGCCCCACGGCTCCTCACAGACGCGTTCCTGGCGGCTACCTGTACAAAGAGGACTGTTTGCTCGCCCTTCCTCTCGAGATGAATTCCTCGTCTTTGTTTCCCGACTTAGAGGGCTGGTCATCCTTACAATTTTCAATGTCTCATACACTGTCGTCTTCATATAGCTTTTAGGCTATACCTTCATCTCCGCGTAACTCTTGGGCTACGTCCTCACTTCCAGACCATCCGTTGCCGCAAAACTTCTTGGTTTCTGGGAGGTACTTCGCAGCAATACAACATGGAGGACCACAAGGTAATCATGTACGTGTAGCGGGTAACACAGCTTTAAGCTAATGCATGACCGTCTATTAGCCGTCCCGTATGCATCGAATTCTTTCGGGGATTTTTCATCCCCGTTCTCGCTCAAGGTCTCCAAAGCCCCAAGAGCACACGCAGGTTCATACCACTGCCACTCAGAAGGCGAACCAGGCCGCTTTCCAGACAAACAAGAATCTACCAAATTCCAGCACCCCTACACAGGAGGTTGCCGCCTCGCGGGCTCCGGATCCTACCCCAGTCGACAGTCACAACGGGTGTGAAACGGAGACTCACGATGCCCAAGGTGGGATTTGTGCGCCGGATGATACCGCCGGACTTTCCAACCATGCGGTCATGGTGCGCCGTAACCCCAACACCAAGGTCTCGGGCACCGCGTATGACGAGGCTTGGTCGCGGCTGAGCAGGGACGAGAGGGCAAATCTGTCTAACGAAACCTCGATCAAAACTCTATTCGAGAAACTGGACGAGACTGACCAGCGGCATCAGTCGAACTCCTTGCTCAAGAGGGGCAAGATGGCCGCCGGCCTGCAGTACGTAAGCAACATATGTGGTTATATCAACCTAGTGGCGACTTGGATCCCAGTGCCAGACCTGGGCGCTGTATTGAGCCTCTTCAAAGGAATTGTCGCGGTAGGTCATTGCCACACTGAACAAGTTATTGATGATTGCGGTTTGACTAAACACGCACATGCACCACAGATAGCCGTAGCTATATGCGGCGCCTATGATGGCCTTACAAGCCACATTCGAGAGTTTCTAGACCACATACCGGTGATTGAACGATGCAACACAGTGCTCTGGTCCAACAGTGCTTCGTTTGATATCCATAACGTAACTTAGCTCTTCTCTCGCTCTGCTGTCCATATCAAAAGACTTCAGCTAACGATCAGCAAGATCCTGGTGGCGTGCTATTCGACCCTACTCGCTTTCTACAGTAAGGTGATGGCCTTCTTACTGGAGGAGAATCGTATCAAACGGATTCTAGAGACTGTTCACTCCGAGATCCCTGGAATCGTTACCGATTTCAACGGCCACGCCGACAAACTGTCGAAAATGATGGAAGTTGAGACACTTGTGACAGTGAAAAAGATCCTGGATCAACAGACTGAAGATTTTGGTGCGTAGCCCACGAGCGATAATACCATCTGAAGTCTTCGCAGCGCATGCAACCCCTGACTCATCAGCTTTATTTACTCATACTGTCTCGTAGTTGATGACAACTTGTACAAACAACACCACATCGGCAACCGCAACGCCGACGAGGGCAACAGGTCGGACGAAGCTTGCCGTTGGATCATTTCGGAAGAGACCTTTGAAGACTGGGCATATGGAGCTCACGGTGTCTTGACAATGTATGGAGTCGTGGGCTGCGGCAAGACAGCCACGGCCTCTTTTGTTGCGAAGTACCTACGCGAGGAAGGAAGAGCACCAGTTCTGGCCTATTACTGCACGCAACAAGAAGAGGACGAGCTCCGCTTCATCCTCTGCAGCCTGACGTACCAGCTGCTGCAGACGAGGCCGGAGCTGAAGGAGAAGTTCAAGGATTGGTCCGAAAAGCGACAGGCAACGACTCTGGATAAGCCGTCCAACAAGCCCGCCGTCCTTGCAGAGTTTCTCTGTAGCTCCCTGCAGAGTTCCAAGGAGCAGGTGTTTATCGTCCTCGACGGCCTTGACGAGTGCGAGGAGGATGCTAGGACTGAGCTTCTTGTTCTATTCAGAGATCTCATCCGCAATGGTGCTCTGGTCAAGGTGTTTGTGTCTTCGCGGCAGCGAAACGATATCTTACAGACCTTGGCTAGCTCCGAGACAACAGAAGAGCCCGCAACTGAGCCAGTCCCCCAGATACCCTTCTTCCACATCGACATGTACCCCACCGAGGAGCGCGACCGAATCCTAGCCAAGCACCTGGCAGCTAAGCCTCTGCGACAAATCGAAGATAGCAAGGTGCGGGAGAAGGCCATAGAGCAGCTAGCAAAGCGCGCCGGTGGTTCCGCCATCTGGCTTAAGATGGCAATGGCGTCGCTGGCCGGGGCCAAGAACGAGCGCCGAATCGAGAAATGCCTAGAGTTCCTCGAGACGAATCCGGAACTTGTTGACTGGTACGAACGGCTCTTTAAGGACGCCGAGTCGGCCACGTGCAACGATCGGGATATCCTGGAGCGAGCCCTGGAGACCCTGGCAGTGGCCCGGAGACCCCTGACCATTGACGAGCTCGCAAGGGCAGCGTACATAGATGACGCCGAGAACGGGGAGAGTCTAAGTGCTCTGAATGAGGCAGCGGAGGAGATAGACTTCTTGAGTCTCGTCCGCCCGTTTGTGACAACGTTGGAGGAGTCGGCGGATGGGAAAAATCCGAGGGTGCGTCTTGTGCACCAGTCGCTGGTGGAACTGCTCCTCACAGCCCGGCCTTCCGAATGGGATAACATGGCCGCAACTAAAGACCGCAGAAGAATCACGGAGCAGCAGAAGGAGCAGCGCAGACTCGAGCTGAACGAGCAACTAATGGGCAGGTGTGTCAAGTATCTCCTCTTGGATGATTTGGAGGACAAGCCGTCCGACGAGGATGCAGACACAGTCATAGACACAGCTTCGGAAGAGCCCCATGAACAAGACGAGACATGGGGTGTTCTTGGTTTCGATGAGATGTTTGTGGAGCCTGAGACCCAGAAGAGGGCGGAGACCCGGGCTCAGATCTCGCACCTCCAGTTCTACGAATATGCCGCCTCGCATTGGGCAAGCCACTTTGCTGCCTGCGAGAAAGTCGCCGCGGAAAACCTCAGAGAGAATGCGAAGGCGCTTCTGAATGTTGCTGCCAGCGGGTGCACCGACTGGGTGTCCTTCGTCCGAACCGAAAAGGAGGCCGAGGGGGAGGTATTTCCGACTTCTTCTGAGACTGCCACCTTAGCAGCGTATTTCGGCCTCTGCGAGACCCTCGCTGAAGCCCTCGCCGGCCCCGATACTGTCTCTCAGCCAACGAAAAATGAGGCACTCTTCTGGGCATGTCGCGGAGGCCGCGAGCGCATCGTCAAGCTGCTCCTAGAGAACGGCGCTGATGCCAACCAGCACTTCGCCGATGGGCAAACAGCCCTGACAATCGCCGCACACCGTGGGTACCTCGGCTGTGTCCAGGACCTGCTCACCGATCAGCGGGCAGACGTCAACGTGCGGGGCAGCAGTAATCGCACGGCCCTCTCCTTCGCGGCTGGCGGCGGCCACGAGGAGATCTGCGCGGCTCTCTTGCAGCGCGAGGACTGCAGACCGGACGTGACAGATCGGAAGGGAAAGACGCCGCTCTTTCATGCGGTTGCTGCGGAGCACTTGCCCACCATCAGGACCCTGACCGCCAACCCCGGTGTCAATGTTAACCACTTGGAAAACGCCGGTCGCACGGCCCTGTGCCAGGCGGCCGAGTCCGGGGCGATTTCCTCTCTCAAGCAGCTTCTCGACACGGAGGGCGTCGATATCAACCTGCCGGATAAGGAGGGAAGGTCACCGCTCATCTGGGCAGCCTTCAGGGGCCATACCGCGTGCGTCGACGCGCTGATGCAGCACCCCGGGATCGATAAGACCGCAGCTCACTTCAAGGACAGAAAGAATGCTATACATTTCGCTTGCGAGACAGGCATGCACGAGGCGCTGCTTTGCCTCCTGAAGCATGACTGCCCCGGTATCGATGATCCCGATGTGGATGGCTGGACGCCGCTGATGTGGGCGATTCAGAATAGCCCAAAGTGTGTCCTAACTCTGCTTGCGACGGGCCGGGTCGAGCTTGAGCGCCGTGATAATCAGGGCAAGACTGCGCTGGACCTGGCGTTGCAGTGGGGCCAGTCGGCCGAGGTCGCCAGAATACTGCTCAATCAAGGCGCTGTTCCGGAGTCGACGGACAACAACGAGCATACGCCGCTGGACGTGGCGATTGAAAAGAGGACTTCCTGAGGAGCTTGAGATGACGGACGAGATCTCATCCTGGCCAACAAGAAGCGGAGCGAACACTAGTCGCCTGTTTACAGTACTTGATACTTAACAGGATTTGCCTCGGTTTAATGGGGGAGGACACTTTGATATTGATTTTCGTCGCCATATGCGTTATAGAACCTGCATCAGTGTCTTCGTCGTGACCAGTAGTGATCCTCCGTGGAGACCATCGACCAATGATGGCTTGGCAGGCGGATCAAGTATATTATCGCCTGCGAGGGCGGAAATGGCGATGAGGTGGGCCCTGGTAAGACTGTTCAGCTGCGGTGGTCGAACGAGCGACAGATTTATGTTAGAACGACTTACTTCGTCGTTCCAAAATCCACACAACTAAAGGCGTCCACGATCCCCCCTAGGACATGGACAGCGACCAGATCTCTGTGTCTCGAGAGTTAGATACGACATATTTCTAGCAGCCGGTTTCAAAAAGAGTGCCACCATCATCATACGTCTTGTTGATCACTACCAGCAGCTTTTCTTTCGGTCTTAGAGGCCCAGTGGTGAGAAGCGATGATAGCCCATGACTAGAAGCTTTTCCATGGTCCGAGTCTGTGGCGTCTACAACCCAGATTGCTGTGTCCGGCGTCAATGTCTCTGGACAGCAACAACAACCCTTAGTTCACATTCCTGATTGATGTCCTCAAGTGGGAACCCTTACCCTCGACAGTAAAGCGTGCTGACGGTGCGTAGAAGGACTGAGCCAGGCCTTCCTTCTGGTAAAATGGCACGATGTCGGCCACCTTGGAGATCCCGTTCCTATCCAAACGTTCCAGCTGCGGCAGCCCAAGACCACACTATGCAAGCACTGTCAGCTATACCATTTTATTTTCCACAAAACGTCCGCGGAAAATACATAATAAATCAGCCGGCCGACGAGCGTCTTCTTGCCTACGCCATCTAGGCCAAAAACTGCGAGCGACTTTGTTGTCATAGCTGAGCCGGGCTAATCGTGAGCTAACACCCTCAGCGCTCCAGCAAACTTCAGAACGTAACAAACTGTATACAGTCCAGATAATTGTCACTTGTTGCTGAAGGCGGTCGTTGGTAAGGTGCGGCTTGAGCTTCCACGGTGATGAAGCTGAGATCCAGCCAGTCTTGGGCATGCATGTTAAGACAACAAGCTGGCGCGCTGAGGTCTTGTTGCTGTGAGTTTCACATCTGCTTAGTCAGTGGGAAGCATCGTTTGACCCCGCATGAAATGCTTCTGACTGCCCTTCCATATCTGGAACAAACGTAGACTGCCAGAGCCAACCGCACGACTACAGGCTTGATTATAAAAGAGTGGACGGGCTCATGTATTTTACTTTCTCTGTTGTCGTATGTGTTCGTTCGGATGATGCGGTTTGGGGACTATATGTGGAGCCTAAGCAACTCAGGAAGTGCTATGATCCACAGATGTAGCCAACGGTTTGAGCCTCACTCGTCCCGAGTGAGGGATGACATAGTGAAGGAATTGGAACCGCATACTTCAGTAGCCAATTACAATTTACCTGCCTATGGCTTTCAAATTCGACAATCTCACCACAGCAGCTCGCATGTCCTCATATCTACCCTTGCGCACATTCTCAACATGGTTCAGTACACGCGGATACACATCCTTATGTGCCGTCGGGCTCATCCACGAGTCCAGGTGGCCCCGGCCCTCAAATACTTGCCTCTCATAGCATAGCCCACCGTTTGCCTCGCTGAGGGTCGTGAAGGAGAGGTCGGTGTTCTCGGGTGCGTAGACGTCATTCTCGGACCCCGAGAATAGGAAGATGGGAAGGCCCTTGAGGCGCGCAATATTCTGGGGCGTCACGAGAGAGACGTCGTGCGAGTCAGTCACAAAGTTGTGAGTACCCATGTACATCAAGTGATATAGGCTCTTCATGGATGTGCCGCCGACGAAATTCTCGAGCTGGGAGTGAGTGGCTTCGTTGAGGTTGCGGTGAGACCAAAGCCTAAGAAGATCGAGTTAGCAATAAGCTAACTTTGGTGGTATTTCATCAGATAATGCGAGTTGCTCACCGGCCAAAGACTAAAGAGCTGCGATGGCAGACCACCGAGTTGCAAATCTCATCGCGGCTACCAACAGGGTAGAAACGTAGAGCCTGATTAATTGCTTGCTGAATATACCCATCCTGAGGTGTACTCGCGCAGTCGTACCACTTGCCTTGGAGTGCACGGTAGACCAGATTCAATGGAATAGACAACTTGGATTTGACGTAGTTGACCCTCGGAGACATCGGATTCATGAAGACCTGCGACGCAGTCACTCCGCTGATCCAGTCTCGCGGAATGGTGCCGTCAAGGAGGCCGGAGGCCAGAGCGAGGGACCCGGCGCAGTGGGCCACGACATATAGAGTGCGTGGAGAGTCAGTGAAGCTGCTGTCATGATTGTCCATGCTATGCTCCTCACGGATCAACTTCAGTGCTGCTTTTATATCGCGACGAGCATCGTAGCTAGTCCAGTCTTGTTGAGCGATGGCGGTCTTGCCCACGCGATGGACCTGGCAGTACACTCGATAACCCTTCTTGCGGAAGTAATTCACGGCGTTTACCTCGATGGTAGGTAAGGCAAATATCTGTTGGTCGACAGCGGCCCCAGGGGCAAACAAGATGATTGGAGCAGAAGCTGCGTCCCATTGTTTCCCTTCCAGATCCGTTGGTGACCACATGTACATCTTTGTCTTGACACCGTCTGAGGCCACCACGGTATATTCGTCATTCCAGTGGGTAAGATTTTGGTAGCTGTTAAAAGTAACACTAGGCCATTGCATGGGGATAAAAGGGGTTAGAAAGGCGCCGGCCGCTTTCATGGTGAAGTAACCCAAGAAGTTGGCGGTCGAGGCAAGCTGCGCGTATAAGGTCGAGCCGGAGACCTGCATGGTCGTGCACTCCTGGAGGAATGCGGACGGGCGAATGTGAATCATTCCCTTACCGCGCACCTTGTTCTCGTCAGGCTCATCTCTCTCGTTCAACTCGCAAATTGTGCAATACAACGTGGTGGTGGCCTTCCAGAGGTTGACAGGGTTGAGAACCACGTCAGAGTTGACAACCTTGTAGCCGTTGAAGTGAACCTTGCTTCCATTAGGACATGCGACGCGGAAATTATATGTGAGATTCAACGTGTCTGGTGATCGAGGATCGTCATTGAAGAGCTGGAATTTACCGCCTTGAACTACACAAGTTCCACCAAGCTTCGGGCAAGTAAAGGTGCCCGTCAACGTTGCCATGTGCTCCTTATCATGAACAACTTTATTTGTCAGTATGGGAACAAAAGTTCAGTAAGGTCATTTACGTACGGTTGTGGGTGTTCCAAGATCGTGCGCTGAGGAAGAAACGAGCATATTCACCCCGACTCTTCGCCGTGGATGTAGCGCGTTCGAAGCTCAGGTCTTTGGCACTCTTTCCGATGTGAATCCAGCCGTCCATCATCTCAGTAAAGGAGATTCCAGCAGTCCCATCATCTTTGGCGCTCTGGATCATCTTCCGCACTCGCATCACGTCCTTTGTGCTGTCGGTATCGCGGAGCGACTTGGGGACATGCGCTGGTTGGCCAAAGAGATTCAGGGAACCTGCATTAGATTAGCTAATGATGAAAAATTTCCACAGTGGTTCTTACCGTTTTTTGTCGCGAAATTAATAGTTATTCCGTGTTGATGGGCAACCATCTCCACTGACCTCTCAGCTAGAGCGGTGATGGTTGCGAATGGGTTAACACCGAGAGCGGCCGGCACTATGGTGCCATCACACACCACCAGGCCCTGATGGACCTCTGTTCCTCGACCCTTGAAGAGCTGTCCTCTGTCGTTGACGCCTCCGTGGGCACCCGTGCCGTCGTTGCTGATGCGTGCACCCCCACTTCACTGTTTTAGACGTGCGTTCTATCTCATATGAGGTAAGCTGTATCACTTACATGGCATGAACAGTGATTTCCTTTTCCCCGAAAGCTGCATAGAACGGACTATCCACATAAGAACCTCCAATTTCGTTGGTGATTTTCTGTAATTCTTTTGATAGCTTCGTTACCCTTTGAGACTTGCCGACTCCGGAGAAGTTGAGGAGAGGCCTGTCATTCTTCAAGTCCATGGTTGCTTGGCTACCTTCAGGATTTGTTAGTAATTCGGCTTGAAAAGGGATGACCGCGATGGAGCATACTGTCGTGGGACATAATGAGATAACATTGTGTCTTCTCGGTGCTGCTCCTGCGGTTGTATGGCCCTAAGACTATGCTGCTGGCAGCAGCGGCAACGTGACTGATCTTGTCTTTGATGGACAAGTGGCTCGGAAAGACGCTGCCCGGTAGATTGGCCAGCATAAAATCATAGAAAGGAGCTAAGGCCGCAGGTACTGCTCCCTCTTCGATTACATAGCCATCCAGTGGGTTGTCTTGATCGCGGCAATCAATAACACCGGTAATGCAGGGCCCAACAGGACGGTCTGCGGGCGGATCTGGGCGTCCGACTGAGTTGACATACTCATTGGTATTGTACCTAGAATGAGATATCAGCCACACGAATTTTCACAGTAATGTATAACTGTCCACACCAACACAACTGCTTACCCAAAGGCCAAGATGTCTCCATTGCCACTCATACCATGACCGACATTGGGGCTCATATCGAGACCCATGTTTTTAGATCTCAACAGGATCTCTGTGGTCCCAATACTACCAGCACCGAAGAAAACAAGCTCCTTTGCGTGAACCCACATCAAGTCCTCATAGAAGATGTCCGTAAAATTGGCACGCTTGCCGCCATGCCACGCAAAGTGCACCATGTACCCCGGCCGGTCGGGGGCCTTCGTGACATAGCGAACCTCACATTCGCAGAACATTTCAGCACCCCAGTTCCATGCATCGCTGAGGTAGTTGACCAATGTCGTCGACTTGCTGCCGTCGTTGAGGCCCGTCGTGTCTTGGCCAGTGAGGGTTGACGCGCGCATGTAAACGCCAGTGCTGTTCTCGCCGTCCTCGAAGCGTGTCGTCTGCGGGACGCGGTAGAACCTCTCGCTCATCCCCGCGAGTTTAGCCTGCTTCTCAAGGGTCTCTAGCTTGGCTAGCTTGGGGAATTCCTCAGGATATGGCTTCGGTTCGAGGATTGAGCGTGCGCGCTCGTAATCTGGTTAACTTGCGTGTCAGCTTTGACAGGTCCTTGATGCTCAAAAAGAATGAGTCAAGACTGACATCGCGTCCAATTCTCGTGACCTCTGAGGCTATCAGGCCATATAGGTAAATCGAGGACTTTATGATCCGCCTCCAAGAATACGTTGGCGTTTAGAAGGCTTGTGCCGCCCAGGCCATTGCCGACAAAAGCATTCTGGCCATCCCCAACGATGAGATGATAGAGGCCTGTCGGGTCGCCTCCCTCGCGCCGAGCGAATCGAGCCAATCTGCCACTTATGCCATCAGTGGCAGCGTTGGTCATATGCAGTTCTCTGAAGGCCGGAATGTCATCAGTGGGGAACTCTCCCGGCCACCTCTCCTTCCCGCGCTCAAGGAGGCAGACACTTTTCCCGCCACGGGCCATTCGGCTAGCGGCGACGGCTCCACCATATCCAGAGCCTATAGTCACCACATCGTAAGAGGGGCGGATGAGTTCGACTGGGAGGGAGATGCGAGGATATGCGCCAGTTGCCTTATCACACGCCCCTTTGCTCTTATGGATCTTAGTGTTTGTCTCTGCGGACTGACCGTGGCCATTCAGAATGCCTGAATCATGAGCTGCGTTGGTGAAGAACTCATAATCCTTTTGAGCGATCCCGGAACCGGAAGCATGATTGTGGTTGGCTTGTCCATTCGTGTGGCCATTGGTATGACCATTGTTTATACCCTGGCCATTGAGGTTGTGCTTAACAGGGTCGGGAGTGCTCACTCGAGACGGCATTTTGGGCAAGGTCCTTGGAGATCAAACACTATGACTTTACGAAGCACTCATCGACATCTAACGCACTGATAGGGATGGAAAGATACCGTAACCTTCTTATACACGTCTGTGACTTTTCAATGAGGGCCATAGCCACCTCCCTCTCTTTGGCTGAAAGGCGCCAGTAGAAGCAACTTTGACTCAAATAGCTGTGTCCGTAGTGATGAGAGGCCAAATTTGTGCTCATAATCACTATCGAGACTATCACATGTTTTGTTTGGTATTAATTAATCGTCCTTGTCTTTGTCTAACAGCTTCTCACATGCTTTCTGAAGATCTTGATACTCTATGCTGGACATACTATTCATTACGTTTGTTCACCAAACCGGAATGGTTCGTCTCCTCCGCACGAGCCAGGTCCGCAGACGCGAAGAATTCACGCTCAAATCGAAACAAAGACCATATGTTTTTTCCCCTTTGTAGTGCACGTTCTATTCCAATGAGAACACTTTTACGAATCCTTTTGTTAGCTCAACGCTTCAGCTGTGGCTAAAGAAAAAAACCATTGCATCCAGGCAATTCTCACACCTCGCATGTGTCCAGTGAGGGCGAAGGAAGGACATTGAGATTCCGAATTCTCAAATGTTCTGCTTGGATGACTGATTTACTTCAAGTATAGTGCTTTCATTTGCGCTCAATGCTACAATGCCAACCTAAGCATGGTGTGTCACCTAGTAAAGCATCAACTATGTATCAGGGAAAAACTGCTAGAGGTGATTGAGAGTAGCATTGTTGCTACGCATCAGCTGTCTAGGATGTTGATTGAGCAGATCCTTGGTTTACTTTGGCGATGGTTGATTTTGGAAATGGTGCTCAATTCTTCATGTGATCGTCCCATATACAGCCGCCATAGTGCTCAATGTTGTCTAGGAAAGTTCAGCCCCGTGTATTGGATGAGTTATCTAACCCTACGAAGGGAAGCCAAGGTTTAGTGTCTTAGAGACCTCTCTGTGGGTTAACAACAATCTCCTTCATTCGATGCACCCTACTTACCACTCAGACGCACCTCGATAGCCTTATACCAAAGGTTTTACACTTACACAGCGACGGAGCTAGCCCCTTCCCGTAAAGAGACAAAGAATCCCAAAAGTCCCAACGACCTGTCGGCCATCAAAGGAATTGTGAAGATGCCAAGGAAGGACTAGTCCAAATCTTGAGAGGATACAAGTCCGGTGTTAATGGACGTGCTAAGTTTTCAGCTCCTGCCTGTTGCTTTGAAGAGCAGCTCGCCTTGGTGTCTACTTTTCTTTCAGCCTCGCGCACGGCCACCTAAGTTGGCTTCGCTAACGCGTCTGGCTGATGGTGTTGCGGACTATAGAGAAATATCACTTTACATTGGAAAGTGTGCATCGCGATAAAGTAGTAATGTAGTCTGGAAGAGCGCTATTCGAAGAATTGTGGCTTGCCCATTTTGCACATCCTCGCGGACTCCAAGTATTTCAGCATGTGAAAGCCTGTTTTTGATGGCATGTGATTTGGAACGGCTGAAACGCGTATTTCTCACTTCATTTGGGCCTCAGCATGGAAGAGGCTGAATAGATCTGGAAATAGCGGCGATTCGCTCAGAACAGCAGAGCGAGGTCGTATAGAGATGATAATCATAAATAAGTAATGATCGGCCTCCTCATCTGGGCAGTCGGATCCATCAACAAGCTCCTCTTCCCGTATCAGAACATTGTCTCAAAATGCCAGTCAAGGTCTATCACTCCCTACCAAGGGACCTCCATGCAGTCCAGCCAAAGCTCTCGCCCTTTATCTCACTGAACCCGACCCCAGGCGAGAAGTGCAAGACGCCGTGGAAGCCCGATTACTACACCGGTGCTCCCTGGCGGCTCCTCCTGGACGACAGCATACTGTTCCTCAGGAACTTCTCTTACCTCAAGAACATCGTGCTCCCTCTCTGGAATGACAGTGGTCGCAAGTTTCCTTCCGGGCATTTGGACGAGCTCTTTCCGTCGTTGGGAAATATCCATGACATTACGTTTCATGCCATTTTGATCGTAGCCCAGTCTGCCTTTATACTCTCTCTACCCTTCCTCGCCGCTCTTCCTTTCCCAGTCCTTTTTGGCTATATTGGCGTCTTCATTGTCGTCAACCAACTGGCATGTTGGAGACTCAACGGCTACATGCCAGGAGGGGTCCTGGAGTCGACGTATTTTCCAGAGTCTAATAATTGGGAACCTCACCCGGACGAGCAATGGGTCTTCCTCAACGGAGTGGCTGTAGGGTGAGTCTGTAGATTGAGTTGACAAGATTATTACAGGCTGACAGATTGACAGCAAGCATTGGCTGCAGGGCAACATCGACAGACTCTCGTTGACCTTCCATCGGAGAGTTTTAGGGGTGCACAATAAAACGTAAGGAAGGCTTTGAGTCAACAATCCTCCCTTAAATCGAGGGCAAGTTCTTACTTAGAACATAGATCTGGAATCATTTTTGACGTGATCCAATGCCTCCTCGAACGCTGCCTCTACTTCGGAACCTCGGACACCCGAAGCTGCTTTGCAATCATCTCGGACCTCCTGCGCATCAAGGACAAGAAAGTCATCCTAATCTTGCATTCGCAAGGGGGGCTCGAGGGTAGCATCATCCTGGACTGGTTGATGAACCAGCATTCACAGGAAGCCATGCAAAGGCTAGAGATCTACACCTTCGGGAACGCCGCCAACCACTTCAACGACCCGCGGACCTCCGAAGACGAGGAGAGCGCACCAGGCGGCTTCGACAAGCGTGCTGTGGGACACATCGAGCACTACGCGAACTCGGACGACTTCGTAGCCAGGTGGGGGGTCATCCACTTCAAGGAAAAGACGGCATTCGACAAGAGGGAGTACGAGTTCACCGCTCAGGCGACAGTATATTCCAGGGACACGGATCACGCAAACCTCATCCGCCAGTATGCGAAGATCAGGCACGATGACAGCGTCGAGCAGACCTGGAACTCATACCACGGGAACCTTTTCAAGAGAAACGGCTCCGGCCACCAGCTCAACCAGCACTACCTCGACAACATATTCCCGCTCGACCAAGACATGAACGGGGTTGAGGTGACAAAGAACGGCGCACCGCTCCCCGGCACTTTTATGGATACGGAAGTCGATGTTATTAATGATCCTAAAGACATGGACAGAAGGAGAGGCAGGCGGAAGGGGCACAAAGACCACTCGCACGAAAATGGGTTCAACGACGTTGTGTCTCAGAAAAAGGTTTTCCAGCTCAGCCGGCTCTGGAGTTACACCAACGGTCGCCACCCCGAGGATCGAACAGAGGTCGATCTGCCCATCAAAAAACTTTCCTCTGAAGGTAGAGTCAAATCGTATTTTCAGGAGGAAAAGAATAACGTTAGAGTAGGGGTGGAGGCAATTTGAAAAGCTTGTGGTGCTTTGTTCTCCTTTATACTTTTTGGCGCGTATCGAACATGGGTGGATGTGTTCAAAACAAGTCTGTATCTCACCTATCTGTATTAGTAAATGAATGGGAGGCTATCTTGAGGTGCTATGTCAAGACAACACAACCTGCATACCCCCGGACGAAAGCACTGTGAACCCCGTGTGGAGACGATGCCGTGTCCAAGATGACAAGACGACGTGTATTAAGCAGACAGATATCTATGAAAGTTGGGAAACAAAGCCGTGAGGGTTTGGATTACTTGTCTATCCCACGCGCCATGCATTTCTTGATCATGTTACCCTCCGGAACGCCATTGCCATAGGCATCTGCCATTGATCCCAAAAAAGGAAGAGAGGAATTCCCCGCTCCGACGAAAAAAGAACAAACTAGGAGCAACCAAGGCACGAATGTGGCACCACACTCGGCGGTCGCAAAATAGGTGTGCATCGTCTCCATGACTGACTTTCTCAAGAGCCAAGTCTGACACTGTCGAGACCCTTGTATCAAAGCAGCAGGAGGAGGCAGAAGAAGAGATGGCTGGTAGAAATTATCGAACGAGAACCGGGGAAGGTGCTTAGATGGTCTGACAGGTCGGATTGCAGGCCGGGAGACTCCCCTCGACAACTTTGCAGAATTTGATCGCTATTTGAGAGTAGACGTGTTATCCAGATCTGTTTGCATGACATCGGCGGCCTTTTCCTGCTGTGACTTTGCCCCTGAATATGGGCAAGTGTGTCGAATGTCTTGAAGGTGCAACTAAGTCTTGGAGTTTGAGAGCCCAGGAAATACTCGCGGGCATAGCAAATCCCGTAGAGGGCATTTCATCGATTTCGGCGTCCTCCTTCGGTTGTGGAGATGACAGTATAGAACCCGCCTGACCTTGAACCTTCAACCAGGGGCCTCGACTCCTAACGACATGGCCTTATGTGTACCGCCCATAACGTTCGTCTCCAGAGTGCACAGCTGGGCTTACTACGAGGTGAGAAGAGAGCGCATCCTAATGGTCACTCTTGACGCCAGTGTTGCCAAATCCGCTGAGATTCCAACCCTGGTAACGGACTGCCGGCGTGGAAACAACGCTCGGTGGTGGCTGAGGCGGTAGGCCATTGGCTGGAGGAGGAGGTAACGAGGATTTGGTGCTTGGGGTCGGGGTCTTATCGTCCGCGGCTGTGCTATTTGAGGCTGACTTGGCCTCCATCAAGCCCTTTTCCTTGAGGTAGGCGAGGGTCTTGATGATTGTAAGATCCTCTTGATCCTTGTCATTGAGCGTCAGACGCTGCTGCAGCGTCATTCGTCCTCCATTCATCTCCCGCTCTTTCAACGCAGCTTCTCTCACGGCTGGGTCATGGACAAAGCGGCACTTGCCCTTCTTGCCACATGTGCCTCCTGTTGAATAGTACTTGCAATGTTTGGTGGGGTCAGCCTTCTTGGGAGGCGGAGGAAGATTAGCATTTGGATCCTGCTTGGTAGTTGCCACCTCGGGTTTGTCGTCCTCTGATTTGATCGAGGGTGACTTGGAGGTGCTAGCAGCAACTCCGCGCATGTCGTCGCCAGCATCTTGCTGCTCACGCTTCCGCTTCAAGCTGGATTCGACTCTCTCCAGCTCTCGACGGAGCTTATCGGCCCTGGCCTGGTCTCTCTCGAGAGCTAAAGCACGCTCGTCCTTGGCATCTCCGTTCTTGCTCGCGCTAACTGTGGCCAACTTGGCCTTGACCCGGTTCTGTGTAGGAAAGTTGCGCTTGCGTTCGTTGATCCACGCAGCAATATCTGAAAGTCTGGGATTTTCTGTTGTTAGTACGAAAGAAGTTTGCTGGCACATAATGAGAAACATACTCGGGGACCTCGCTACCAATTAGCTCGCTCAGCTTGGCTTCTTCGTCAAGATCGTCCTCAGACTCATCACCAGGCGTGAGACCAAGAGTATTGGTCTTACGCTTCTTCTTTTTCCCAGCCGAAGCGGCATCAGGCTTCTGATGGTGCGTCTGTGGAGTTGAAGGAGGGCCACCTGACTTCTTGTTGTTATTGTTGTGGTGGTGATGACGACCCTTGTTGTCATTGAATCCAGAGCGCTGTCTGAAGTTGTTGCTGTTATTATTGAATCCTCCTCGACCATGATGGCGTCCATTCTGTTGAAATCCGCCGCCATGCTGGTGCGGAGGACCAGCAACAGGGGGTGCAGCAGGTGGGGGAGGATAGCCTTGATAAGGCGCAGGAGGGTACGGGCTTGGTCCCTGAGGAGGCCCATACGGTTGTGGCGGATATCCAGTGCTCACTGGAGCATTGGGATCCCGAGGAGGCCCGTTGTCAAAGCCCATTCTGATCGGTGGCCCCATGGGCTGGGCCTTGGACGAGTTGTGATGTCCTCCACGGCCTCGTCCACCTCCGTATTGCTGCTGATGGGGTTGATTCGGGGGAGAGTGCGAGGGCGTGGGAGCTGGAGCACCCCACTGCTGAGGAGGACCACTTGGTGGTTGCGGGGCGCTATACGGCTGGCCATAGGGTTGTGGTGGAGGGGCACCATAAGGCGGTTGCTGCTGTGGCTGCTGTGGCTGGCCGTATGCCTGCTGCTGCTGCTGCTGCTGCTGTTGGTGGTAGATGTGCTGAGCATAGTTGGGATGGTAATTTTGCGGTTGTAATGCATTAGGGCCTGGGGCATGATGCTGGTGCCCCTGATCGGGCCACTGCTGTGGGGGCTGTTGCGGAGGCTGTGGATAACCACCAGGACCTGGTTGGGGATGCTGAGCAGGGTACTGTCCTGGGTGTTGTCCCGGGTGCTGTCCTGGGTGCTGAGGACCGTATGGCTGTGGTTGATGTTGGGGTGGCTGTTGCGGGTTGTATCCGTAGGGACTAGGAGCCTGGTATTCGGGTCTGCCACCTGCCTGGTGGTGATTTCCTCTGCCTCCTCTTCCTGAATGACCACCACGACCACCTTGGGTTTGATATGGGGGATATTGTGGATAGCCACCAGCTGCTGGAGGAGCAGGCGGCGGAGCAGGCGGAGGAGGACCGTAGTTGTAGGCCATGATGGCGCGTCGTCTCGTATTGACCGTGTCGTCCCGTCGAACAGTCAGTCGGTCGGAGGATGGCCGGTAAAAAAAAACAAGCCTTGTCGGCCAGAGACCCAAAATGGTCTCTTGAAGACGGTGATGTAAAGTGGTTAGGGGTGATTTGGACGAAGCCAGCAATGACCCAAAGCCCCAAGCTAGCAGAACGTGTGGAGTGAGGACAAAGAAGATGGATCAGATGTGAATGAGATCTTGGGTCCAACTCCCCAGAAAACAACACTTGTCGTGGTGATGGTAGAAGGGAGAAGACGGAGAACGGGGAAGCTGTTTTGTCGATGTTTGATGATTGTGGTGGTCAGTCGAAAGAGATGAGAATTGGATTGTTGATGGCTTGGAGGTTGGATTTCAGCCCAGCCATATGTCTAGGCAGGCAAGACTGGCACAGGCGTGCATGGCTCCTTGTTAGCGTCGATCCAGTGTGGGGGCAGTTGCTGATCCGTGCATGGGCCGCGCAGGAGCAGAAGAAGACGGCCTCTGAATGCTGTTGTTACTGCCAGTCGGAGGAAAAACTACGCCTAGCAAATACACGCTCAAGCAAAATTGGTCTACAACCAGCTGCCCAGCGACAAATTCCAGTACTTTCATATGAGATTCTCTGAAAGACTTGCATCTCGGTGGTGAATTTGCATGGCATTAACATGGCGTTGTGATTCCGTTGTGACTCGTCGCCGACCCCGTCAAAATCCCACTAACCCTCAATTCACACTCAGTCAATCTCAAGGGTTGTACTCACAAGCCCGCCTATGATTCAGCCAGCTCCCAAGGAATAACTGATGCGCCTTACCCTGCGTCCTCAAAAGCAGACTGCCGCGTTCTTCAGATCACAATGTTCATTCTGGTAAATGAGAAGCCTCCGGTGCAGGCCTCGAGAACACAGCATGCTGACACCACCCCAAGACAAAAATTGCGGACCTGGTCCAGATCACCCCCGAAGACTTCCACAAGAAGAGCAGCGATGCCATAGAAGACAACATCAATGCCAAATATGCAAACAAGGAAAGTCTCACAGTGGTTGAGAACTCAGTGGTGCATATTACTGACCTTTTCAGAACAGGTCATCCAAAAGATTGGCCTCTGTATCTGCCTCTATGATCTCTTGTGGGCATCAGAAGGCCTGGTCCGCCAAGGGACAGGAAATGCCAATGTGAACGGTACTACTGCCCCCCTAAGGAACGGTCCTGCCGCAACATCAAACAGCTGACGTCCTACCCTTAGCCGAGTTCCGCCTCGTTGTCTTCCGCCCTTTCAAAGGCGAAGTGATCATGGCCAAGATCTCCAAGTGCACCCCAGAAGGCATTCACGGTAGGTCTCATTTTCAGACCTGTTCTGCCCACCTCCGCAAGCCGAGGCTGATCCACCACAACAGTGCGCACCGAGTTCTTCTCCGACATCTTCGTCGAGGCCGAGGAACTGCCAGACGGGTGCGAGTTCGATCACAACGAGCAGCTCTGGGTGTGGAACAACGAGGAGACGGGGCCCATGTGGTGGGACGTCCACGAGACGGTGCGCCTAGCCGTAGTCGGCGAGGAGTGGCACGATCAGACGCCTACCAAGCCCACTGTCGCCCCTGGCGAGGACCAGCCCGAGGAGCAGAGAAAACCGCCGTATGTCATCAAAGGGAGCATGAAGAACCCCGGCCTGGGGTGTACGCTTTGGTGGGAGTTTTGAGAGAAGTTTTTCTCCGGTTATTTTGCCGTCCGGAAGGCCGGCATATATCTACACATCTAGATACCCCAGCACACAATCATCCAACCCTTGTGTGCTTACACCTAACCAACGACATCTACACCTTGATGCTCTCAAGAAGCCGGTCCTCCACATTGTCGAGGACGGAGTAATGCTCAATGACAGCCAGATTCTCTGCCTCGCCAAGGAACTGCTTGTTCGGGTCGACGCCGGGGCCGAACATCTGCTGGCCTGGCTGGGGACCCATCTGGCCCATCTGTTGGGCCATCTGGTTCGCGGCTAGGGGAAGGACATTGATTAGCTAGGAAGAGAGGAAAATAGGATTGGAGGGAGGGACATACCGTTGTCACTACCTAGTATGAAGTTGAAGACAGGCTGCAGTCCAAAAATACACAAGAAGTACCAGGAAATACTAGACATCCACCTGGGGTCCATGTCCTTTGTAGCCACACCAGCCTGAAGCATGCTCTTGAACTTGATAGTCAGGGGAAACGGCAGTTTCACTGCGTAGACATCGTCAGCACGCCCTTCGCATCCAGCATACCTTGCATACAGCAAGCCAGGGTATCCACGTACTGATGACATAACCAGAGAAGAACGCGTTGATCCAGCTCATGATCATAGTGTTGGGGATAATCATGGCCATCTGGCCCTTCATGGCGCCCATCATGCCCTCCATGGCATTGGGGTCCGTCATCGGGTTGGGCGGGGCCTGGCCCTTGTTCTCGGGCGCTTTCAGGAAGGCGCCGGACTCGTACGCGGCGGTAAGCACGTCGCGCCGGGTGTTGAATGACCGCCGCGACAGCACGTGGAAGTTGGTCCGCACCTGGATGCCGTGCGCCAGCGAGCGCTGCTCCCGGATCGCCCTGAGCTCTTGCGCCTTGGGTGTCGCTGCTAGGAGGACGGTCGCGTAGTGTCGTAGGATGCCGGTCAGGACCTGTTGACGGCAGGATTGATTAGCTGCCTGTGGATCGGTTTATCAAAGGGGGAGGAGAATGAATGCCGTACCATGACCACCGTGATGGGGAAGAGGATCCAGTAACTGCGAGCGCGGTCAGCCGTGTGGCACGCAATTGAGAAGCCTTCTCTGTCTCGAGGCGCCTTACAATAACTGGGGATCCCTATGGATCGTCTGCACCGGTACCTGGGCCATGGCGACAGTTTCTGGTGGTGGTATCTCTCCGTGGTTGGGCTGCTGAGGGTTGAGAGCTGTGCCTGATGCTAGGAGCTTTCGTAGCCGGACGGATGTGGTTGCGGCTCTGATGGAGCACCCCGGGCGATTTGGAGTTTGGGGAAGCAAGCTTACTGGGAAAGCTTGGACCTCCCGCTTGACGGACCCCTGCAAGAGCTCACCCCAGAAGGACACCTTTGTAGATCCTACACAACGCCAAAGCTTACTTTGAATGTGCAACACCACCTGTCAACTTGGATCTCGGTTCCAAGACACTTTGTCTATTGCTGTGCGCACAAACACAAAGCCAGATTGTGGCAGCAGCAGCATCAGCAGCAGTCGCAATCCAAGATGGCAGTCTCCACCGAGAAGATCACGCTCTACAACCTCGCAGACTTGAAGAACACCTCTGACGACGCGCTCCCCAACTACCTGAATAGTCTGGGACTGAAGCAGTCACACACCTTGACTGACGTGCGCCTGGCCCTTGGATACTCTGCCTTCTTTGTCGCAGCAGCCTGTTTCCTTTGGGACTACAAGCTCGGCTTCGACAACACAAAGTACTACACTGCCGGGGCAGTCGCCGTCTACTCGCTCCTGAACACGGCCCTCACGCTGTGGATATGGCTTAAAGAGAAGGGCATTGTCTACGTGGGCACCACACCGCGTGGGGAGACGGTATGTATCTATACGCGACACACAGCTGGACGGGCATGATTGACTGACGACGGCACGGAACAGGTCACGATCGCAACGCACACTAAGAAGAACGTACCCATCTACAACGTGACCATCACCATCACGCCCAGGACCGGCCAGCCCACCACAATCAACCTGTCCCGCTCCTTCACCGAGTGGTTTGACGCCGCCGGCCGCTTCGTCGCGACACCCTTCCAGACTATGCTCGCCTCCACGGTCCCCGTCATCGGCAGCCTCGACCCCAAGAGGGCCAACGTCGCGGCCGTCGAGTCTGCGCCGCAGTATACCGAGGAGGAGCTCAGTGCCATGTTGGCCGCTGCTGGGGCGTCTCCTGAGGACACTGCTGAGGCGACGGGGTCCAGCGCCAAGAAAGGAGGGAAGCGGAGAAAGGCGTAGAGCTACGATACCTTTTAAAGAGGGTTATTGGAGCATGGTGTTCAATTAGCACTCACAGGTGTCTGTATTGTGACCCTTAGCCAAATCATCGGACAGCCTCTTAATGAGAATACGTCTAATTGACATTCTATCATGGTGATTTCAATGCTCCACTATGGACTCTACAAATTGGGTTTCTAATATCACGACGAGTATGAGATTCTCGCGACACTCCCACCGCGCAGCTCACAGGGCTTCTCAAGCTTAGCACGAGCCTCCTGAGGACTCTGAAGCAAGGACTGGAGCTGCTTTCCCAGTCTTCAAAACATCTGGGGATGGGAACTTCATCCGTACGATACTCCCTCGCCAAGGTCATTTCACAGATCGCCCTAAGTGAAGGACATTTGCCCAGGCTGAATACCACCCAGGCATCTTTCACATGATTTGACTCTCAGCACTGTCCATAAGGGGACACTGTTCCCCCAGATTTCCCATCAATTGGCCAGTCATGAGCTGCAAGTTGCTCAGGGGTATCTACTCTAACATCCAATCTAAACCATCAAGCCCAATTCAAACCCTGTCACCTAGACCAATTCAGTTGTAACCGAAAATATCGACGAGTCCCTCTGCTGTCTCAAGTCGAAATTCTAGACCAACACATTTGTATCAAAAGATCAACGAGCCAATTTAGTCTAGCTCAAGTTGAAATCTTAGCCCAAGCGGACTGCGCAGCCTCAGACGCGCGACGGACATCCCTCACTCTATCACCCAGCGCGACAGACAAGTGCACCCGCACCTCATCTGCATACGCCCGCAGGTCGTTCTCGTCAAGCTGCGCCGGGAGCACCTCGAGGGTCCTCAACGCCATCCTACGGATCTTCTCTCTGTCGCCCGCGTACTTGAATCGGCCACGCTGCGCGAACTCCTTCTTCTCAGCAGGCCACTCACCCTCATCCTGCGCCGTGACCGGCGCCAAGTCATATATAACCGGGACAGGCAAGGCACGGCCGTAGACATTCTTAGCCGCCTTGACGAGCGACGCGACGTGCGAGCGGAATAGGGCGGGGTCGCCGGAGAGGACCTGGAGGGCGATGCCGCATGCAGCCTCGATGTCGTAGCTGTTGGTGGCCTTCTGCATGGCAGCGAGGACGATACGGACGACGTTCGGCGCGTCGTCGGCGTAGTGTCCCAGGCTCAGGTGCTTGACGGCGTGGAGGACATATATCGAGTACACGACGCTAGTGTCTTCACGGGACAACGGGTACGCGAGCCCCAGGATCGGCTGGACGCACTGCTGGTAGGTCCACTGCAGGTACAGCGGCCTTTGGATCGTGTGATTGGCAGGATCGAGGAGACCCTTCTTCGAGGACGAGAAGAGCTGTGACAGGATGCGCGCGATATACGGCCCCGTCTCCGCGCCGCCCTTGGCTGCTGCGTGGCTCACAGTCGAGGCGAGTGCGGCGGCGGGACGGTCCCGTCGGGCGAAGGCTCCCGCTAGGATGGCTGCGAAGCGACAGACCTCTCTCAATTCAAGGAATTCAGGGTTCTTGAGGCCCTCTTCGATTCTCTGAAGCGCCATAGACCAGGTGACCTGGTTTGGCACTTGTGTATCGCGGCCTGGTTCGTCAGCTCGACGATGAAACTTGTTGGCAAGTAGGAAGGCAATGTAATCCTGAATGGCCTCTGTCCGGGAGCTGGTTTCTGTACGAAGATCAAGATTGGAAATAAGAAGGTTGTTGAAATTAAACTCTGTCTGGCAGGGATGGATTGTTAGGAAACTTTGCGTCATGTCCAGAATGGAGGGGGTGAAGTTGCCACTTACCAACATTGTCACGGTCGAGGGGTGCATCGCTCGAGCGATACCGCAACACAGTACATAAATTTCCGCATCGCCGTGTAATGCCAAAGGTGTTGTGGAGCTCGACCAGCGCAGTCCATTATTGAAGCAACCGGCAATTCTATTGTCCAGGTCCAGTGATATCTGCGCAGCAGAGCTGAGCTCTCGGAGAACCAGGCAAGCAGCCCGTCCCAACTCACCAACATATGCGGCAAGGCGGTCACTTCCACGCGGAGTATCTTCATCAATGTTGTCAGCTGAACGAAGTGCGTCGCTGAGAAGGAGTATTGGTATGTTGTTGTCTGCGGACATCGTCACCGCGGTGGCGTGCTGATAGAGCTCAGACACGACATAGACACCCACGAGGAGGAAGCTCGAGAAGGTAGAATGTTTAGCAGCCCTGATGGACTGTGTTGACGGTATGGGGTCATAAAGATTGACTTGTTTGGAGCGCAGCTTCGGGAAGTCCGGTATTTCAGCATGGACCATCTGCTCGAGGTTGGTGAGCTCCCAAGAATCCACACTCTCGTCAGTCTGCTTCAGACCATTTTCCTCAATCGCCTTGATAAAGTACGCCATGCCCGTGGCGAGGGCATCAGCAACGACGGCACAGAACTTAATGTTCGCCTCGGCATTGAACAGCACACTCAAAATGTTAAGCATCGTGCCTGCGAACGATGCAAAGTTGACGATTGGGTTCTTGACGTCCGGTACGTCAGCGCAGCCAATGAAAGCCACTCGCTGACACACTCCATGTAAATCGTCGAAAGTTCGCTCTGCCGACGTGTCTTTCCAGTTTCTCTTCTCAACCTCGCTCACGAGGTTGGAAAGGGCCTTGGCATAACCCTCAGGAAAGGCCTTGACTGCAGTTTTAAGGGCCACAACAGCGGCCACGTCAATATCATGCAGCTCGGCCGAGGCTGTAGGCGGGACGTTGAAAGAATTCGTAGCGCGGTAAGACAGCGCTGCGCAGATCTCCTTCAACGTGTCTTGCTCGTACGCTGCGGTCGTCGTCCAGTTCGACTTAACTTGCCGCACTTCGACTACCAGCGAGAGGCCTTTGATTGCTTCCTTGGCGATTTCCGCTTGATCTTTGCTGGGACTATCGACAGTGTTTTCTCGGAAAAGCTTGAAATAAATGTCGTTGATCACCGTTGCCGGGATCTCAAAACCGTCGGTACGGAAAGTCTGTTTATCATCCTCGGACCACTCGGTTATCTTGGCCGTCAGGTGCCGATGAGTGCGAACGAGATTGTTGAGGAGCACAAGGAGATTCTTGGTATGAGCTGGTGACTTCGGCTGGCTGATATTCTGCCTCACAGCTTCAAGGAGACGAGGATTTGTGCGGCAAAATGCGAGAACACTGCCACCTGCGATACTAATCAGAATGGAACCAGCTTGCTCAGTGTACGTCGGATTCTCCAGGTCTTCAGCAGTGTCTTTCCAGGTCTGCGACAGGAATTCCGTCAGGGCTTCTTCAGCACTCTCGGACTTGGCGAGCCGGCACGGCAGAGCTTCAAAAATAGACAGTGTCTCTTGGATTGCCTCCGGTACCTCTCCGTTTCGGACCTCGTATTTGAGAGAAGACCACATTTTCGTAACATAAGGGATGAGACTGGTGTCCACGGGCTCGTAGCCAACCACGCAGGCTTTGATAGTCCGTAGGATATCGAGCTGTTCCTGTCAGTCCTTATGCTCTCAAGTTTGAAGACACTAAGAGTCCACAGCAGAATAAGAACGCAATAGCAACATCTGGAGTATTAGGGGGCTCACCTTGGCCGATGCAGTCAGACTCCCGCCGTCATCGAGCTTTTCCAACAAGAACGAAAACGTATGTTGTGCCAAAAGCCCATTTGCCGCAAAACAAGATCTCAGGGCGTCTTTCAGCTCGTCTTCTGTGACTTCGGTTCCACCAACAGTGGACTTGCGGATGGAAATGGGGAAGAATGGTGAGAATGACTCGAACGCGGCGAGCGAGACTTCCGCGGAAATTTTGTTGTTCTTCAAAACTGTCTCTAATGTCTGGAACCAATCTAACAGATTGACCGGATCCCTCTCCCTTTTGGCGAGCGACAAAATGGGCAACAAGAAGGCGCTACCTTCATAACGTTTCTGGAGAACCCGCGCGCTCTTGTCGTTGAGAAGCAGGCTTTTGATGATTTGAAGAACCTGCAGTCGGGTCTTCGCGAGCTGTTTCGTGTAATTCTCGGGGTCCATCTTTCCGATATTTGCCAGAATATCGTCCGCAGACGAGGGTGGAAAGTTGCTCATTGTAATGAGGACAAGCAAAGCATCCGTCGCGGCTGAAAGACCAGCCGGGTCCTGCTGTTGGAATATGGAGCTAAAGAAGTTCGAGAGCATTTTGACTGTATCAAATCCTCAGCGACTATTTCTTGTACTCAAAAGCTCATGGCAGAGCGTGCTTACTGTGGGTTGACTGTAAGAAGTCCCTGGGCAGGGCAGTCAATGTCATGGCCAAGTATTTCAGACCTGCGGGCGTGTTAGTACGTGTGACGCGAAGAAGTGATTAGACTCAGACAGGAGGGCTGAAATCACCTCTCGCATTCTTCTCTCTGTTCCTCTCTGCAAATTCTAAGGGCTGATCGCCGTCTCCGGAGGCAATCCAGCGATGTATTGACTTGACCAGGGTGAGAACTGTTTGGTCCTGTGGGTAGCCATGCTTTGCCGGGTCCAGAACATCTTTCATAATAGTTAATTCTCAATTACGGACAACAGTGATTGTAATTGGGGTCTTCGCGTGCGTGTGCTTGGACTCACAATCGGCTGCATCACCAGCGATCTTCTGCTGGTCCTCTAGCGAGAGGCCATCGCGCTCTACGAAGCGCACCGCGAGCTCCTCAAGGTAGGTCGACATGGTGGATCTCCTCTTGTCGCTCTGCTTGAGCTGCTCAGAAAGGATGCGTCGGATGACCGTGCGCGATGAGAAAGCTGCTTGGGAGCAGAGATACGGTCCACGGTCAACGGCCAACAGCAAAGGGAAGCGGTCGATGCGGTCGTCAAGGTTGCATTCGTTAAGCTGTTCGGCCGACGCGGAAAATACTGCCGGCTGGGGAAGTGGGATGGCGACTTTCTGGAGCACCCTCTGGGGGCGGACGAGGTCCAATATCGCAGGCGGTGAGCAGCTCCCGATGACGAGACCCTTGTCGAGTGCGCTACTCAGCCGCCGCTATACTTCTTCCAGTAAGAGGGGCAGTGCTCAGGGCCTGCAATTTCTGCTATGACTCCTGTTATCGGAACGTCGATAAGGGGCCAGCCCCTCTAGGGTCCAGTCAGTGCAGAACTCGTGGTGCAGATTTTGGCTTCGTGGATTTTCTGGCGCCAGCATGGCTCAAGGCACGGATCTTCTTCCAAATCGTCTTCGATTGTTCTGGTGTGGTCAGCTTGCAGACTACATACGCGCCTCCCCCTGAACTAGACAACCAGTCTATCACCCTCACACCAGAGGTGGTCAGCCAGCGACCAAGTCCCCGAGGGTCCCGACCATTGCGCTGCTCTCTAAGCGACTATAATACCCAGGCCTCGTCTCCCGCATCCCGCGCTGGGTTGTGTAAGTGAATCCACTTCATCCGTCTCAAATTCAACACCTGGTGGAGGCAAGTCTATTGCCCTGTACCCAGAATGGCCTGTGTCATACCATATCAATCCATATATGAATCGCACCTCTCCCCCTCAGCCATGGCCGTGGCCATCCCACCCTCAAAACACCTCACGATGACATCGACAGCCACCCTTTGTTGCTCCCAGCTGCTGACTCACTCCTGTCCCCAGAGCATGGCAGCACCACCAAAGACCTGCAAGGTCATTCTTGCAGACACCATAGCAAAGAGACTGCTTCAAGAGGTCCAAGAGACTCTTGCGTCTATTGGCAATGGGAAGCCCCGGCTGGTGGCTTTCCTGGCCAACGATGATGACGCGGCAGTGAAGTATGCAGAGTACTCACAAAAGACCTGTGAGGAAAAGTGAGTGTAGCTCCTGAGTGCCCTGTCCTCCGAGACTGGACTCAACTCCGGCGGGATGACCGGGTGGCGGTCTATCAGGGGTTACACAGCTGACTCGACAACCACAACAGCGGTTTCACCTTCGACTTACGACGCATCGATAAGGAAGCTCTGGAGCAAGAAGTCCGCGCCGCCAATGAGGATGACAAGGTCAACGGCATCCTGGTCTATTACCCGATATGGCCCGACAATGTTGCCAAGGACAATTACATCAAAGAGACAGTGGCGCTTGAGAAGGACGTGGAAGGACTTTGCTTCAAGCACCTGAGTAACATGTACCACAATGTGCGGTACCTCGACCCCCCGACAAACCTGAAGAAGTCCATCCTCCCCTGCACGCCGCTCGCTGTCCTCAAGATCCTAGAGCACCTGCACATCTACAACCCGATCCTGGCAGAGGGCAACAGGCTGTACGGGAAGACCATCACTGTGATTAACCGATCAGAGGTCAACGGGCGACCACTCGCCGCGCTGCTCGCAAATGATGGCGCACAGGTGTACTCGGTGGACATCACCGGCGTGCAGTTGTTCACCCGCGGTCAGGGCATCAAGAGCCACCGCCACCAGGTCGAGGACAAGCAGGGCTGGGACTTGAAGAACGTCCTTCCCATCAGCGATGTGGTCATCGGAGGCGTGCCTGTTGAGAGCTACAAGCTGCCGATCGACCTGATTCGGGACGGTACCGTGTGCATCAACTTCTCGTCCTTCCGCAACTTCGACGGCCCAGCTGTCAAGGAGAAGGCATCCATCTATGTTCCCTCCGTGGGCAAGGTGACGATCGCATGTTTGCTGCGAAACTTGGTGGTATGTATTCAACCGATTGCTGCATATCTTCGGACGGATGAAATCGCATAGGAATCTGTTAGCTGACTGTCCAATTCTCCAGCGCCTGATTGCAAACCATCCAGACAAGAATCATCAACAGGCCCGAAACGAAGCGTTCGTCGATGGTTAGGCTCCGTGAAAGCGACGCCGCAGCTACCGCACACTCACCAACAGCCCGAGAACACGCTTGAATTGATGGTGAGGATCCATCAGCCAGCCAGATGCTGAAGTCGTGAATTGTGGGTCATTATGGCTGCTTTTGGTGGTTATCACCGCGACGAATGCTCCAAGCCTGGAGCAAATAGAAAAGATACCCGGGGCTCGTAGGCATATGAGCCCAGCTGCATTGCATGGAACAGGATAGAAGGATCGTTTGAATTATTGGATCCGCTGGCACATTTCTGGATGAAATTGGACATTGGACAGGTTGTTGGTCCCGAAAGGGACAGGATATGGCCCATTTGTGTGTTCTAGGTATGCAACCAGCAGAGAGGGGACGATGGTTCAGCCAACAAAATACCGTACATGTAACCATGAAAATGCTGAGAGGGGATCATCCACCCAGGGCTGTGAAGGCAGGGTTACATTCGCAAAGAGCACTGCCGAAACCCGAGCTGTCAGCACATCACCACTTGCTTCTTTCTCCAGCTCGTCTCATCTTGATTGGCCGGCGATCCAAACATTGATCGCGGTCCCACGCTAGCCCAGCAGCTCCGATCTGGCAGGTGACCCTAGACGAGACGATGCAATCAAGAATGCAACTTCACTACGATAGAGCCAAAGCGAATGACAGCAGCGCAACATGCGCAAAACAGGCGTCCATCGCCCCCAACGAAGGTCAAGCCGTGGGCGATGGGCGCCCTTCCCCTGCAATCACTTTCCCTTTCCACGGTTCCCGCCCTCATGTACGTATCCGCGTCATTGTCTCACACGCCAGCTCAGGGCTGCTTCTGCAGCTGCATGGTCTTTTTTCGAGTGTGCCGTTTGCTCCGACCGCCCTCAATTTAAGATACATCTCCTTTCTTTCCTTTTCCTGTACCTCACAGAGCAGCCTGCGTTGGTTAGGCCAAGCTTTCCCCCTTCTCATTCGCTCCTCGTATCTGCAGGCACTGGGAGCACGACAGCTTGCATGTTCAATTGTCTCATTACGATGCAAACGGGTGTTCCAGGATATTATATCCCATGAGTTTCCTTGGACGACAAAACCCCGTCGACTCCCCGCCGTCAGTTCCCGGACAAGGTGCCGTGACACACTCCCACGTGGTTGTGCTTCCCAGATACCGCACTTCTGAACTCTGGCCCCCGCGACTCCGGGCATGGTCCCAGATATCATAACATGGCAAACGGTACATTCTTCGTTTCGTGGGAGCTATGGCAGCAGATGACCTTTGTCCTGGCCATGGGCATCGTCGCCGTGTTCTTCATCGGCCTGGCGAAGCTGTGGTGGACAAACCGCCAAATGAAAAAGATCGAAGAGCTCGACGCCGAGAAGCAGGTGCGTATGGCGCAGATGCGCAGGTCCGGGCTCTCAGCCAACCGCAGGTCCCGGCTGGAGGGCGAGATCCCGTTCGGTGTCAAGGCTATCGAGACCGGTGTCGAGGTGGAGGGTGTGTGGATTGCAAGAATGGCGTCCATGGCGACGAGGCCGCCGGATAGGAAGTGGAGCTCGAAGAGGAAGGTCAAGACCCCGATGCCAGACCTGGATGATGCAAATCCTGGCAGGTGGTCTGGGAGGGGGTCTATTCGGGCGGGAAGGATTTCTAGGAGGGAGATCATCAAGCCTTCGGCACAGACAGGGAAGAAGCTTGAGAACCTGCAAGTACGGGAGGGTGAAATCCGGTTGAGTGGTTCCGCACGAAATAATCGGCTTCCTGTTAATCTTGTTGACGATGAGCAGGCCAGAAGTCTCACGCCGGAAGACAAGACTGGCGTTTCTACACAAAGAGGACCTCTTGGCCGGATACAGAGGAGCCTCAAGAAAATGACTTCGATGGAGGCGCGGAACGAGCAGCAGAGGAGGCATCAGCTTGGCGGACAAGAAGTCAGAGAGTTCCGCATCAATTCCCAGGCGAGAAAGCCTCAAAGATTCTACCCGGAGGATGCCACACCGATAGCTCCCGTGGCACCTCTGCCGAGTCATCGTTCGATCCCACAGCGAAGGTCGAGCCTTGTGAGCGAAACGGGTCGGAGCCTAGCGGACGCAGAAAACACTAAACCAAGGGATGTCGTTGTGATCCAGCCAACACGCCAATCATCCACCGTCCCTCGAAGCCACGAACCACGCCGCCAAACATCGCATGCTTCGAGCGTCTCGTCCGTGGACTCCTTCGTGACTAGTATTGAGGAGCTCAAAGAGTTCGCACCCAGGTCGCGGCCGCCCCCACTCGAGCACCATCCGGTCTTCTCCAGTGCGGACCGCGAAGCACCCGAAGAAGACGACACATTTGGCCGCAGGCGCTCTCGTCGTTCCCCGCAAAACCATGTGCGGCAGTCATCATCTGAGGACAGAAGCACCATCCATGAGCAGCAGGATGCTGCACAGTCAGCGCCCTCAACTGCGCTACGATACCCTCCGAATAGCAGCCGGAGCGCCGCGTATATCCAGCCTCGGCCGCAGTCCTCCAGCCAGGACCAACAGCAACAGCAACAGCAGAACCATGGTGCTCCATCCACTACGCAGCCTAGTCCTACATTCGGGCCCAGTGATTCGTGAGTATTGGCATGCCTTCGCATTCTGAGCGGGTGGAAGCTGACAGAAACATCATCTGTAGATATATCAACACAAGCACGCGAAAAGTAAACTCAAATTTCGAGGTCCTCCCGGCCGGCACCTTTGGCCTTCCCGAGCAGCAAGCCACAGAAGGACCTGCCAGTGCAGCCGCCAGCGTCCGGTCGTCCTTCGAATCTCAGCGAAGCAGAGAGAGGAGGAAGTTGCAGAAGAAAAGGACCAGTAGTCATTACAGCAAATAAGCAACCATCCGGCCAGTATATGCGATGTTCTTGATCTTGGGTCATGTTCAGATGATAATGGGAAATCTCACACCAGAGGTGGACTGACTTTTGCAATGGTGTTCCGCTCGCGAAGCCTCGGGGCAAGGAGGGGCATGATATTAGCTGAGCCGGCCCATGCTGATGCTGAACCCTGATATTGAATCTATATATACTTGTCAACATCGTGTCAATAAGATTGCGCTTCATATACGAGCCTGGCAAGCTAGTATTTGTCGAGACAGAGGAATCGTACATTTACTCGTAAGCATGGTCAAAGGCATGTCAGGCATTGCATGGTGCTGTATCGTAGGACAGATCTGCATAATGAGGAATTTCAGTATCAGGCACGCGTTTGAGTCCCAGATTCGCGAGTGACCATCTCTTTTCCCTTCTTGATGCCCCTCCCCCGCTCTTCTTGTTATCGGCTGGACCTCAGCAGCGATGTCTTTGTCCTCGACATTAAGTCCATGTGCGGTAGACATCCCACGCCAACCTAAAAAGGGGGCAATCTGTCCTAACCCTATGGATAACTCGGAACCTGAACCTGCCAATTGGCAGTGGGGTCTGCTTGGCTGAAGATCTTCATCCGGGCTGCTCGGTCCTCATGCCACGACTGGTTTGACGTCACCTGAAGTTTGTCAACTCTCGGCTTTCCATTAATTTCGAGTCTTCTCTCACGACACTTCATCACCATTGAGCATCGTAGCACGCCGTAGAGATCTCAGCATCAAGTGCAATGGATTGCTTGCCCTTGCCAGTGGTTTGCATTCAATGCGGGCCGGGAGTAAACAACGCATGCCACTTTAAATTCATCGGTGAGCATGCCCTCCATGTCAGACGGACCAAGTCCGGATACGCGCGATGCTGATCTTTCTATGTGCGCTGCAGGGCCTACGATTGGCTTCGTCATGGCTGTCTTTCTCGCAATCATCTGCTGGCCCCTCGCCCTTCTCTTTTGTTGCTGTGCGACAGACGCAGGCAAGAAGTAGGTCGTGCTGTCATGCTCTAGTCTCCTGTTTCTAACGGCAACTGCCGTATTTCTTATTATAAATCCTCTTTTCCGGGGCTGACTCTGTAATCAGACTACTAGCTTTCCCGGCAGACACGTCAGCTGCAATATCCGATTGTTTTCCGATCTGATGACTGGAGGCGTGCAGACATGGTTGGCTTTCATTGCGCGAATAGAATGGGGTTCTTGGGCATCAAATCTAGACATTGCAGCATGTTCATGTTCAAATCATACAAATCTTGCGCACAGGATCTCAGCTGCTTTCACAGCCGAGTCGTACTCAAATACAATATCGATGCCGGCGATAAATCTGGAGACGATGACTCCTGATTCAAGTGAGCCGTTGATGGAGATCATACCAGTCCAGCAGTTTAAGGATCCGTGTTCAGGGTTGACCACCTGATTCTCTGACAGCAAATGCCTCGTACTACTTAAGGTATTTCTTTTACCAAAATCATTGGATCCTGATGTAGAAGTGGGAAGGAGACACATATCTACTGTTACGGCGACGGGAGAAGTCATCGTCACATGCCGTACATCTGCTTAGTATCTGTGTATGCATCTTTCACCCCAGCACAGAGTTATAATGATACACTTTCCCAACTTGGGCAATATTGAATACTAATACGTCCGAGGTGCCGAGAAAAGCGGCCGCTCGTAACCTCCTACCTATGCGGAGCTTGGTTCTTGATTACGGAACAGGTGAGCTAGCTAATTCGCAGTCGGTGAGCTGTCGATTTGTAAGCTGGAGTCTAACTAGTGTTCATTCATGTTGCGAACACAGCGAATCACACCGACAAGCTCTCTATGAGATTGAAATCGTCCAGGGAGGTGAGTAGGCACAATGTGTACGCCGTACTATCTTCACTAACGTTCCATCGCTCGTTATTCGCTTATGCAAGGATTGCTAGCAATGTCAGCCCTGGACAAAGTCCAATCCTTCTCACCACTCCACCATCAGCTTGTTGCATCAAAACTGTTGGGCATGTCCATTCTTGGACAAAGTCTAAATAATCCCAGTATCGCACTAGCCTAGCTACCTATAAAGCGCATGCGGCACATGTCTTCAGTCTCACCCTTTTCTTCCCGTTGACCTACTGTCACATTTCCCATACACCAACTCCAGCTGGCTACAAACAACAGGCACAAGAAGATAGAAGACCAATATGGCACCATCGGAACTTGTTCTTCTCACAGGCGGTAATGGGTTCGTGGGAAGCGCGGTGCTTGTAGCCCTTTGCGAAGCCGGATATGATGTGCGCGCAGTTGTCCGCAGGCAAGAAGCCATCGACAAGACATCTGCTCACCCCCTCATCAAACGATTCTCCGACCGGATCCAATGGAGCGTTATCCCTGACATCACGAAGTCGGATGCCTACCTCGAAGTTGTTAAGGGGTGTCACCATATTGTACATGTGGCTTCACCTCTTCCCCCGATCCCCCCTCGCCCAATGGACCTGCGCACACCCGCGCTGGAAGGCACTCAAGCCATCATCAAAGCTGCCGAAAGCGAGCCGCTGGTGAAAAGAGTGGTGATCACTGGCTCTGTCGCCTCACTCATGCAGCCAGAGCAAAGGTTGCCGGAGCATCCCGATAACCAACCCGGCGCCACCGTCCCGCTCATGTCTGCAGAGACACACTATCCCACACCAGCCGAGCGGCCAGACGACGCCACCACCCCGCCAATGCATCGTTACTTCGATTCCAAGCTCGCGAGCGCTAACCTGGTCAGGGACTACGCGGCCGCGCACCGCGACTCACATTTCCAGATCGTCATCCTGTGTCCGGGGTGGGTCCTAGGCCCGGGCCTGTTCGTCACGAACAAGACCGAGGCGATGGCCACGGCCAACCTGACGCTTGGGTGGGTCATGGCCGACCTGCGCGCCGCCGTCAACCCCGTCATAGGGCTCCCCGCGGAGCAGCCATCGCCCTACCGCACCGAGTTCGTCTGGGTCGACGACGTGGCGCTCGGCCATGTCAGGGCGCTCACTGTGCCGCTGCCGTCCGGCACGAACCTGCAGATCTGGATCATGGCGGTTGACTCGCCCGCCGGGCTGCGGATCGAGGATGTTGAGGACATCCTAAAGCGAAGGACGCCCGAGATTGCAAAGCACTTGAGCTTTGCAGGACGGGGCAAGGTGCAGTCTTTACCGATCAATTCTGACAGTGGGAGGACACAGGAGGAGCTGCTGGGAAAGAAATACGTATCTTTTGAAGACCAGGTTGTCAAGGCTGTTGAGTGGATAGTCAGTCTGCCGGATGCTGAGCCTTCGGCCGCCTAGCAAGATTTAGCATTCGAACGGCAGGGAGGCAGTATCCCAGACATCCCTCAGTAAAGGAAACACGGTCACTTACATATGAGTCAAGTTTGGAGAAAGACTGCAATCTGTGCAAAAATACCACACTTCTATATGCCGGTAATAAACTTTGTATTAATGTATGTTGTGCCGAGCGCGGGAGTTGGTTGCAGATGACTGCAACAACTCGATTCTGTCTCGTCTCCGTGGCTGACATGAGCTGAAGGGGAGACCTGTTCGTTTTCTTACATTTCTGATAATCGTGGCCGCTTCTCACCTCTAGAGCGTGGACGATCTTGCGGACAAGAACTGACTACTTTGCCTTCCCCTTCACTTGTCGAGCAAGCAAACATCATTCTCCAAGCCGCCACACAACTTCAGCAGCAACTTGATGATCACGGCCTGCAGCAACTCTCCCTCAAAGTTGGAGGCCGCAAGGACTGGCACGATGCAACTGATGAGCCAGGAATCCTCAGGACAAGGTCACTTACTAATCGATGCTAGTCAAGCAATGCTGAACCTCGCACTTGGCCCGATAGATGCCATGAGCGCTCTCACCGGACCAGAGGTATGCAAGCTCGAGGTTATGCGGACACTCGAAGCCCTCGGCGTGCCTCAAGCGGTGCCTTTGGACGCAGACATTGGCGTGGGAGAGCTGACAGCCAAGCTGGGAGTCAATGAGTCGCTCTTGCGCCGGCAGCTCCGGTTCGCGTTCTTGCTTGACATGTTCCAGGAGCCCCGAGAGGGGTTTGTCGCGCACACAAACCTTTCCTCGGCGTTGTTGGACTTCTCACCTTACATCAAGCTGAGATTATCCCCGTTGTTTGCGAGAGGAGCACACAAGATCCCCGAGGCCATGAAATTATCCAGTGCGGATTCTGTCCACATCCCTGTTCAGCTTGCTGATCCTCGCCAGCGGAACATGTGGCAGATGTTGGAGGATGATTATCCGGAGGGTCAGGGTATGAAGCTATTCAGCGCGGGGATGAGATCTAAATTGTCTGCTTCGATGGGGCCTTCTTTGAGCCCATATATTCACGGCTCTGGTTGGGAGTCTCTCGGGCCGTGCACGGTTGTCGACGTGGGCGGAGGCAACGGACATGTTGAGATCAGTCTGATGAGGCAACTGCCCGGCATCGAATTCATCGTTCAGGACTTATCGACCAATGCAGAGCCTGCTCAAGCATTAATCGACCAGTACGCGGCACACGATCGAGTCAAGTTCCAGTCGCATGATTTCTTCCAGCCTCAGCCATCTCTACAGGTGGCACCGAAGGCGTATCTGCTCAGCCGAGTCTTACACGACTGGCAAGACGAGGACTGTGTCAAAATCTTGAGGCATTTATTGCCGGAAATGGAGAGACATGGTACCAAGCTCTTGGTCTGCGAGCGCGTGCTGCCTGAACCGGCCGACGAGTTTTTCAACTATATTGAAAAGCAGCTGAGAACGCAGGATATGCTCATGTTCACGCTGTATGGAGGTGGTGATAGAAGTCTCGTAGATTGGACGGCGCTGTTCAAAAGAGCAGATGCGGGGCTGACTGTGGAAAAAGTCAACCGACCGCTGAACTCGGTCTTCTCGTTCTTGACACTAGGCATCAAGGCAAACGAAGAGATGTCTCATTGAATACATATTCTCAAATGTCTTGAAGCTCGGAGTTCGGTCAGTTCTTCGTTACTCATTCGGTGAAGCGCCCTTCTATTTTGGCACATGATAAACACAATCAGGTGTGCCTTGATAACATGAATGCATACTTCGTTGTGGCGCAGACTGCAAAGAGAATAGGCAAGTAATCCGGACACGTACTACAGCTCAGAATCTGGGTGGCTATGCTCAAGGATACGAATAGAAGAGGTTCCTGTGTACATGTGAGTATCTCCTTCTATCGTGGATTCTGCAGCTGAAATGTCCCTCCTACTGATCCCGGGCAGGGCTCCATGTTGCCCGGCAGGAAACGATCTGACTATGAAAGGCCATGGGGCTTAGAGGGATTTGATTATGATACGATGGATTCCGCACTACATCAATGATTTTCAATACAACAGAAGACGAGTGTATTTTTTGAACCTCCACACCTTCTTTACTTCTATCTGTGGTCTCCTCTACTGCTGGTAATGCGCCACAAAATGTGAAGACGCGATTTTGCGGACCCCCTGAAAACAGAAATTGTGCCACACTTGACGGGCGCCAGCAGAAGATCATAACATCGAAAGACTCTGGCTGGCTGGCCGGTTGAGAGGCCCAAGGTTGCGGCTCCATCTGAAACCAGGGATCATTTCGCTACCCGTCCCAGGCAGAGACATTGACGAAGTCTCATAGGGCTGCCAGCGCCCTTCGGACCCATAAGGAATGACAACCCTGCATGGAAAATTGGGGAGCTGAATGCTCGGTGTAACCCTGTGACGGGCCCTGTTTACCCGTACATATTCTTTCATCCACCTCCGGGTCCTCATTCAGTCGAGAATCACACTCGTGTCGACGTATCTCCCTTGCAATACACTTCGATATGACGAATCTTGGTCCCCTAACAACGACATTCACCGCTACCGGCGCGGATTGCCAATCTACGTATTTGGCTGCTAATAACGATAATCAGTGGATCCAGTACGGTCAGCCAGACACGACGCAATGTGTGCCGCCGAGTTTCACGCCATTTCAAAAATACTATTATTCGCCTGGAATATGCCCTTCAGGATATTATTACGCGTGTGAGGCGGGTGTAGGCACAAGTAGCACCCAGGCAACGTGCTGTCCAACGTTAGTGATTCCCGATACGGACTCAAAAAGATCATTCGAAGGGCAAAAGAGTAGCTTCGAACGTGGTTAAAAGATGATGCTAATTCCACGTGAAGCGGGTTTACCTGTCGGACGGGAATAGATCGTGCCACCGATCCTTTCGCGTGCGCGTCAACCTACGCTAGCGACACATACGTCTCAGTGAATTACTACAAATTTACATCGGCATCCGACTCACCGGAATCTGTCAACACCACCTCGGAAACGACAACTTTCTTTGTTGAAGCGTCCGGGGCATATGTAGAAGCATATGGTCCTGTGGTTCGGCGATCAGAAGGAGATCCTGAATGGAGCACCACGACTTCTACATCCACCGGCTCGACGAGCAGCACTGAGCAGAGCGGGACTGTGAGCGGTACCAGCACGTCTAGTATAGCAAGTGCCACTTCAAGCTCCGGATCAAACAGCAATACAAGTTCTGGCAGCGGTCTCAGCGTCGGCGCTAGCGCAGGTATCGGCGTCGGCGTGGCTGTCGGGTGTATTATCTTCATCTCATGTATCGTGGCAGCATATATAATAGGAAAGCGGAGAAGAGCCGCGGCACAAGGGCCAGACGGTCCCCAAAGTCCTCCCTACAGGGGTGGCGTGCCCGTGCCTGGGCAGACGGCAGAGCTAACCAGTACCGAATTCAAACCGTGGGAGCTACCAAACGGCTATCAACAGGTAGCGGAGATGGATAGCCACGACCAGAGGAGCGAGATGGCCGCACACAGCCCTCCAATCGAGCTTCAGGCATCTCAAGGACGTGATCGATACGCCTGAGCGTGACAGGCCTGGCCGCACAACGAGATATAGACAGAAGTGGCGACATAGACTTCAAAATAATTCATCAATCACGCATTGGAAGCCTTGCAATTCAAGGGAAAGATCGATGCTATGCGAAACAATTGCAACCCAGAATTCACTATGCTGAGCCGTAATTATCGTTAGAAAAAACGTAAGCATTTCTCTCCCATTTGCCTCAGAGCTCGGACCCGATCAACAATTTTGATAGATGAGAAGAGACGAGAATATTGCGAAGAGACTGTTGGTAAAGGAAGGACCTTTGTACTGGTATTACAGGAAGACCATAGGAGAGGGAGTAGGCGAATTCATCTGCTAGACCATGCTGACACTGCAGAACCAGCACTAGCACTAGTGAGAGCTTACGAAGAGTCTCGTTTGAATAAAGTACAGCGTAGGACGGATTTATTGTCGACTGGCCGTATTGAGTCTTAGATGAAGACAGTGTGAAACACACAGGAGCGCAAATTGAGACGACACTCGATGCTTGGGGTGAGAACATGCGCATAGTAGTTTACTATTGACATTGTTGCAGTCTCGTGTTCCGGTACTCCTGAAGCCACGGTTCTCATTCTGCAGGTTTTACCTCATATAAAGAGCAGACAGGTACCTCCATCACTGCATCCAACATGATTAAAGTAAAGGAACTTAGAAAAGATCAAGCTCGGCTGATTGTTGCACAATATCATTGTCAGCTTTGTCTGTTACGTCGCTACTGTATTCTCAGCAATTGGCCACTTGGGCATGCTCGTCCATCCATCATGCATTTAGCTAGGGTGTCATATGACCCTTGACAAGAACTTTGTATTAAGAGACTGCCACGCACCTGCCCGGACCTGGGAGTCATATCTGAGACTCTGAAGCGCAACTCAAACACTTAAAATCCATCCCTTCCACAAAATACCAAGGGAAGAGATACCTATTCAGCAAGCCTCCGATAAATTTCTTGAGGTATACCTGAAAAAGGCTCAGGATCGCTTCCCCTTCGTGTTCGTTTTCTTGAGCCCAGCCCCAGAGAGAAAAGCCAGTCTCACAAGAATGACCGTGCCGACGATGGCCCAATTACCCCAGTCCTCTAGCCTCCAAATGGTGGGGTCCAGACGTCCCTGCTTCCCCATGAAGTGCCAGAGCGAGTACAGAAGCTCGAAGTCATAGAGGATGATACCGGACTGAACAATCCTCCAAACGCCTAGATCACTCGTGTAACGCAGGAGAACTGCGCTCATCACAGCGATGGTCATGAAGCTTCCAGCGAGGTGGAAAAAGAGCATGTCATGTTCCGGATTGCGTACTGACATGGACTTGGGGATGTAAGCGTCCAGGATGGTGTCTGGGGCTGTGAAATGCGCCCATATCGAAGGGATGCTGATGGCGGGGTCGATCCAAGTGAAGAAGATACGGTAGAACGCTGGTATGCGAGCTTGCCTGAGTGGTGCCATATTTACAGCTAAGTCAGGTTCGGTCGTTTTACACAGACGATTGAACAGCGTTGTCAGTCGAATAGTGACGGCTGGCGGTGGATCGAGAAGGGTTCGGAGTTTGTGAATCATGCGCCGTCACGTCTGTCAGAAATTAGTACGCTTCGCGGGATCGCGGGCGGCGGGGCACCGTGTTTTCTATGCTGGATGCGTCGACCCTTTTACATGAAGGGAATAGGCTTAGCGGTTTTGCTCGAATGACGGTGTCCCCCAAGCATACATGGTCTTGTAGGACGCGCCAAGGGAACGCTACATCTTCTTAGGTAAACGGTGCTCGGCCTTCACTTGTTTTTTTCTTTCCATTTGACACTTTTGAAGGTCGAGTCACAATTCCGGAACGTCTGGCATATAGCACAATTAATGAAAGCAAAGGTCAAATCGAGAAGATGTACCCAGTCGATATGGCAATGACGGCGACAACACTCGCAGGTGGAGGGAATCATCCAAGCAAAAAGCTGCGGCACTGTTTATCAAACAATGATACATCTCACCGAGCGATTCATCATGCATTTTGGGAAATCACTACACGCTCTCAAAGAGTGCCACCCCCCCCCCCTCCCAAAAAAAAGAACATTAACATGCTTTTGGGGGATTTCGGTGACCTTAAAGAGAGCCTTTCCATGATTTGTAGTACGCATCTTCCTTCAATTGCTGACCGGCTAGTTTTCACCTCCCCCGCCATTAAGCTCGCGGTTTGGGCGGAATACTTAGTCCCTGTACCTCGAGTGGCTCAAAATATGCCGTCATGTGTCCCTGATCAAGCAGTCTCAGCTGGCTGGGTCTCGTTGTTCGACCGAGACCTCAAGACTTACGCTCTTGGAGATCGAACCGTACCGTTCTCGATTATCCTGCCACTCATCACCGAACTTCTCGTAGATCTCGCTGATGACTGCGGAAAATTTGTGCTCCGTCTGTTTCCGCATGACGTTACCTTTCAATGTCCGTATGAGGCTGCCAATAGGCAGCACCAAAATGTGCGAATATGCGACCCTCCTGTGGGCCGGAACAGAAGAGTTACCAGCCTCGATGCAGGATTCCCATAATTTGCGTTTCTCAATCTCGTCATCAAATTCGCCTCTCTTCGCATGGAGCTCCACCATTACTAATGGTTGGCGGTGACCTCTCCCAAGAATCAGGACCTCTGAAACACCATCTCGGCTCTTAATCAACTTCTCCATCGGTCCCGGGTGGTAGTTGACACCAGAGGTGAACGAAATGATATCGTCCGCCCTCCCAATAAATCTCCAAGCGAACTGGGATTTCTTCGGGTCAGGGTGTGGAGTCCATATATCACCTATCCTCAACTCGGGTTGACCCCCCTTCGTCTTCTCCACGGCTGAGCCCTTGCTCGATGCTATGGCCCCAATGTCTACCCCAGAGTTTGCGTGCCAACTTGCCACGGACGCCATACCAGGAGATATCGTAAAGACCATCTCATACAGGGGAATCTCGGTACCGTCGTCTACCGTGTACGTAGTCTCAACGTCTCGAAACTCAATGCCTGAATATATTGGGTCGAAAAAGACATACTCATGGTCCTCTACGTCACCAACAAGTTGAGGAGGTGCCAGAGTCTCCGTAGCGCCCCAAGCTGATTGAAATGTGGTCCATTTTGCCCAGATTTTGGCGGTGGTGTCAGAGATATTGGCACCGCAGTACATAGCTGAGTCGAATGGCTCTATGTATGACTGAGCATTTGGCTGCCTCGCAATGTGGTCCATCATCCATGGTGTAAAAAGAGCCTGTGTCACATTCGCGTAGTCGAGGATGTCGCATATCTCCTCAGGACGGACAGCGCGGTGAGCAAAGCCTGGGTTTATATAGGCTATTAGACAAAATATACTTTGCGGCACATATATGTAAACGACGTAAACTGACCTGGCACAAAGACACCGCCGCCAAAGACTGACATTATCATAGCGAAACTGGCTGATAACGCGTGAAAAGGCAGCGTGACCATTATAAATCGAACGCCTTTCCCGGGTTTATGAAGTGACTGGAGATGCTTTCTTCCACAGACATCAGGGAGAAGCTCCTGGGCGTCCTGAGTCGAGATCATAGCGTGAGTGTAGCTTGATTCAGGTCAGCAGTCAAGTTCTTCCTGTTCATTCAAGCGATTTTCAGACCAATGGAACGCACACAATTGGTTTGGTCTCCCGTTGAACCGCTGGTGTGCAGTATCATATCTTGATGCACCAGGTCAGCTTAGGAATGCGAGTCGGCAACAAACACTTGAATTCACATACAAGGATCGTGGAGGGCATCCTCAAATTTCTTGGTGTATGGATAATGAGGGACCTTGTCTTCCAAGTCTATGAGACCGTCCAATTCGGGAACAACAAATGCGTCCATAGGCCGCTCTTTCAGTATGTCTGAGACGTTGACGCCGATGGCCGAAAAGAGATATTTGCAATCCGTGTTCTTCATGAGAGACAAATGGACGGACAGACTGTTGAGCTGAGATGAGTAAAGCACTTTGTGGCCAGTCTTACATGCCGCCATTTGCATCTGTTGGGTCCCGATCGTCAGCCTCGACTCCTTTAGCATTAACCTCCGTATGGAAATTCAGGAAGACGTAATCAAGCATGATGACGGAGGATGTCGGAGGGTCCCAAAGTCATGTCTCGGCCTGGACTCGGAATCTGTCCGATCTTGTCACGGCATCCAGAAGACTGACCATATGATACCGCACATCAGGAGTACCCAGATACGCGATCGTCTCAAAAGTTTCGGACCGCCCAACAGACTTCTCCAACATCCAGGCCAACTTGTTGATCGCATTGGCGAGGGACAAATATGATATGTCAGCGTAGCCCTGCGAAAGATCGTAGTCATCTCGAGGAATCGAGCCCCATGGTCGGTCGGGATCTTCACGGGCGAGTTCATCAATAATGACCGGAAGCAGTCGCTTGCCACATTCACCTGGCGAGACAGACGTTGCCATTGTGGGAAACCTAGGTACGCGCTGACCCTAATGCTCCGCGGAGTATAGGAATGCGTCAATAGAGGAGGAAATCAGGCCCTACCTCGCCCCCGCCTTCACAGAGCCTGTCGACACGGGAGACGCTTTTATACGTAAGGATAGCTTCGGCCCGGTAGAATTGATTCGTTATGAGCTGCTGCGCCCCCAACCGATGACATGAGATACGACCAACATGCCCTGCGTGGGGCTTGATTTTACCCTTGCCCTCTCAGGGGCTTTTCTTTCCAGTTGAAGACTAGGGCGTGCAGGAAAAAAAACCTCGGTCAGCCGATTGCTACAGTCAAAAGCTACACATCATTTTGGGCCGAGGCAGGATTCAACTGGTCGCCAATCGCCTTGCTTACTTTGATGGGCTGCAGGCTCCGATGGGTCATGCCTGTCTTCTCCTGTGTTTCGATCATCACAATCAGTATTCGGCTGTGTAAATCAGGAACATCCTGGAGGCGGGTCCTTAAGCATCTGAGTGGGCACCGACCTGCATGTTCCCACTATGCAGTCATAGATTCCCCTTGAGCGCAAAATTGTTCGGATAGCATCCCCGATAGAAATATCCAGATGATGGTTTTCAGAACTAACCAGCTCCGGTAAAGTTATGTTACATAGGGGCCTACCCAGATGAGTACCTTCTAGATTCTCTACACAGGCCTGTCGATCAAAATGCTAGCGAAAACCGCGTGCAGCTATTTCTAGATAACAGTGATAACTTCGCCATATCAAGTAATTATCTGCAATCCAGCAAATACCATAAGGATCGATACGGCATCGTACATAACCGACTTCACCTGGTTGTTCTTTTTCTCAATTTATCCCGGTCTTTCTCTGTCACAGCGCCCGACGTTCCGAGAACTCATGACAACATCTAGGTGTTGGCAAGTCACATCGCAGAAGGCATTTCTGGATAATGCTCACGGTATGTAGTCGGACCCAAGTTTAATCCCCGGAGACGAGACCGTCAGCATATGTAGCGGAATATACTGTCTCTTTACACGACCAACCGACAACTCCTGGTGGTGCAAGGTAAGGAGGACACAAGGTGTACGGTCAAGGCACCCTGAGGGACTATAATAGTCATAAGCATGCTTCTGGGTATGTTACCTAGCTATACAAGTTGCCGATCGTTGTACTAGGGCAGGGTGCATCCATTTTCAGGCCCAGCTCTTCTTGATGCAGCATCTGCTGTCATGTTGGCGGCAGCTTTCCAGAACTGTGTCCATAATTGTTTTCGCTAGGGTTCTTCGTGTTTTTCATGCGAGATGATGACGATTAATTGGATATCTCACACAGACTTCTAAAGCCAGTACTTACGGCCAAGTTTCGTTCTCGATCAAGACTCTGTTCATAAGTTGTACAGCAGAGCCTATATGGTCGACGCGGCAACGGTACTCACCAGATCTACAAAGCCATAGCCAAAACGCTACTCCATGCATATGGTCATGCCGGAAGTCTAATTTTGTAAATCTTTAATACTATTTTCACAGTCGGACTTTACTGGACAATTTGAACCATTTATTTTGCTACGGCATTCTAAGCCTTTTTTGTTTTTGTTTTTTTGACAAGCAACAGGGCACAATTTTATGCGCCGCCCTTGACCCGCGTCTCAACAGGCTTGTACTCTCCAAAGACCTTGGCAAACTCGGGTGTTGCTGCAATTCCCTTCAAGTATTCGATTGTGGCCGGCGCAGTCTTCCTCATCTCTGCATCCAACAAGAAACCACTTGCAAAGAACAGAGAAGCCACGACCTCCAAATCCGCCAGCGTCAGTTGCTCTCCAACGAGGTACTTCTTGCCGCCCTTCACCGCAGCCTCGACTTTTTGCAGTGATCGCTCGAAGGCGGAGGCTGAGAAGTTGTACCGCGTCTCATCGAAGGGCTGAAATTTGAGCATCATAATAAGAGGAGGGGTGGCGTGAGCGTTAAGCTCCGTTTCGGTGAACAGAGTCCATTCGGCAATCTTAGTCTTGGTCTTCAGGTCAGAGCCGAGGAGCTGCTCGGCCCGGGGTCCACTGCCGGCAAGATATGTGGCGATCGCGGCGCCCTCGGTCAGGGTAAAGCCATCGGCACCCTCAAAGGCGGGAACCTTGCCGAGCGGGAATTTGGCTAGGAACTCTGGTGTCTTGTTTGCCTGACCGAATTGAAACTCTGGAACGTCGATTTCAAGACCGTTAAGGGCGGCGATGACAAGAGCCTGGATGGTGTTAGATAATTATAACGTTGCAAAAGTGCACCATATGCTTATATCTACTGGAACATACGCGCTGCACCCGAAAGTTGTTCGGGTACGAGTAAATTGTGCCGAAGGAACCCATATTGATGCTTAGTCGTGAAGAGAGATCGTTGATTAAAAATCGAAGGTGTATGTCGAAACTCAAAAGGCTGATGTTGCAATTTTCGACTCAGCAGATTGGTCTCTGAGTCTTTATGTATGTTGTCATCTCAGAACAGTTGTCCTTTCGGGTTGTTCTCTATTATCCGAGCATTTGTAAGAGGCCCCTTAGCGCCAAGACGGATGTTTGAGATGCTAAAAAGATGTGGAAATTGTCCCTACACCCCCCTTCAACATATGTGAGCCGTGGTCCAATAGATCCGCGTTTGTGAAGACGCAAGTGGGTCATGTGAGGTTGGTAGAAGCTTCTTGAAGACGTTCTGCTTAACAAAGCAATGCTGTGTGACTCGGTTATGTTGCATCATTTGTTCACACTGCAGACTGGACCCACTAGAGCGCGCGCTCTGTTCCATACGAGAATCGATGATGGAAATATTGCATATGTTCATTCACCACGGTCAAACGGGTCAATAAGCCTTAGGAGCTCAGTCATTTCTAACCTTCGAACCTTTGTTCATTCGACAATGTACAATTAACAAATCTCGAAGAGATGTGTTTTGGATTTCACGAATCTTGAGCTTAGATAAGGTCATCATGCGTAAGACGCTAACAGGGAAGTATAGCGTTGGTCACTGAGGTGATCATTTGAGATACTCAAAGGAACCTTCTTTTTGACTTCCAATAGCCCAACCCTGAAGATGAGACGAACTCCTGTCTGTGAAGAAGTACGCATCTGAAGTTTCCAGACAACTTGGATGAGGAGAGCCATTATAAAGAGGTCTGTGATCATAGTAAATGCGTCGGTGGCTGTGTACGCTGCCGGTCGGTCTCCACGTAAGGCTTTCACATTATTTCCCAGTTGAAATGGCATGGTCGGCAAATCGAGAATACTTGAACAATGTTGGCAATGAATACAAGCGCCAACAAACGAAAGAAGAATCAGTAGGCTGCTATTCACGCTCTTGAAAACCCGTTGGCCGGTCTTGAGAATGAATATCAAGTTGTCCATGGGTATCTCCGTGATGCGAGTACGCATGCCATAACTTGCGTCTGGCGTGTTCGGCGTGCCAAGAAGCATATACATATATCAATGTAATGGGCCTGAATGACGATGAACAAAAATTCACCAGTAATCTCGAAGGCAAGAAGGACGTAAAGGAGAAGCAACCTGGCTATGATCGTGTAACCCTTGACCCAGACAAACACTTTCCTGATTTTCTGAGCCTACACGCGAAAGATGACCGATGTTGTCGCAACTACAAGGAGTACTTTACAAACTATAAAGCTGTCAAAGAAGCTGGAATAGTCATGTAGAGGGCAGGTTTGCATCTTGAATAGGCAACGTCGTAATGGAATGTATACAAGGAAGGAGAAGGGATGAGGAAGGAGACAGAATGGTAAATTCAATGATTTATGCGGTTCAACACCCAAGCACAGTCTCACATCTGCTCCACAGTTTCCTTTCATGTTTCCTTCCGAGGGAATTTAAAGGTTTTACCTTGCCCTTATCGTGCGATCCAATGACGAATTTCCAATGAATTGTTGTTGGTTCAGCACAGCAGTGTCACAATTGAGTCTGGAAAAAAAATGTGGATAAGATACTGATACTACTGAGCCTGTCCATGTTACATGGTGCAAGTGCAAAGGAACCAACATGCGCTTCTTATCTGCATGAAAACTCTGGAGCCGAATATGTGGAACCTTGACGTGTGCCTGCATAAGTTTCCTCAACAAGTTGCCATTGAGTACTCTTCAAATATTTCATCGCATGACATGTGTGACTAGTCAAGATATTCTCCGCTTCCCCAAAGCGAAAGTAAGAAAGGTGTGGCACGATGTTCTCCCTTTCTCGAGAGTTCATCATTCGTCGTGAATAATCTCCGTGCGTGTCTCGTTCTAATTGCTCCGTTTTGTGTTGGAGCAAGACCAAGGTAGCTCATCCAAGCATCCAATTCCAATCATGTCACCTGTGTACGGCATCAATCGAACCAGCTTTGACTTTATTGTCGTTGGCGGCGGTCAATCCGGTCTCGTCGTGGCATCTAGGCTGAGCGAGGATGTCGATAAAACAGTTGTTGTCATTGAGGCGGGCTCGGACCGTCAGGGCGACACAAGAATCGACACGCCTGGATTGATGACCACGCTATATGATGATCCGGATTATGACTGGAAGCACATGACCGTTCCCCAAAGCAATGTGAACAACAGACAGATTTCTTGGCCCAGGGGTAAGGTCCTGGGCGGAACATCAGCAATGAACTTCTCCGCCCTTGTTTATCCAGCCAAGAGCGATTTTGACAACTGGTACTACTTTCTAGCTTCTTGATACCCTCTGTCGAATATTTTGGCACAAAAAGTGAAGGAGTCATGATATATTCTCTCGAAGAGTCAATTCTTGAGCCTACAAGATAAAATCCAGTTGCCGGATAAGCAATGACCACTAACAGAAAGATAGGGCGACTCTGGTAGGAGACCAAGGGTGGAACAGTCAAGGCATGGCCTCGTATCTCAAAAGATTTCACAACTACCAAGCACCAAATCCAGAGCTCAAGAAGCGCATGATGATGCATTGGGTAGACGAAGAGGCGCAAGGTTACGATGGGCCTCTGCCGGCATCCTTTACCAATGAATTAGGCGCCTTCGTGAGTAAATTACTTTCTTTCTCTTGATTTCAAGCAAGTTCCGTTATAAATTTCCCAGGAACGTGGGCTTGTAATTGTGATTGTATCAGTGTAAGAAATGTTATTTCATTTTCCACCTAACAATTAGTCAGAATGAGGCATGGATGAGAACTTTTGCGGAGTTGGGATTGAACCTGCCTGGCGACCCCATTTCTGGTGACAAGCAAGGAGCATTCCAAAATCCGCTGTCCATCGAAAATGGAGTCCGAGAATATTCGGCTTCAGCCTATTACAACGCCAAAGTTGCTCAGCGGCCAAATCTGACTGTCATCACCAATGCGCTTGTTGAGAGGATCGTCCTGGAGGAAGGGAAGGATGCCTCGGGCCTGGTGTCTGCGAAGGGTGTGCAATTGGTCGACGCGAGTGGAGAGAGGCAGATAGTCCAAGCTAACAAAGAGGTCATTGTCGCTTGTGGAGCGATCAAGTCACCACAGCTCCTCGAACTGTCCGGAATCGGCGCAAAGCACATTCTGTCAAACCACGGCATCGAAGCCGTTATCAACAATGCCCACGTTGGTGAGAATCTTCAAGACCACGTGCTCACCAGTATCAGCTTTGAGGTGGCAGATGACCAGATTTCCGGAGACATCATGAGGGACTCAAACATTGTCGAGTCCGTGGTGAAACTCTACCAGGACACTCGAACAGGGCCCCTCAGTGGAACCCCTCTCAGCTTTGCGTACACTCCACTTGTCAGCAGCTCCGGAATTATACCTCAAGCGGACGTGGAAACCCTACTGCGAAGAAGCCTTGACGGTGTCTCCTACTTCACGGCCAACCAGGATTTGGAGAAACAGTACAAGCTGTTGCGGAGGCAACTTCTTGATTCCCGCGAATCCAGCATCGAGTTTATGTACATTCCGCTGCAGCTAAACGAAAACCCTTCGAGCGCACCGACAGATATGACCAAGCTCTTCAGCAAATCTCATGATGGAAACTACATCACTTTGGTCACCATGCTCATGCATCCATTTTCTAGAGGAGAGACCCACATAACTTCAGGCGATCCTAAAGAGCAGCCACGCTTAGATCCACAGTACTTGTCGCATCCAATCGACATAGAGATGCTCGCCAGGGCCTTGCTGTTCGTGAAGAAGATAGCCAAGACGAACCCACTCGCGCTCATGCTGAAGCCTAATGGGCGCCGAATACCTCCTGTGAGAGAAGAGTCTCCTGAGAGCCTTGGGGAAACGTCATCGGTTCTGGTCGACGACGATCTAGAAGACGCGAAACGAATCGTTCGCGAAAGGCTTTTCACGGCGTTCCACCCATCGGGAACCTGTGCCATGTTTTCTCGAGACCAAGGGGGGGTTGTTGACAGCCGCCTGCGCGTACATGGGTCGGCGAACATCCGCGTGGTGGATGCCAGTATTTTTCCTATTGAGCCACTTGGCCATTTACAATCTACAGTCTATGCTGTGGCTGAAAAGGCTGCCGATCTGATCAAAGCAGACTGGACCAGATCTATGGGTGGAGGGAAATAACCCTGAGGACCGAGGTTTCTTTTCCGTGATACCCGCAGTCGACGAAAGTCACTATATCCAGAACAATGACCCAGACCCAGCGTATGCGCTCGCAGGCTGATCCCTACATGGATCGTGCCTACGCCGTTCACTATATATCTAGGTGGGACTAGATATTTGGATCTAGGAATCAGTCCCACCACTCTGATTTGCACTCCCAGTTGCTTCATATTTGACTCCTGTGATTGATATCTATAGCAACAATTTTCTTCCTTGTTTGGAACACAGTACTTCCACACGATATCAACAATACCGAGGTAGGTTATGAAGAACATTATAAAGAAGACGTAGAATCAAGCATACACGCTTAATTAATTCATAACTACATATGTGGACGGCAAACACGGCATGTTACCCATATGTTTCATTGATTGCAACCCAAGAACGTGCATACCTATCGAACCGTAGTCTATATCAACCCCTTTCCCATTTATAGCTCATCAGAAAATGCAAGGCACTTCCTCCAGACCGCATGACGTTGCACGATAACCTGTGGCTCAGCGCCGGCAATTCCGGCTTTGTCCGGAATTTCCGGCCGAGGGACCCATTTTGTGTGCGCCTGCTCGCCACTTTAATAACACATGAACCTAGATAAACGCGCAAGCCTCCAACAGACGGTGTGCCGTGTCTGCCGCTGATTTGACCTCTGTCGCTGTCTGAGAATATGTGATGTCTTTGGACTGCACTTGTTGGCTTGAGATATCTACCACGTCCATCGAGCCCGCCAACGTCGTCCGTCTGTGACGAGCGGGTATTTCCGTAGAACCATGTCCAGCATATTTCATTAACCTTAAAAATGGGTGGAAAGCTTGGTTGTATTTGTTTATAAACGTAGTAGACCCAATATTACATAGAAAATATTACTATGTTTCAAGACCGGCGTGCGTCCAGATCGCCAGTCCCCGAGCATGGAACCCTAGCATGTTCGTAAGTTCTGGACCGGGGTCGACAGCCGCATAAACTTCTAGAGCAGCCATTAAAGACAAGCAACGCGAGGGAAAAGGCTCCCAGAGACCCACAGCAGTGGTCTTCATTGGTCCCGCGGGCGTTCTGTCGGTGCGTTCTTATTCAGCCTCCTTCTCTTGCGTCGTAAGCATATCCACTTGGCGCCATCCCTTGTGATAACCTTCAAGCAAACGAGCATGTTTATCTCGTGGTTTTTATGCCAGTAACGAGATCCAGATCACATCAGAAGAGAAGTTCCACTCGTTGACGAGGCTCTTCCTCCCTCATGTGGTCGCATCCGACTCCACTTACTCTGTACACCAGGGCCGGGATTCAGCCATGGCACGTTGTACCATGGTCCGCTGTGGGGGTTCCAGCATTTCAAGGTTCAGATGAAGATATCAGATGAATATAAGTATGGGCCTCCCGGGCTTCCACGATCTTGGATTTGTTCTTGGCATCACTCGCTGTCGAAACATTCATTCTAACACACTCTTTTCTTCTCCGGAGCTTCAGTCACCATGAAGGTCTCCAAGGGGCTACGTGCCCTGACATTCGCTTCCGGTGGACTGGCAGCATCCACCAACTCATCCTCATCTACCATCGCAGCCTTGCTTTCGAACGGAGATGGTCAGTGAATATTATTCCGTACCCCAAGACAAAACCAAACACTGACTCTGCACAAGTCGACCTGGGCATCACAGCAGAAGCCTACCAGAAGGCCGCCGCCTTCGTCGCGACCCTCACCAACGCGCAGAAGGTCTCCATCATCACGGGCTCCGACATCTCCGACTCAAACGCAACATGGACAGCGTACAGCTCAGCCGATGGCGGCTCGGGCGTGAACAAGCAATTCTTCGTCTCGGGCTTCTCTGCACCGGCGGCGCTGACCATGACCTGGGATCGTCAGCTCATAGCAGACCAATTCAAGGCTATTGGAGCAGAGTTTTACGGGGTAAGCAATCAATCGAAAAGACCAACATGGCCACCCCACCCCTGAATGCCCGGCCGAAGAACCACGGCTAATCACACACACTGTCCCACAGATGGGCTACAGCCTCGTCGACGGACCCGTAGCAAGCCCGGCCGGGCGCGTCCCCGAAGGCGGGCGCAACGCAGAGGGTTTCTCGTTCGACGCATACCTGAGCGGAATCGCAATGGGGCAGGCGGTGACAGGGATGAACTCAGCGGGCGTAATCACGGCGGGACGTCACTTCCTGTTCAACGAGCAGGAGACGAATCGCATGACGGGCGAGCGGTACTCATCCAATGTTGATGAGAAGACGGCGCAGGAGGTGTACCTATGGCCATTTGCGGACGGCGTGAGAGCGGGCATGACGGCGGTCATGTGCGCCATGAACCGGGTCAACGGCACGCGCAGCTGCGAGAACAACGCCCTGCTCAGTGGCTACCTCAAGACGGACCTCGGTTTCCCGGGCTACGTGCTCCCGGATGTGCAGTCACAGTCGACTTCGTACGGCAGTGCCAACGCTGGGCTCGATTACGGCTCCAGCTCCTACTGGACCGAGGCCATCATCGAGGCCGGCATCGCCAACGGCAGCATGACCCAGGCCCGCCTGGACGACATGGCCGTCCGCAACGTTCTGCCCTTCTACTACGCTGGCCTGGACGACGGGAAGATCCCCGCCGAGGCTGATACCACCGAGTACCGCGATGTGCGCGGCGACCACGCTTCGCTCATCCGCAAAGTAGGCGCCGAGTCGATTGTTCTGCTCAAGAACAATGGAGTCCTGCCCCTGAAGAGCCCACGTACCATGTCGGTCTTCGGCGCGCACGCTGGCCCTGCTATGGCCGGCCCTAACCAGCCATTTGGGGTCTCAGGCACTGCTGACACTTACCAGGGCCATCTCGCGACCGCGGGTGGTTCAGGCCAGGCCTCGTTCCCTTACCTGATCACACCTCAGATGGCTCTCACGCTTCGCCAGTCCCAAAACGGGGGCATGATCTGGTGGATCTTGAACAACACCTACACCTCCACTTCCACAGGAGGCTTTGGTGGTGGTGGTGGTGGATTTGGAAGCGGCAACGATACGGGCTCATTCCCAGGAGGAGGCAGTGGTGACAGCGGAAACAGCAGTACAACCATGCCCGGCGGCGGCGGTGGTGGAGGCGGAGGAGGTATCGCAGGTATCGGTGGAGGAACGGGTGTGGACCAGTCGATTCCCGATTACGCCGCCAACTCGGAAGTGTGCCTGGTTTTCATCAACGCGGATTCTGGCGAGGGTGCAGACCGCACGGAGCTATACGACACCGAGCAGGATACCCTTGTGACAACGGTTGCAGAGAACTGCAACAACACAGTAGTCGTGGTCAATTCTGTTGGGCCGCGCCTTGTCGACGTCTGGGTCGAGCACGAGAACATAACTGCGGTCGTTTATGGCGGTGTTCTCGGCCAGGAGAGCGGCAATGCCATCGCTGACGTCCTCTATGGCGACGTGAACCCCTCTGGCAAGCTGACATACACAATTGCGAAGAACGAGTCGGATTATGCGAATGGCATCTGCACCACGACAGACTACGAATGCGACTTCACCGAGGGAGTTTACGTCGATTACCGCTGGTTCGACGCCAAGAACATCACACCACGCTACGAGTTTGGGTACGGACTCAGCTACACTACCTTTGACTTCGGAACGGTCGACGCCAAGACAACCAATGCATCAGCCTTGTCCTCAAAATATGCCTCCGGCACGCTAGGGCTGGGCGGACAGCAGGATTTGTGGGACGAGGTGATCCAAGTCACCACGAGCGTGAGCAACACTGGTGCTGTCGAGGGTGCCGAGGTTGCCCAGCTATACGTGACTTTCCCCGACGAGGCGGAGCAGCCGGTGCGCGTCCTCCGTGGCTTCGAGAAAGTCAGCGTCAAGCCGGGCCAGAGCGCCCCTGTCACGTTCAGCTTGAGGAGGCGGGACGTGAGCTACTACGATTCCGCGGCTGAGAAATGGGCCGTGGCCAGTGGAGACTACACGTTCGCGGTTGGCTCCAGTTCAAGGGACATCAAGGGCACCGCGAAACTCACCATCTAGTTTTTACTTTTTAGCAGCTGCCTGCTGCCTATGGCGATGAACACTTACTTTGTACATAACACTTGTCAAGCCCATTGGGGTTTCTTTCAAATAGAACTACTACATGCAACCTTTGCCTGTTTAAGAAAAACGACAGAAGATGCTGAACTCAGTCTTTGTTTCACTTGAAACAGGAGCAGTCATAGACAGAGTGAGGGCAGACATGCAACTGGGCTGTTCCACTCGGAGACAACAAATCGAATAGAATGAAAGCAACAGAAATGTTGCGAAATGAGATAGCACCCACCTTTGATAAGTATATTGTTGAGACAGACAGCCTTGAATTACGGCCGCTGCCACCTAGAACCAAACGTTAGCAAACAACAGGAGAGGAGGGGACTTACCTGATCATCTGAGCCGGCCGGAAGTCGAGTCATTGATGGTCAGCTCGTCGACTGAACTGAAGCAAAAGTGTTGAAGAGAATGTCGAAAAGAGCGAGTGGTGCCGACACTGAATGGTCGACAAACTGATGTTAGTTGTTAGCCAAAACGAGTGAAACGCGAATAATTTTGCAGAAATGAATGTGATGCCGACAATGCGACACGATCAAGCAGAGGAGACCATGAGAAAAGACCAAGAGAGGCGAAGGAGAAAGAACGCGTGTGAATAGCGTGCAAAAACAAGCAAGGCCAATGTCCAACGAGTGTGTTGCGTAGAGAAGAAAGCAGAAATCAAAACCAGTGTTGCCAGGGTAAGGTGGTGTCATAGAGAAAAGAGTGAATCAAAACAGATAACGAGAGACGAGGAAGCCGAGAGCAAAAGTGCCAGCGGCGATGCCTGCCACAGTCTTCCAAGAGACTGAGGACGAGGTGGAGGAGGGAGTGACTGGAGTTGGTTCAAAATGAAGGTCAGTAGGGAATGCCCCCGGCATGGCCGGAAGACCAGCAGGGAAGGATGGAAGAGATTCCGGCAGAACCGGAGCAAAATGAGAGACAGATGGGGGTTCAAAACGAGTGACAGCCGGGCGAGTGCGGCAAGGAGGCGGCGAAGCGTCCAGAGGAAGCTTGCGCTTGAGAGAGCGAGTGGGAGGAGGAGGAGAAGGCAAGAAAGGAGAGTCAGCCGGAGATTGATGAGTGGTAGGCAAATCCACTGGAAGGGGGATTGAAAGAACGAATGGAGAGGGAGTGCGGGAAAGAATCGGAGAGGAGGAGAGAACAGGAGAAGAAACGACTGGATGGGGGATTGAAAGAGTGAAACGCGGAGGGGTGCCAGAAAGAACGGAAGAGAAATCGAATGAAGAAGAAAAAACATCTGGGAAAGGAAGGACTGGGTCGGGTTTGGAAAGAAGGAATGGAGAAGGAGTGCGAGAAAGGACTGGAGAGGCAACAACTGGAGAGAGAACGACTGAGGAGGGGGAGGGAGAACGAGGACCAGCCTCGACAAGAGCCTTGAGCTTGCAAAGAGCGTCTGTCAAGTTGGGATTGGGGGGTGAAAGAACGACAGGCGAAACTGATTGAGAATGAATGGAAGCCGATGGAGACCGGCGTGTGGTGGGCGAGGCCACGGAAGAAGCCCGGGAAGGAGAAGAAAAGAGAGAGCCACAGGAAGAAGAAGGAGAAAGAGAGGAACCCCGAAGCAGCGGGTGAGGCTGAACGGGAGAAGGAGCGTGGGGAGTTGGGATGTCTGCAATCCACTTGTGGAAGGATGCGGTCCTTGTGTGCAAATCTGGGGTTTCCAAAAGACGGTGGGGGTCGTCCCTGTCAAGGGTGTTGAGGTAGGCTTCCTTGTCGGCTGAAGAGAATCTCCAGACGCGCTTGCCAACGAGCGCTCCGAGAAGGGTGTGTTCACGTTGAAGGATGGGGATTCTGTAAGCGAGGGGAGATCCCGAGCTCACAGTCGCGATGCTGGTAGAACGAGTGGTCCAACAATCAGTGACCGAAGAAGCCAATGGGCTAGCAACGGCAGGTTCACATGATTCTGGGGAAAGACAGTGGTCGAGCCAGTCGCCAGTGGTCCTCCGCATAGCAGAGTACCAGGCAACAAGGTCGTCGAATTCAGCCTCATCTTGAGGACTGTAATCCGAAGGGAGTTGGTTGAAGAGAGACGCGAAAGACGGAGAAAAGAGTGTAGGAGACTTAGGAATAGAAGAAAGACCAACGCGAGGCGCTGGAGGGGGAGAGGAAAGACAACGAGTGGAAGGAGAAAGACAGAGAGGAGCTGGGCGAGCCGAAGGGGCTGGCGAACGAGTGACAACGGACAAAGGACGGTAAAGACAAGAAGCAGGAACGCGACGCGACAGTGGGGAGGGGGAGCGAGAGAGAGGTACAAACACAGGGGCAGAGAGTGCAGCAAAGCGAGGTTGCGCGCATCCCTGACGACGAAGAGGCGCGTCGGGCATGATTGGTGAAGGAGTGACAGAAATTTGAAGAGAAGGAGAGGGGGAAGGAGAGACAGAACGAAGGACTGGAGTGTTGTTGACCTGAGACTCAGAGTCTAACAACTGCATAACATCGGAAAGAGCGTGGATGAAGGATGACTTCTTCATAGGGGAAAGAGCGGAGATCTTCTCGTCAACCGTGGGCTGAGGAGAGATGACAAACAAAGACTGGTTCTGACGCGTAGGAGGCTTTTGAGGGGAGCTTACCCCGGGGAAATGGTAACCAGAGTCACCTGGGAAGAAAGAACGTGTCTTGGGGGTAACAATGGGGGTTTTGGCCTTGCCAAGGCTCATAGGTGGTGAGGAAATAGATTGCGGAGAAGATCGAGGAGTAGATGAAGGAGCAATGAAAAAGCGAACGTGGTTATTTTTTGGTGATTGTTTTGTGTTTTCAACTTTTTTTGGTGTTTTCATAAGGGATGTTTGCATATTGCGGGTTAGTGATGAGCGGAAAAGAGAAGAGATCTGGAAACGGGGAGAAGAAGAAAAGCAGGAGCGGTAGGGAGAGACAGGTGGGTGGCGAGGAGAAGAAGAAACCAGGACATGAACCTGGGACTCCGAAGAGCCGACGCTTGTGTGTGAAGTTGGGTTGGATGAAGACATTGGAGCGATGAAGATCAGGGTGAATGCGTAAAGAAGTGAGGAGACGCGTGTCTGAAAAGAAAGAGAAGAGGGAAGGAAAGTTCAGGACTTCAGATCTGGGGGGGAATCCCTTAAAAGGAACTGCAACCATCACGTGCGGCAGCTGACTGATTGTGTTGATTTTGCGCATCTAGAATCTTCTTGACGCGTGATGGCATGTTTTTCACGTGTGTTGACGATGTGTCGAGTCCAAGTGTAGGTATCCAGGCTGAATTGAGTAAGGAAGATGAGGTTATCCAGAGACCAGCAGGGGGTTGAGGATCGCATGCCGGCCAACCAAGCCTACGCAGCCCCAAAGCTCAGACAGACAGGCGGACAAGGTCCGAGCCATCGCCAGTCCAGAATTGCATCGTTGGCCATGGAATCAAAACAATCCAGCGGCCACATGTTGATGATGTGAAGTAAGTAATTGGCATGTGATCATGGTGGTCCAATGGTGCAGGCAGAGAGGCTGGAGGGCGGTGGTCATGAGATTGGGGGGGGGGGGGGGTGGGTTGGTCCCGCTGTTGGTAGACGAAAGATGCGGAAAGAGTCTTTGAAATGGCGACATTTGGATAGATGTGGACTACGAGCATGATGTTGAGCAGAGTCCATGAGGCGTGGAATGATCAAGTGTCATCCAGGAGCAAGAGGGTGATCACTTGTGGTCAGCGCGCTGGGCATCGAATGTTGTCTGTCTTGGAAGAATAAGCAGGTAATTAGATCTGTCAGACATGAGAGCACATTAGAAAAGCAGTGAGCAGACCAAAAGAGATGATTTCAACAGCCAATATGACAGAGTGTTGGCTACGAATATTGATATCTGGGTAGAGACAGTTGGCTACGTGAACGTCGCATAAGGGCAAGGAGTTAGGGATTGATACATAAGCCCTCCATTAGTAGCCGTTCGAAGAGACATGTCAAATCGATCAATATTCCCAAGATCATCCCAGCGGCAGCCTGCTCTTAGAAATCCACCACTCAGAGAGACGGTGGAAGTGGATGTGGAAGCTCCTGCCTTGCGTTGTTGCGATGCGCGGAAGATCACAACCGTGACACTTCCTTCTCTTTGAGTTGCAGAAATACACATTGGCGAAGAAAGAGCTCACGTCGTCAATTCTACTTTAGCAATTTCTTGGCTATCTCGAGTGATGTTGTTCTGAGTCTTGCTAATATTCGACAAGGGAAACGACCTTTCGATATCCGTCTGTTCGGATCATCACAGACACAAGCTTTCTCCATGTTTCGTTGTTGCTGGAAATTGAACAAATCTTCATTATCAACAAACGGAATACATGCCTTTCTAATTCATTTCGATGAAAAGACTCAGGTCGCTGATTCTATGACGGCTTGCGATGCGCTGGTCGAGCTCCCGCAACACTCTCAACACATCCCTCATTACGAACTGCCCGTCCGTCGTAATCCAGTCTCAAAGCCGAGTTCCACCCCCAAGATCCCCTATATATATCTCGAATGCATCATATCTACACACGAGACATGCCTCGCTACCTCTGTGCCCGGAGACCGAATTCGCACCACACGCGCTGTGCAAATCAGCCTCAGACCCAAAGACTGGCCATGCTTGATTGACTTACCAAGTTTCACTCTGAGAAATATAGTACAAATGAAGAGCTGAGAGAAATGGACAGAATCGCCAGTGAGCTATTCAATGTCATCACTCTTTGTCCCGATCTCAATATTCGAACACTCTGTCTGTACAAAGTGTCAAATCGCGCACAAAGGCGACAAGTACAGCATTCGCCTCGCCTCGACCCTCGCCTCGACGATGCATAGAACATCAAAGGCTCTCTTGGTTATTTTCCTGTCATCCTCCTCCCATGTGAGATAAGCATTGTCAATGCATGGGGCTAGCAAGAAGCAGAATCGTTGCAGCAAGTAACCGAACTCTCATCAGCAACACGAGCTCGAATTTGTCCACATTCCACGCAAACCTCAACAAATTGGCTTGTTTCCACTGTTTTACAAACGGAGGGTATCTCATCTGATGATGAAATAACTATCTATATCTTAGGAGCACCGAACGAGACATTGAGAAGCATGATACAACACGATACTTCCGCTGTATTGAACACACGATTCTATGCCCAACGCGCGAGGCCGACCACACCATTATGATACACTAAATCCCAACAGAGACTGCATCCCAATCAGGTTATGGAACCGAATTAAGGGGCGAAGAAGCTGCTTTTCAACTAGGAACTGCTTCCCAAGTCGCGCGAGTTGATCGCTGGGACCGCACTTCCGATCAACCTTCTGAAGGCCCTACACACGATTTTGAGCATAGCCTCATTGAACCAACTCGCTCTCGGACCTTGAAACACCTTTCCCCGAGCTCTTTCGTCGAAATACTAAGCCTTGGTCAAGTCAAGCTTGCCCACTGTCAGCGCTGGCGAGTAACGACTGCTTCAAACCATTCCACAGATGTCCTTCCGGCGGTCCCGCGATACTTTTCAACAGTAGAAAGGCTTTACCAATCGCAATACCGTCATCGCATTAGTAAAACCTGTGGGTAGGGCTTGGCATGGCCATGGGGCGAGAGCGCGCGGTGGACCAATGCTAGCCCAAGCCCAACTTGTCAGCGCCCACAACGCGGACTTCGATCTGGACCGTTTTACAAGCTCGGGGCCAAGTCCATAAGTAACCCATCGAAACAAGTGGTGTGCTTGCACGTTGAACTGGGCTCGATAGAGAGAAGCGGGCCGGGCGCTGTTCAATGAGAATATCAGACGATATGTGTTTCTTCGGGAGAAGTGCTACATCCCGAAGTTTGTTTACAGTCTCAGCCATAACACCATGGGATGGTCGAGCCTATCGCCGAGATCTCATAACAGCCATCAATTTTGACTTCGCGATGTGCTGCAGCGTCCATTGAGCAGCTCAGGCGAGGTGCATGGTCTGCTGTCTGGGTTCATGGGAGCGTCCACTGGACTATTAAATGTCCCTTATTCTCGTCCTTTCCTGCCCCAAGGTTGAACTGGCTCTTCAGCAGTCCTATCAATTTTCCTAGTTCACTTTTCATTGGAAATCACACTGCTCCAACAATGGCCCGATTCAACAGCTTCCACACGGCACTCGCCACCATCGTCGCCTTCGCCGGAGTTGTTGCGTCTCAGGCACCCATCACTTCTTGTCCAACTCAAGTCAAAACCTCTACTGGCTCTAGCGGCGCTTCGTATGCGATATGCGCAGGCACGGATTACCGGGGCCCATCCGCCCAAGTCCTTCAAGATGTTGGAACTATCCAACAATGCGTACAAATGTGCGACGCTCAGAAAGGGACATGCGTCCGCGCCGTGTACGACAATGAGAACGCCATTTGTCACTTCAAATCCAACCAGGCCGGTGCTCTCACCTGGGTCCAAGATTCCCAATTCAGCACCATCGTGAGTGGCGGTTCCAGGGCCGGGGCTGGGGCCGGACAAGGGGCGCCGCCTCCCACCAACCCGGGAACTGGTTCCACTGGCACGGCTCTCGCCCAGTGTCCCACTGGGGACCAGGCGCTCAACACCGTCACTGGCGCCCAATTCCTGATCTGTCAAAATACCGACTTCCGAGGAGATAGCGCTTCTGTTACGCCTGCCGCAAGCACTGAGTCCTGTGCCGAGCTGTGTTCCCAGACGGCAGCGTGTACGAACGCCGTGTTTGACAAGACGAACTCGGAATGCCACGTCAAGGCCGACCCTACGACAACAACACTGACCTGGGTGAGGGACCAGCAGTTTGATGTTATTCGGTTGAACATGGGGGCGCTGGGTGGTGGAGCTTCCACGGGTGGTGCTGGATTTGTCCCGACGCCGGCCGCGCCTGCGAAGCAGCCACCGCCTAAACAGCCACCACCTAAGCAGCCAGCGCCTGCTCCTCAACCGAAACAGAACCCGGATCCGAGCGTGGATCCAGCCTTGATCGGGTTCCTGCTTGGAGGTCTGGGGGCACCACCGCCGCCTCAGCAACCTCCACCTCAGCAAGCTCCTCCTCCTGGCTTTGCGACACCGCCACCGCCGACGACGGCCCCTCCGCCGGGCTTTTTCGGCATACCATTCATCAAGCGGGAGAGTTCTGTTAGTGAAAGTGCTGGCAAACCGAGGGAGAGGAGAGTGGCTCGCAAGTTCGTGGCGTAGTATTGTGTCGTCGGAGCTTCAGGGTGGTAATTCTCTATGCTACATAGTCTCCTAAATATTTAATACATATGATGCCACAGAAACAAGCAAGCAAGCAACTTGACTCGGTTAAACAGTGGAAATACCTTTGAATGCTGGTTACATTGGCATGAAACGCGCCTGGATGCTTTTGCGCGCTACAAAGTTTATTTTATGCTTCTTTTGATGGCAGTTGGCGGGCTCGGAACGGTGGCCAAACAAAGACCCTTGGCGTAAACCAAGACACTTATTGGCTGCAAAAAGTCAAAAATTGTTCTCCGAGACATGGTCTTTTCATTGCAAATGTTGCCACTGTCCCCAGATGGACTTGATAGACGTTTTTGTTTTGCGCACCTGCAACCGATTCACTCGGCCCCCGAAGTTTCCCCACGATTGGATCTCGCCTACCCGGCCATTTTTCTATGTCGTTTGCTGTTGCAGCACGGGCATAACTCCGGACCACCGATTGAGTTTTATTCTAGCCCCTCAACATTCCATCTCTACTGCGAAACCATCACGTAACCGACCTCACCCAAGGGGGTTGCGTTGGGGGTTTGACCCACCGCCTGCGCGGGTCATTCACCTAGAGAACGTTGATGTGCAACACTCTGGTTTTTCACCGAAAGCAAATAAGCACCTGATCGCCTCCATTTCCTAAATTGTGCTCACTGTAACCATCAATTGGGTACAAAGCCCGCCTCAGAGCTGTACATGCATCTAGGTAATCAAGCTCGCTCCTGCTGGCCCCGGTGATCTTCCTCCCGGCCTGAGCAGTGAGGGGCCCGGGTCTAGGTCGGCCGATAACATTCCAAACTCCGATGAAGAGATTTTTGTCTTGAACCTTGGGAAAGCTTTTACACCCTTGGTGTATTTTCCCTGGCCCCTTCTTCACCTTCAAGGTTGAGCTCGGTCATCAATACACCATTCAGTATGAGCCTTGGACAAATCTTCAGGATCACTATTACTGTATCGCAGTTGTCTTGGCAATGCTGATGTTTGGTACTGTTCTCGCGTTGTCTGAAAACATGGGCAGAATGGGCCGTGATAGTTTGTCTTCCACTTTTTTGGTTTCTCGCCGGCGGCGTCAGGAACGTCTCGAGCTGAGCGCCTGATAGGTTTCGAAGTGCACACTTTTAATGATGAACCTCCATGGTGCCAATCTCTTTGCACGGGCACAGTCAGGTGACTGTGCTCAACTGAGGAGGCATACGCTTCAGGCCACCAGCCTTGCAGTCCACCAGACGTGAGAGTCGACAGCCATGGACGAATCCTCAAACTGAATTCTCCTGACTGTTGTCCCGGCTAACCAACTGATGACGGGTTGTACCTACCGTGCTCTCGGCTGAGCATTGTCTGGGTATGAGGAAGTAGCGCCCGTTGCCGGTCAACACATTGAAAGCAGCAGAGATGTCCATCTGACTTAGGTGAAGATGCTCAAGTTAAGAACATCAACACAGCAAACATGTCATCACTCGTTTAGCCAGTACATGCTTAAGGCACATTATAGATTGCCCAATGAATCCAGCTTCATCAGCTGCTGGCAGTGGCCTTGTCACCCGGCCCACACCTGCAATACCCCGGCAACACTCAATCATTCCTCGAATTCTAGATGCGAGATATTCTATAAACCACCAAGGGTTCCTCTGGTATTGGACTTGGCGTTGTGACGATTGCGGGCGATTGAACCTCCTCAATCATATGGTCGAATATATGAGACGCTCCTTCCAACAAGGAAATATCTACAATCGTGCGCGGTGCCATCACTGCGGCCTGATGCCGAATTGGAACCACATCGCCAGCGAGATCCACGTCAACAGAGCTCTCAGGGCACCGCACGAGTTTCGCAACATGAACGGCGCCGTGTACTTCAGAGATCTGGGATTCAGCGACAACGATCCCGCCAACAGAGTGTTGGGTTGCCCTGCGAGACTGGGCCTGATGACCAGGGAATGGGTGCGTTTCTCCGACATTTTGGTGTACAGCGGACAGCCATCCTTGGTGGCACACTCGCGCTTGGAGCAGTGGAGCGCTACCATACAACAAATTGAAAATGCCACGGCTCGCGGTTCCCGGGGTGCAGCCTATTGGAGTTACGTCAAGATGCTGGATTAGATTTGCACGCTTCCAGACTACGAGACCCCCTGGTTGCCACGGTCAGAATCGGCCCCGGAGCCCTTTTGCACAGCATGGATTAGCAGGACTGTGCCCAAAAGCGAGGGAGGAGCCCGCCTCAGTGACAGTGAGTTGCTATCTTCATGTTGAATCCCTCAGAGGCTATGCATGGCGACGTGCTGACCTGTATCTTTTCCATCGTGGAGTCTTCGAGTGCCCCTCGAATTGTGTTTGTCTACTCTCGCCCAAGGACCCGAGTTGTGTGATATCACTTCGTTCGAGTGCTCCGGATATGGAGTAGGTTAGACCAAGAAGTTCTCCGGATACACAGTATTGTACAGCAAGCGAATGATCGGCGAATTGGCTGCATGGGGTTGTAGCGGTGGGACAACGGCAAGGCGCTATAAAAAGCGGTTGGACATGCTGCACAGTTTCTGTCAACATAGCGAGACCGGTTTAAGGCCACCTGACAATAGAGCTACTTGAAATGAATGAGGAAACCTTTCTCAAGAACATGTCTTGACTACTTGAGGTTAACTTTTACTCTATAAATGTGGAGTTCTCACAGCTACCTGCGCAATTCCGTGCCCCTTTACACCTCTCTTCTTTGTTTCCCTAAACGGAGCTGCAGTTAGCCAAGGCGACGTTGGTCGGCGGACCCTGGCGAGAATGCAGCATTGCATGTCGCTACCCCGGGGTTCCCACATTCCCGGCCGAGGTCCTTGCTCTTTCAGGCAGGAGGTTTAATTACCGTGGGACGGGAATGGCGTCTCGGGCGCCTCCACCTTCTCGTTTGGTTCCATTGTCCAATCATAATCAAACGAAATATAGTCTTGCTGACCAGGCCATGCTTGATTGTACGAGTCGCATGGTAGAGGTGGTAGCGGGTATATAATTTCAGCAGGCCATGTCACTTCAAGTCGACTGCAATCGATCTTGGGTTTTGGTGCGCGCTTGAGATTCTCGCGAAGTCTCCATTCCGTACGTTCAAGTCGATCAAGATGTTGAGCACGCCTAGCCTCTTTCTCGGCCTCGTGGCGGCCACAGGCAGCGTCCTGGCTACCCTCTCCGAGGACCTGTACCCCTGGCAGGCACCACAAGAGGGCGACCTGCGCTCTCCGTGCCCCGGCATCAACTCTCTCGCCAATCACGGCATTTTGCCGCGCGATGGTCGCAACATCGATCTGGACACGCTTGGCGCCGCGGTGCTGCTCGGCTACAACATGGACCACGAGACGATGCTCCTGGTTGGCATCCCGGCCTTAAAGACTTCGACGACGGGCGACAACGCGACCTTCCACCTCAGCGACGTGGCCCAGCATATGCCACAGGTCATTGAGCACGATGGCAGCATGACGAGGGACGACGCGTACTTTGGCGACGATTTATCGTTCAGCCCTGCTGCCTGGGGCCGTACACTAAGCGGATGGGGTGACATCGATATTATTGATGTGAGTTTCCTCAGCAAGACACCCTGTTAAACTCAACTAGAGACATTGTTAACAAGAGTCGGGGTCGCAGAATGAGGCGGCAGCCAGGGAGATCAATCAGCGATTTGAGTGGGGAGAGGCGCATAACCCAGAATTTAACGCCACCTTCGCGAGGAGCGGTTCGCTGCTGCAGTATGCACTGCTCCTGTCAGCCTTTGGTGACTACGGCAATGCCAATAAGACGCTGGTGCGATTCTGGGTCGAGCATGAGAGGCTGCCGCTGAGCTTGGGGTGGCAACCGCCTGTCAACCCTATCACTCATGACATGGACAATGCTATTGCAGCAAATATCTCGGCTCTTTGGGACGAAATAGTGGCATCGGCATAATCTCGATAGAATTAATGAAGTGGTGTTGTAATATCAATCTCTGAAGTTTTGTCCGTGAATACTCGAGTGTGATAGCTGATCCCGTCCGCTGCGCGAAAATCATCCCTGGCGTAGGCCGTGTTTGACATGAACACGTCCGATCGATCCTTTACAATTATCTTTTTAGGATGGCATGCGATCTCCATACTGTCAGCTCTTACGCCGCCGTTATCAGTGCATCTCGGAAAGCGGTCCAGCCTAAACCGTGCAACACCAAGGGGACGATTATGGTCCAGGGAGGAGAATCTCCGTCCCTATCCAAGGCCGCTGACCAACGGAGGCCGCAGCACCCTGAAGCTCAAGCGTCAATCGTGGGGCCTTTTGTTTCTCTTAACACTCTACTCACACAGCCTCAGATCCTTCCAGCCCAATATATCAGATCCAAAACTACCTATCTGCCTCGTGGAGGCTCTTATATATCGTCGTTTAATCATGTTTCTTAGATTGCTATTCCATCTTTTTGTACCCAGGACACTTCATCCATTTTCACTTGGGCATTAAACCGGTTCAATGACCCATAAGTGCCTCCTATGACCCGTGCATCCTCTTATCTCAGCCTGAGTACCAAACATATTTGAAATCAGGTCTCATCGTGACAATACCGGTCACTCTGCAGATATCTCGGGCTTGTTCCGTCGGTCCTGGTTGATGTAGTATTCGAAAACCTTATGCTATAGCTCGACTTGATTTGATCCACATTGGCACTGACTAGTGGCCTTCGGTGTGCAGTACCATAGCCCCCGGACGAGAGAAAAGCAGATCATGCAGAAATGATGTTTTCTTTCCCATGGTGCAATTGTGTCGCCATCTTTGTCGCCAAGCAAGCCAAGGTTGGATACAGCTGGTGCAATTGTGTCGCCATCTTTGTCGCCAAGCAAGCCAAGGTTGGATACAGCGTTCGTCAGGTTTTGACAATGGTTGGACTTGTTTACAAGCACACTCTCCAAGTTAGTCACAGGTCGTCAGCATTTTGGATCTCATTGATTTGTGCTCATGAACTATTTGTTCTGCGCGTTGCAAATATTTACCTTACTGCGTCGATTTATTTGTCTAATGGTTAGACTCACTGCAATTGAGAAGGATTTGCTCAATTAACATGTTGATGAGTCTACTATAACTTCTGGGATCCCGATCACTCAAGGTAATGTCAATGTTCAAGACCGAAAATGTACATGCCATTGTCCAGATCTTCTTTCTAGATGCATGTTATTATTTTGTCAGGCTTGATCCAATGGGCGCTTGTACTATCAGAGGTCATTCTACAACCTCATCATATAAAGAAGGGGACATTGGCTAAGCCATACTAAAATCTTTGGACTCCCTGCTTCACATTCTGGCGACAGGATCATAGCAAGAATCCAATTTGTCGATAACTCGATTGTGAGTTCAGATCTAGGATCTGCACTCATTGACGAGTACCGACTGGTGTGCCCATAATCTAGGACGAAATAGGTGCCATTGTTAGTACACTCCTTTGAATCAGTGATGATTTCACAAGAATAGCCTCCTGAAATTCTAGAGGAGGGTAACACAGAATTCAAGGGACGGTGTTGAATATGAGGCTGGTTACGGGCAACTCTGTGCGCGCCAAATACTTCCATCGGATCACAATCTGGGTTGGTGTGACGCTACAGCTATACAAAATTGCTGTGTATTTCACAAGGCGTTCCGAATTCTGTCCTTTTCGATAAAGGAGGACCCTAGTGCAGCGGCGCAGGGGCGCCGTCTCATGATAGTCGGTCACCTAGGCAATTGGCTCTAAGCGTTAAAAGTTTCATTGAATTCACTAGGACATTTGGATGGAATACAACTGTCACTTTAAATACATAACCCCCCACGCTCTCACACCTTTTCAGCCACAAATCCACCCAACTTGACTTCTATTTTGACGACAGCAGGGTGACAATTCATCTCTAGCCCCGTGTATGCTGGTTTCGGAGTTACGCAGCCTCGCCCCTGAACCTCAGTTGCACAGCTCCGCGAGTAAATCTTGGGTAACCTGTATCAGCAACTCCATTAGCACTTGGGTCACCTGTGCTACAGTGACCGAGTCTTCAATTTCTCAGCTCAACGGTCTGCATTCAGATCAATCGTGTGTAAATCTACCAACAATACGATGATTTCCTCCAAGACTCCTGTTAACCTTGCCGACAACTCTCAACGACCCACGCAAAATCTTGGTAAGATGGCCATCAAGTCGACTCGGATCGTCCATATTCGCTGGCCCGCAGGATCTTCACGGCTCGAAACATTGCCAGCCGAGCTTCTCAACGTGATTACGGACGATCTAGTACTCGAAACTGACCTCGATCATACTGGCGCAAGAAGCCGGACAGCCTACAAGGACGGCTTGAGCAATTTGGGGCGCTTATGTTCGGTCTCCAAGTGTTTGGATACCAAGATTCGACCTATCATGTTGAGGAAGGTCTCCATCTATCGGTCGATCGAGCTCATCCGCCTCTATCGTACCCTGACCGAGAACCCCATGTTAGGCGGATACATCCGGCAGCTGGTATTGGCCACCCCCTTTAGCCGACAAGAGATTGAGTACGAAATGCTTCATTTCCACGTCTTGCACGGCGTTGATTCCGATTTCGATTTTTCACAGCCTCACGCGTCGGGCAGCATGACAACTCGGATGGAGAACAAGCTACGGTTCGACCTCTATCTCAAGGTTCTCAACAAAGCTCCGAACGTGACGAAAGTCGCGATTGATGCGCTATCGTGGTCCGTCCGTGGCCTCAATGATAAGCAACTGGCTCTCTTCAGAGCCGCCAGCGACATGCTCGACAACCTGGCAGAGATGCCCGAGACCCCGCTGTTGCAGATGCCCGAGGATGTGAAAACCGTGAACATTAACGGTCCAGTTCGAGGCTTGGTGGAGGCATTGCCAAGTCAGCTTGCCAAGATCTGGTCGCAGACGTCTAAATTGGAGACATTGGTCTGGACAAGAGACGATTCGGCGTGGTTCGACAACTTACCAAGCCGAAGTCTGGAGCTGGAAGGTACTGGTATGTCATGGCTCCCCAACCATCTCACGGACAAATCATCATCCGCATCTCTAGCCAAGCGGGAATCAAACAAATTGCTGATTCAGTCATTCACAGGACCCAAGAGAATGTGTACCAGTCTGACGACTCTCAAACTCCTCGTCAGTGCCTGCCGCCTCTGTGACATCGCCACCGTATGCGACTCCTTCCCCTTCTTGAAGCGTCTACAAATAGTCCAGAATACTTCGCGCGATGACTTCAACAAGGAGGACCTAAGAAACTCCATGCCGTACACGGAGCAAGTCTCTCTGACAAGCAGCATTGCGAGTCTGCGGCAACTCGAGGCCCTCCATCTGGACCCTCTTGCTGCACCGGAAAACGCCCAGGTTCTTGGAGATGATGGTGCCCTCAACCTGTCCTCGCTCCCGAATCTGTCCGAGGTGACCGTCTCATTTGGACTTTTCGTGGCCGAGAAGCCATTCAAGAGCACTGGCAGCAAAGCTCACCCATGTCTGGTCCTGCCCCAATCTTTGACCAGACTGACCATCTCAGCACGGGGCTTCGTGCGTGAGGCCGGAATCACTCTCATGCAGTTCCTGGAAGATCTCCGCGCCGCCTGCTGTTATCAATTCCCCCACCTGAAGCAAATTGTGTACATCTACAGCGCCAAACTACCGGCTATGGGTCCCGAGCCTGTGTGTCTCTGCGGACGCATTCCACACGAGTCCTTCTGCCCTTACGACAGCGAGGCAGGACTGTCGATTGATTACCTGCCATGGATTTCCGCCGACAGCTTTGCGGCTCTCGTGACAGAGTTCAGACAGCGCGGCATCCAACTCATCATGAAGAAGAGAAATGCATGCGATTCAGGAGGTACGTAGCCATGGCTATAGTTGCATGAGGATTGGAAGGCTGGATAGGTCGCAGAAATCTGGAAACTTGCATGGGTCTACAGTAGAGCAAGGAATTCGGGTTGTAAAGTTCTGTGTGAATCTCTATGTACTGGAAAGAAGAAATTGATGTCTCTTTTCATATTGAGAAGTCCTTATACGAACCCCACTTGCCTTTTCCCTTTGATTTGCTGCGAGCATCCTAAGGTCATTTTTCGATTTCGCAATAGCGACGTATGGCACAAATGATGCGATATTCGGCTAGAATTGAATAAGGACCGCTGCGCCCACTTGTGATCATCCGTTATCGTGGTCAAAACTTGGGACACTAAAAGTCAAATTCGGCTCACTATTAATTCCTATTACTAAGGAACTTGTGGACGACGGCTCCATAAGGTAATAGCGGGCCAGGAACCCTTTACGATCTCGCCCATGCAAATTTCCGAGGGCTGCTAAGACTAGCGAGCATCACATTGCATGCATATAATGCTCCTTCCGCATAACTGTCTATTCAAAAAATGGCCAAGCCTGGTGGCTTACTGTGCGAGTGGATGCTTGTATTTGAGTAATAATGCGATCCCGCAGAGGAATGCAACTTTGTGGATTGGTAAGAACACCCGCCAATGCAGTAGCGTCTTGTGCAAAATGTTTGGTTGACTATGTTTTGTCCTCGTAAGACGGCTGACGGAACAAGAAAGCCAAGACAGGGTAACTGTCTCAAGATGATGGGAGGGCATCTCCCGGTAGATTGACACGAAGTGGTCTTTCAACTGCCCACGATACACGTGACCGGTGCCATTTATTAACGAGGCATGATCTTCGGTTGAACCGGGTGATCCTCACTGGCATTATTTAGGCATAATGTAGAAAACAAAATTATTCAGGCGTAAACAACATCGGGCGAGTGAGTGGACTTTTTGACTCGTCCGAAGCGGATCTATATCCGAGGCAGAGAAACAAGCTAAATTGAGCCGCACTCCTGTTTCAGCAGCCGGCATTTGGCTGCACCCCTGAGGAATATGGAGCTTGGTACCCAGTTAAGCCGCACGACGGCCCACCCACAGCCGGCTCCGTTGCCCGATACGTCCGGTTAAATCAGTGATCTCCGCTGCAGTGCAATTTATCCCATGCTGTGATGCTGGGACATGCCTGGTAGCGTCCCACGCTACCATCTGACTGCCACTGCAGTAAATGAGAGTGTCTGGGCGAGTTTCTCCGTGCGTGACCCTTTGATGCGGCTGCTCTGCCAATGGCGACCCGGAGCGCCCGGGGCACGATCCACTCGTAGCCCCCTCGTTCCAAGCCTCTGGATCAAGCCGACCTTCTGCATACGCCCGGGGCCTAACTTTAAATTGATGGAGGGTGAAGGGCATTATTCAGGAGCAGAACGTTCACCGCAGACAACGGGAAGGCTATAAGGGCCAGTTGTTTCCCTACAAACCTTAGCCTCGATCGACACTTAATCCTCTAGCTCCCACCACCAATCACACAGCATCACAAACAACTCTCATCACAACCAGTCAAGATGCTCGTCAAGTCTCTCCTCGCCCTCGTGGCCGCCACAGGCGCCATTGCTGCCCCGGCCGCTGAGGTCTCTTCCTCTTCCCCCTTCCTGTCGCTCGTGGAGCGCTCAACCCCCACCGGCACCGGCACGAACAACGGCTTTTTCTACTCCTTTTACAACTCCGGCTCCACCAGTAGCGTGACGTACAACAACAAGGCGGCGGGCGAGTACAGCGTGGACTGGACGAACTGCGACAACTTTGTTGCCGGCAAGGGATGGGCAACTGGCAGTGACCGCTCCATCAAGTATAGCGGCACATGGAACGCCGCCAACGTCAACAGCTATGTCTCCGTCTACGGCTGGACGACAAGCCCTCTCGTCGAGTACTACATCGTCGAGAGCTTCGGCGACTACAACCCAAGCTCGGGAGGTGAGTTTAAACGTTCCACATACCACTGGTTTGGCCAGGGACTGACAGAGATGAATAGCCTCCAAGATCTCCTCGGTCACCACTGACGGCGACACGTACGACATCTACAAGACTCAGCGCGTCAACCAGCCCAGTATCCAGGGCACCGCAACCTTCGACCAGTACTGGTCCGTCCGCCGAACCAAGCGTGTGGGAGGCACCGTCACCACCAAGAACCACTTCGACGCATGGAAGAAGGCCGGTCTGAGCCTCGGCACCCACAACTACCAGATCCTCGCGACCGAGGGCTACAAGAGCAGCGGATCCGCTGACATCACCGTCTCTGCCGCCTAAATTCACATCACTTGGCGACGGACGCTGGGGCAAGTCTGAATGATCTTGCTCCCAATAATGTAGTGATATGATCACTCTTCATGTATCTACTTAGCCTCATTATTCAGGATGTATATAAATCCTTCGAACAAAAAGCGATTTGAAATTGTTTCTTAAAAGAAAGTGACGGGCCAGTGACGTGTGTAAACATGTTCATCAACGGCAAACGCTGGTGGCCCGCCGATCATCCAGGGTGGACCCTACACTTAACAGGGATTTCAAACCTCAGCGTGCACCTTAATAAACTCATTTGTACCGTGGTACAGTCCCCTATAGCATAACCAGTATAGCATAGCTCGCCGTGCGCCGCTTGGCTAATTTGTGGGTTACAATAGGACAAACCATATGCAGAGTCAGGGCTGTCAGGCTATAGCTCCTTTCACGTACTGGCACCTGGGTAAGGCTTAACAGTCCTGTCCATTCTCTAGGGAGGTAAGCCAAGGTGTAGTTCGATTCTCCGCCCGGAGGTCGTCAGAAATACTTTTGCCCCTTTGCCTTGCTGGGCGAGTCCAAATCCTCCAGAAATCCTTGCTAAGGGAAAGTTTTCAAATCCCGCCTGAGGACGGCACATTGACTTGCCCGAGTGAAGATCCCAGCCAAGTCCACCTTACCCTTACCTAGTCATTGTAATGCATACATGATCGGCTCAACATTGCAAATCGTTGGGACGCAATATTGCAGGAGTCTACGTTCTCCTAATGGTGGTGCTCTAGATGATTCTTGCATTGAGATGAGCTGTCAGACACAGTGCCCTCCCAGCTGAAGACCGGTTTGGACGGTTTAGTTTGAGATGATACCCAGTATCAGGACATCGTCTAGTGATGATTAAGCATGTCTGAGGAAATATATACACTTGGTGGACCGATATAATATGTAATGAAAGCGGATATCAGATTGCAGGACTTCCCCATAAATGCCGCTCCTCACCATTATGCATCCCATTCTGTGAGGTCGAGGACCTCTTTGCAGCTCTCGTATCCTATTTAAAAAGGGTATTAGTCTGGCTCTCGATGATTGACCTGATCGAGGTAATGGCAATAAACTCACCGCGCGATCATATTTATCCGAATCGACCTCGCTGACCAGGGTAGTGAACAGGTCTTTCATACGCCGCTGGTACCACCAACCCACAAATGAGACGAAGGTCATGAACGCGATGGCCGTGATTCCACAAGGTTCCCAGTAGATCTGAGCATCGTCGATCATAGCCTTGGTGTTGACTGAAATCATTGCGGTGACATCAGGTCTGTACGGGTCGAGCCAGTCGTAGACAGAGACTTGGCAGATATTGGCAGTATACACGCCCAACAGCTGCATCAAAGTTCCGCCCAAGGCAGCCACGCCGGCGATCACGCCAAAGAAGATGTACAGGAAATACCAGAGGCAAGCCCATACAGAGCGGATGTCTCTAAAGTCTCGCGATTTCATCTGCTTCCAGATCTCGCGGGGGCTTCTCGACTGCTTCGAATCAAGGAAGTGGTCGGCGTTTCTTGGGTCGTAGAAGCCATGCTTGTCCAGCCATCCTCCGCGCCATAAGAATTTCAACGGCCCGGATCTTTCCTTTGGTATATCAGGCCCTTTGGCCTTTCCTGGGGGGCCAGCGTATGCCCACAGCCATAAAAGAACTTGTGAAAACTGCGCGCAGGCGTATATGGTAAAGGTGAACGATCTGCATGAGAGACCAACCTGTGGTGTGAAAAACGCCGTGAGAAATGCCAGGACGAACGGGACACCAAGGAGGAAGGCCGCCATGAACAGTATTAGGAACCAGTCGAGCGGGGCCAAGGTCGTCTTCTCCCTGAGATCTTCTAAATCTTGCATATTGTCTCCTTGTTCGTCCTGTCCAACACGGTCCTGGATGGTGTGGCTGGGATTTCCATACGTCTTCAGAAGCGTGCGAATCCAGCGTAGCTTATTATAGCCCCTCTGCCACTGCCAGGCAACTTTGTAACAGCTGGGATAGGCGAGGCCAAAATGGAGCCCTAGGAACTTCACCTGATCCTGCTCATCCTGTCGTTGAGTTGCGAAGACACCCTCAAGGATGTTTGGGTTGTTGCCAGCAAGCAGAAGACCAGATATAATGGCGATGTGAGGGATCGTCATGTACCACTGACCGAAGGCCAGGGCGAGAGCGATGTCCTCGTTTCCGATTTCTTGAACGCTTTGAACCAGGGCAAAGACGAAGCCGCCCAGGAAAAAGACCACTGGTGCGCCAACCATTGAGCCGAAGGAATATTGACAATTGACCATAGTTCGGAGGCGCGTCTTTGTCTTGCGAATCTGCTTTGCAATCTTAGGGGTTCGCGCGTGCGGTCGCTCGCTCACGAAGTGGTTGTAGTTCGTGCAGTGTCGGTCTTGGCATAGGTCGTAGCGATGGTTGCGTCTGGCGTATTGGCGTGGTGACAGGTGCCTCTCAGTATCTTCATCGTCGTAGAGCCGGATCGGATATAGTAGCTCTTCCATGTGCCGCCACGGCGAGGCTTTCAAGTGAGTAGTATCCCTGCGTTGTATGACGAGATTTTCAGGCTGCTCGATAAGTGTATCAGAGTCGAGAGCGGAACTTCGTGCCGCTGGCATGCGGGTCGCGGATCGCCTTGAGCTACTATCGGCCCTCGTCGTGCTATCGCAAGAGGATATTCCCAGGTGATCGGCATGGGGAGATAATGGGCGTTGCCGGATTTCACTGACGTCCCCTTCTGACTCTTTGTTACTAGAGAGCAGGCCGAGAGGTACGCCGAGGTCAGGGGTACTAGGTTTGGCCAGAGGCGGCTGCTGCACCGCATCATGGTCAAACGTGGCGCTTCTTGTGCGACTGAGGCTGCGACCTGAACTTGGACTTGTGCCCTGGATGACGATATTGCGTGATGACAGCCGGCGTTCTTGAGCTGGGTCGGTTGAAGAAGGGTCGTCTTCAAGGGCCAGATCTAGGTTTCCAATAAGAACCAGCATCAATAATCGACAACGCATGTCCAAGGTCAAATTCCTGCTCTTCATCTTCTCCTGTACAAAGTTAATCACACGGCTATCCAGCAAAGCCTCGTACAACCCACTCAAGATCATGGGCGCAGAAAGACCCCAACATATCAACAACCAGAGAATCGTATCGAGTGCTACAATGACCATTGCACCGATCGCACCAAAAAAGGCGGGAATGTAACTCTTAATCCCTGCAAGGTCGGCGACAAAGAACTCGCGGAAAACATGGATCTTTCGGCGGCGAGGAACTGATAGACAAAAGACAACGGCAGGCAAGAGGAAGCCTGACAAAGGTTGAAGCCAGCCATTCAAGTTAGAGCGACTGCTGAGTGCCCATCCTGGGCAGGTTTCGGCAAACCAGGAGTACGGCACGTTGATCTCTGGGGCTCCTTCAGGTTTGTCCGGGTCATAGCGAGCAGTGCATGGGAATTGGTCGTCCGCTTGCGCTTTCTGAAGCAAGGCCACATCCAGATTGGTGATAGGGGGGTTCTCAGCAGCAACCAAGGTCTCGTTATCGACGGCTAGAGACTCGATCACAGATTGGATGCAACACCAGGTAAAATTCTGTCCGCCGATGGCCGTCCTCCATCTTTTCGGTGTATAGTAGCTGTTGCCGGCCACCTCAGGAAAGAAGTATTCGACAGTCTTGTTCTGCGCCTGAGCCAGGGTCGTTGTGGCCAGCAAGCCGCCCACGAGAATGATCTGCAGTGACAACATGGTGCCCAGGGGACACCTGGCCCACTGTTCCACGACAGGAGCCCTTGGTAAGTGGAGTAGTTGTTTCAATGATAGGTCAACAAGATGGGCAGAAGCTATGAGCAAGCATGGCAACTGATGCCGGCACCCATTTTAAGGGCAACTCGTGTGGTTCGGCGTGAGACATATTGAATGGCAGCCTACATGCGGCTGAAAGGATGCCGTGGGTCAGCGGTATACGGGGGTGCATTCCACACGAGTTGCTGATAGCGTTGCTCGCCCCAGATGTAAAGGCGAGCGAGGGTCACATGCATTTCACCGCAAAACCTTGGAAATGGCTGTGGGCCCTCTCCGATCTTCCCCAGAATCAATGATAAGCTGTCCCGCATCCAGCCGTCGACTGATTCGCAGTTGGGGGCGGAGCCCTCGTAGCTTTGTTCTCCGTCGAGTGCTAGGCGCCTGCATGTTGATTCAGCTCAACAATCGACTGACACACCTGCCCAATATCGTTAGCACAAAATGAGAGTGAGGCGACAGGACGCCACCAACCGTTGACTCACCGGATGATATCTCTGAGCCACAATGCTGTCTGAAATCAATCCATTAAAGATTTAGTCCAGAATGACTGTGGCGGTTATCTTCGAATCACGCTAAAACGCAGAAGGCTGCACGTGGGCTGGTTATAAACAAGAGCAACAGGATGAGACGACCTCTTGATAAAGAATTGAGCTCAAAGTACCCTAACCCGAGTCCTCGAAGACAAGGTTAAGGTTGCTGCACAGTGGGAAACTTACAGTCTTCAGAGGCTCGTCCTAGAGTCGTGCTGTTGGAACATTGAATTAAGGGCTGGGATAATAGAAGCTATGCCTGCAGATAATATCGTTCAAAGGAAGAAACGGCGCGCCTTGGTTAGCAATGAACCACTATTTGTGCACGCAGAACTAATAGCACCAGGCTGCATGTTTTCTATCCTATCTCTGAAGTCACTCCCCAAAATCTTCATACCTCCTCTGTCCCACAAATTTCAAAGTTGTCCCTCTAGCTATAGTAGAAATGCCTGCCACAGCGACAATAAACACTCGAGCATCCTCCCCTGATCTTCTCGACAAACATCTTGCATCGAGGACAGCGTTTCCATCCTTTTCTCCTAGCCATGACGATCAGTTTGCGGTCATTATTGACCACTGCCATCCTATCCTTGCTGGCATCACATTTTCCATTGTTGCTTTGGTGTGTGTGCCAGCCCTTACGGCAACGACAGCATGTAATTCGCTGGCATTCTGGGCAGCGGGCTTTTGTCTTTGTCCGGTCGGCCTTTGGAATAAAGCTGCCACATATCTTTCTGTAGCAATACAACTTATCCTTGGGTAGTGTGTCGTGCTCTTCCAGCTTTTCCAAGTAGTTGTTCCAGTCGCTCTTGTTGATAAAGACTTCTGACTCTTTTCTTACAGACTCAGAAACTCTGAGGGGGTTGAAATCTCTACTTTCAGCAAGCTGCGAAGCCTCTTGCTCCTCTGGTTTGTAAATTTCCATTCTAGAGCCCGGCTCGTAGCCTGGTTCGAATATCGGCTTTGGATGAGGCCTCTTCTCAATGATTCTCTTGAAATATTTCAATGGAATCTCCGTCTCGGTGCAGCATTGGAATCTGTGAAATGTGTTGTTGGCGATGGCGAACTTGAAAGCTCTTGCCAGGCAACCCTTACACCATCGGTGCCCACATGGCAGCTCATGGAGGGACAAGTCCGGTTGAGATATAGTATCAAGTCCACAAGGAAGGCAGATATCCTTACGACCCTCCTCGGTGACTGGTATCCGGTCCATTCTTCTTTGGCTGATGTTTGCGATGATTGTCGACTTGGCTGGGACCTTGGTCTGGTATTCTACCTCAGGCTTGATAACTGATACCGGCACCACATTTCTAAACACATGCTTCTTCTTCTTTATCTTTCTGATGAATTCTTCCTCGCTGGTGCTGTCATCGCCACTGTGCTCATCGCTGGTTTGCTCCTCGTCGTCGAGGTGCCTGGCGTCTGCGGCTAGCGCTTCGGCGCTGAAATAAGGACCAAAGACGGGCTCCTCATCTTCTATTAGCTTAGCCATCTCCCTATAACTTCCTCAAAGTATTGACAATTACTTTTTCTGAATGAAATTTGTGCAGAATGCTCAGGTTTTAAGCCGTTCCCAGATGTTGTAGATGCGTACGATGTCTACTGTGAGTTCAACTCACTCGGCGGGTCATTAGTCTGCTCCCGTCATGCTAATATACTATTCATTCATTCATTCATAATAACTTCCGCCAGTCGGGAATAGGCTTCGTCTAGAAATAGCACCCAACCCTCGGAGCTTCTTCTTCGATAACAAAGAACCGTCCATAAATAAACTACCCGTGTCAATTGCTTATGTGAGGCAATTTCTTCTGTCTTGCTGAACAAAGGAGTACTAGAGGAGATCAAAATTGCACAAGGATATTGAGTCTACTGCATGATCTTCTGTGACTGTGGTCGCGGCCGTGGTGAGTGGCGGGGATACCCTCTGTACCTGCTGCTTTCAGCCACTGACCGCATGAAATCGCTGAGTTCGATTTCACCTCCTCATACGTGTGACCATTTGACCAATTCTGAATTCCCTGGTGTATGTGAAAAATGAAAAGTGAGTTTCAATGAACCAAGTGACCAATTATTGATTATGCACTAGAAATCGAATGGGTCTCTTGAAGCTATTGAGTGCTAAACGCTTAATGAGATTCTGTGTGAATCAATGTTTGTGATGACTGAATGCATGATTCCGAACTCGTGATTCCGGCTGAATCAAATCCACAATCCTCATCTAACCAGTATCTTGAGGGTTAGCCGTAAGAATTCCAGTCCACTGTACAATGTCTCCTTCGCCAATGACCTCTTTCCGGTCGAAACCCATAAAAGCGCCCTCAGCGTAAGCGGAACTCCGCCCAAGTACTTTTGTGAAGAAGTTCTGTGCTGGAGTGTTTGCTTCCTCCCAGATGAATCCCACGCCTTCGACTACTCGATCGCCGGGCTCCTTGTCTCCTGCCATTATGGGTAATAGTTGGTGCCTCCTCACCTCCCTCGGCAAGGCCCACCACGCTTCTAGAATAGCCTGGAGCATTTCAGTACCATATCCCTGGCGCCAATATTGAGGTTTGACGAGAATTTCTCCCTCGGGCTGTTTGAACTTCCATGTTAGTGACCATCCCGGAAAGGTTGTTTGGGGAATTTATAAGTGGGCTGGCTCGTGAAACTGTAACCAAAGATGTCGTAACATTGTATGGAGCTACGTAGGATTCTGACAAAAATCATTGTCTTGATCCAAGCCTCAATACACCTGGTCCGCGAGATCATCTGAGTCATATATGGGAAGAGGGGAAAACGCGGAACAATCTCACCCATCCAGACCGGGGCATATAGAGGCAGTCTGGCATACCCCCCTCACCAATCATTTCGCCAGTCGAGTTGAGAAATGCGCCAAAATACCAATGCATAGTATCATTCGGTGACTGAAGACTCTCGATGTTTTGTTGTGTCTCCTGCAGATCTCGATCCGCCCGACCTCTTGTTGGTGAACGGGTTTGCAGCTCGGGTATACGCCGCAGCTCATGGAACTGCTCTAGATCTGCAGGTTCTATGGGTCGGATTGTCAGCCGTTGTGTCTGGATATGAGGCCGTTCAGACGCTGGTGGGAGAGGCCGCTTTGGGAGTTTGACGCGGTAGCTGAACCACGGCATCCGATTATCGGCATCTCCCGCTCCGGAAGTAACGCTGTTCTTGGGAGCCATTGGTGCCAAAAAAATGTTTCGGAAGGACCGCGTTTATAATTTGTGAAAGGGAGTGTAAATGGAGTGCCTGGGGGTTTAGTGGACGAGGACGTGCACGACGCTGAAAGCGTAAACGGCAATTGTCTGCCTCTGAGAGATATCTTCTCGGGACAATTTTGTGGGTGGATTTCTATGATCGACTTTGTTGGGTCCCCTGTTTTTGTGCCAAGTAACGAGTCGCTCGTTGAATAACCCGACCTAGCCGACAAGGACACTACCGTAGTATGTGTTTGACTGCGTCTTCCAGGGACAGGCCGATCACACGATCTCCCGCCCCTGTTCAGGCACCAACCGCATACGTGACCCACAACCCTTGGCATGGATTACTTTGGAGAGTGTTTTGCCCTCATGAATCGCCTTAGTAGTGATAGGTTCCCAGTGAACGGAGAACGGATATCCAGCCAGCTGGTTCCCTTGCCGCTGTAGAATATCTGTGCGGGGACCGCCCAAAGCTTCCATCCTCGCTGCTTGTAGAGGCAGAGGAACACAGAGAGCCCGAAATCAACCAACAGAAATGCAACCTAGATAAGGAGATATTTTGTTGGTTGGTTAGTGGTAGCCCGATTCGCTCCCTGCCATGCAATTGAGCCGGGTTGGCTGGCCTATTGGAATCCTGAAGACGTTTCAAATGACCTGTTGGTGACCAGGCTTTGATCCTGCCGTCCAACCCGCTTTTCATCCTGACGCGGCAGCCAGGGGTCTCACCTAGCTTCGACATTTCCCCATCTACTCACTCTAGCGCCTTAACAAGTGGCAGATCAGGTATGTACTTGCACCGCCTCGAGGTCTCTACGGGTTGCCTCACAATGGGCCAGGAAGAAGAAGTAACTTTGAGGGATACTAGCCGGATTGTTGAGAATACCACAGAAGACGTGAAAGTATCTTCATACCATGCTTATTCCCGTATGCAGATCAACTTAATAACCGTTTAAGCCTGGATAGGTTATGGGTCTAGGTCTAGGGCCCGCGGTGTACAGAAAGAGCCTCACCGAGTACCTTTCTTAGCCCTAGCGAGAAAGGTAAAAGGGAAGGTGGTGGGCCGAACCTACACGTCAAAGTGGATACAGTATGGATGAATGCTACGTTGAGTACAAAAGGCCCAAGGAGATGGGACGCATGGAACCTGGCCACAGGTGGAACCACACTCGTTTGGTATGTCCATGCGTTGCTTCCATTTCTATGGCCTGGTAGCAAGGTGACACTATCACAGAAATGAGGTTGGTTCGAAACCGGTCTCTGATGTCGGGTCCTATATGACGGAGAATGGCGAACTCCTAGGTAGAACAATCACCCCCGAGGCTTGCCTCCGGGCTTCCCTCCGGGGCTTTCCTCCTGGTCTCCGGGGCTTGTTGAGTGATTTTATCAATGCCACATAGCCGCTTTCATGTCAAAGTTTCCCAGACTTGTCCTGTTGTCTACGACTTGGTGCGCCTAGGCTTTTTAATGTGACCTGATACAGTTCAAGATTCATTCCGTCGGGTTAAGGAAGAGGACTTCAGAACAAATATTGGTGCTTGGAGGGCTCCCTAGATCTGAGTGCAGACTGGATCGCTTTTGCCTTCAGCTCATGATTTGAGTGGCACTCCATCATGCCAGGTATTGACTTTGCACTGTGTAGCATCCTTTACAACACATTCACAGAGACAAAGCCCCAGGCTACCAATTCTCTGGTTTTGAACCGCGAAAGTGTTGGCATTTCGACCGTCAGGGATTCCGTCGAGCGTTGGCGCTGACGCTGACACACCAACCAAATGCCTCTGGGTAAGCAGGCCACCTTCATAATATAAATCGTGTCCCAGACCTTTTAAAACGATCTAGAGACCAGAAACATCATGGATTACATCCAAATAAGTATTTGGTTGTCGCAGCAGTAAGTAACAAGGGTGCTGTGCGAGAACATTTGAATTATTTCATTCAATAGGAACGAAAACGACAATGCCTGTGAGCTCGTGTTCTTGGTCGTTCGAACAGCCACTATGAACTGCTACCAAACTTAATACCGCATTGAAACGCGTCTCGACCAAAGTCGTAGCCATACAACGTACCCGCCATTGTCAACGTAATCACAGCTCTTTCGGTATTTCCGTCAGCTCAACTATCTCCCCATCCGGGCCTCTCAAATAGCACACCCTCTGACCCCTGGCCTTCGTTTCTGGTGACTCCTGGGGAATGGTAAACACACCACTATACAGAAACCAGCCTTCGGTCTTGACCCTTTCCAAGATGCTATCGAGACCCTGAACCATAAGGTTGACATGAGCCGCGCCTACATCCCAACTTCTTGTCTGCGGGGTGCGACTCTTCTGCTCTTCGGCGATGTCAGCCGGCAAGTCGTACTGAATCAGCTCGAGCGTGGAGATATGAGAGGGATCACTGCTTCCACCGGCGTGGGGAGTCTGTGGAAGTCCAAGCCAGGTCACATGCATGGTCGTGCCGGCTGGGGCGCCTGTGATGATGTGGGTCGGGTCTCCGGGGGTGAAACCCCCGGGGATGGTCTGATTCCAAATCACGGGGAGGCCAAGGATATCATTCCAGAATCGAAGGCTGTCTGACACTTTGTATGATGCGGAGTCAGCATTTGACTCTTGAGGCTTGCAACTTGAAATTCCACGAAGATCAATTCGATTGAGGGCCCAGTTCTACTCCTTCTGCAGCCATCTCGACCCGCCAAGGGGGCCAGAATTTTTGATATTGGTAATGCAAGGAGCCGTGGATGATCGATTCCTTCTTACTGGAGCGAACAGTGATCCCAGTGTGGCCGTAGCCGAGGATCTTGAATGTTTGAGTGGCAGACATGATGTGGGAAACACGTAAACTTCGAGTGGATGATTACGGGTTTCTCGAACGTAAGCAAAGGGAAGAATCATCAGGAAGGCAAAAGCTTCAATTTGGTTTTTGAGGAAAAGTCGTCCTTAAAGAGCTTGGAAGGATCACACCCTCGTCAGCGCTCTGTTCGTTGGCAACCAAAAGCAACCAACAGCAACCTGGGAATGCTCGCCAGAACAGGATGATTGGTACCACCTTTACACCTAGCGTGGCCCAGAAAGCACGCACTTTAATCCTACTCTTCGCGGTCCTGCATATCAACTAAAATATGCCTTTCTCGGAAACCCGCCGTGCGCACGCCTCGTCCAGAAGACCCTTACCCTCACAAACTCGCAATCACCTCTCGAACAAACTGATACTACCGTCCAACCAGGAAACATTGATTGACCTCAAATTTACACGCTAGGCACGGAAGGATCCGACGAGAACAAAGGTGCGTCGCACGTCAACCCTAGCTGTGCATCCCGAGTGCTCGGCCGGGAATTCCGATTGCCGCCGGCGACATACTTAACATTCTCTACCACACCATACGTCTGGATGGCTTCTAATGAACCTGGTTCTATCACGACGTCACCATCGATTTTATGCTTAATATTCTTACCCGCAAATGAGTTGTGATATCTGAGACCTTACTGACGAGCCGCGCAGGCCATTTCAGGCAGCCATTGACCAGGCTGCGCCACAGCTGAAGCTGAAAGCCCTGGAGGGTAACGCACCCCACTTGGCACTCACCTTCAGGCTGCAAACTCGGCTCCATCTCACCTCCCTCAGCCAGATTATCGGTCAAGATGAGTCGTCGATTCCTCAAGAACCTCCTGCCGTCAAAATCCAAGTCATCAGAAATATCAGAACCGATGGGTTCAACGTCGCTGGTGGCCAAGCTTACCCAGAAGCAGCTGGAGGAGTACAAGCCAAAGTCTCAGCCATGCTATAGCTTCTCGGGAACGAAATGGCAACGTGGCAGACCGCCAGCCGCTCAGGAGGCGTCGGGTGCGAATGAAGGGGCAAAGATCTCAAACCTGCGGCTTTTGACTTGGAACATCGACTTTATGGCGCCATTTCCTCAAGCCCGAATGGCATCAGCCCTCTCGTACCTACAGACACTGGTAGAGGACATCCCCGCATCCACAGCCGTCATCATCTGCCTCCAGGAGCTGAGGCAAGACATGCCGATCAATTTCGACCGTCTGGAGAAGAGCTTCGACCCACAGATTGCCGACGACCTGCGCCAGATCGCCTCGGCATCTTGGATTCAAAATAAATTCCTCGTCACGGATTTGACGACGGATTACTGGCGATGCGGCTACAACAGTGTCACACTCGTTGACAAGCGCCTCAGCATTGCAGAAGTGTCCCGGCTGCCTTTTGTCAGTGAGTACAAGCGAGAAGCTTTACTGGTCGACATCGCCGTGAGGACCGTCAGAGAGCAGGCCGAAGGCGACGCGGAAAGCAGACATTCCATTCTGCGGCTGTGCAACGTCCACTTGGACTCCATGGCAGGGAAGCCACCCATGCGGCCGATCCAGTGGAAGGCCTGCGCGAAATACCTGCAGGACGAGAGCGATGGAGTGGTCTGTGGCATTCTCGCAGGGGACTGCAATGCGAACCAAGGCTATGACCTGACTCAACCCGAGGAGAACGGGTTCAAGGATGCTTACCTCGAGATGGGAGGCAAGGAGGATGATCCTGAGGGGCACACATGGGGTCCACAGAGCAAGAGTTCTAGGTTTCCACATAAAAGAATGGACAAAGTATGTTTCTGGCAGCGAAATAGGGCCGAAGACCAACCCATTGTACAGCTGAAGAGCGTCGAGAAGATTGGCGTCGGGATCAGGGTCGAGGACAAGGCTATCAGCGAGAAACTCGATGAAGAGGGATGGATGGATTTTGTCACGGATCATCATGGTTTGATGGTGGAATTCGAAGTGGGAGAAGCTTGGGCTTTGGACACGCAAGCTTGAAGAACAGATTGCAGGCTCGCCAGGCGTTTCGGGCTCGCCAGGCGTTTCGATCTCGCCATACTCAACACAGGGGCACTTCTTTGAGAACATGCTGTAGCATCCTAAAGAGGGCTGATCGTGAAGGATTTTTCAACGCTTTTAGTTGAGGATGAGCCTGCAGAGCCTCTTGAATGAAAGTTTCGTATTGCGATCTTTCGTAGAAGAAGAGACCAGCGAAATTGCGCAGCCACCCAAAGCAGTGCCTTTGTCGAGCCCGTAACCAATCACATCCTGTGTCTATTTACTCTTCCAATGCGTCTTTCGAGACTAATGACAACAGTCAGTTGACCTCAATTGAACTTCTCTCTCTGACCTTGCAACCTCCACGCTCTTGTTGACGGCCTGCCTGCTAGGTGGCACATCCAAAGCCGGATTCTTCTCGAAGAAATTCACCGGTTTCAGCCCAACTCTGAATACTTCTACCGGCATAACTGGCCAATCTTCCGGCCGCGGGACATGCGTAAATCCAAATGTGCACCACACGACACCCTCGCCCGCCTTGATGTCACCCTTGCGCGAAGCCCAGGTCCGCAGGCCAGTACCACCGACGCTCTGCCACGGGAAGTCGCCTGCCGGGTATAGCTCGTCCTCATCCTGTTTGGTGAAGTAGAAGTGGTGATCGGCAAATTCTGCCCTCATTCCGTGCAGGGACCCAGGCTCAGCCAGCTGCAGCTGAGTTGGAGGGATCATGACCTTGTATCCGCTCGGCTTATGCGATGCCTCGTTCTTGCGGGTGGGGTTTATCATCTTGACTGCGCGGTTGAGGCTTGCATCGAGGTCGAGGAAGGACTCCTTCTCAATCGGTGTGGACTCGACGCCAAATGCCACACCGTAAGGATTTGTCGCTGCGTTCCAACCCTGGCGTTTGACGTCCTCATATACGATTGTGCCCTCATCGTAGGAGTCGATGGAAGGATCGAGACGTAGGCAGAATATGTGTTGGTGGATGGGAGCCATGACACCTGGAGAGACCATGATTCCGTAGTTTATCCCGTCATGGTCTGCATTCTGATCCGCCGGCACAAGGGACATGATTCCTGTAGCCCGGACTTCGTAGTGAATGTTTGCGGCCGTGTCAAAGACCCATTGAAGGATGTACTCATAGTTCGAGATGGTCATGATCTAGGTACTGTCAGCCTCTTGAGTAGCAACGCTGTATCAGGCCGTGCATAACTTACAGTCTGGATGACAAGTTCACGGTTACGAGTCACCTCCGCCCGCCCAGTGCGGTAATTCGTGTGTTTCCAACCGATGCCATTGTCCACTTCATGCATGCATATCGCGTTCTTGAGAGTCATTGGCTTACCCTCGTGGTCATTCATCCACCGATCGAAGTACCGAATAGCACCGAGACAGTCACACCCCAACTCCAGGTTGTTCGCCGTGCATCCCGCACCACCCTCGCCAAGGTCGTATGCGCTCTTGCGGTGATACGGAACTCTTGGATCACCGTATGGCACCGTCATCTCCGCAAGGGAGAGTCGGTAGAACACCGGCCTACCATCGTAAGTCACATCTCGTAGGACCACGCCCTCGCGCCAGTTGAAGTCGAGGTGGAAGCGCCACTTCTGCCACTCGACCACCTCACCCTCTGACACGCGGAAGCTGACACCATCTGGCTGGCTGATATTGATAGGCTTGAGGTCTTCACGCAGCTTGGGTTGCAACTCCGAAGCATACTCTGCGTCGGGGTTATTTTGCCACGGTCTGCTCTCGGCGGCTTCGTTATCGACATAGATCTCATCTGGCTTCATCGGCAGTCTGTCGATGCGTATCACCTTCATAGTGAGATCGTCGACTACTACCGAGAAGTCTAGAGGGTGGGCGAAATGGTTGCCTGAGGGGTGGTCTCGAGCCTTGGGATCCAGCGGCTTGAGGAACATCCAAACCTGGTACTGGCGCCTCTCGGGGGTTGCTGACTCTGTTCCATACGGCCACGGCTCAGGCTGGACAACGCAGCCCTCTGGCAGCTTGAGCCGATCGATCTCGGCTTGAACAAGAGGGTCGCTCATGACAATGTCCTCCAGGCGGTGCATATCGATGTTGGTTGCTGGTGGGTAGCAAGCTGTGCCCATGTCGCGGGTCTTAATGGTCTTGCCGCTCGACAGCTCAATTATATCTTCGAATACAGTGGCTTCTCCCTTGAGCTGATAGGACACATATGTGCGCCGCGATGGCGCGGGACCTCTGCCTTGGATGAAAGCGACGCATTCTGCCTTGGGCGGCTCCTTGATGCCGACGACTCGGATGAGCAGCTCCTTTCCGGGATGTTTGGCGTGTATCGAGTCCGTGGTGAGTTGTACTTCATCCGGCTGTAGACTCAGAAATGGGTGGCGTGTCCCCATGTTTGTCTGCTGGGTAGTTGTCTACCTCGTCTTCGTGGGAAAGAAAAAAGGTGTACAAGTCATTCGGTTAGGCTCGGGGCTCGGGGCGGACCTTCGGTTTTAAAGACCGACCTAGAGACTTACGAAGTCAGACGACGGTACACTGAAACGAGCAGTGTGCAACTGTTTATATCTGGCCTTTTGGTCTATGATTGTGAGGCAGAACCTGAAGTCTAAGATTGTCGCCGAGAAGATAAGGTCTCACTAGACGATGGTATAGAAAGGGACCTGATTCTATGAGGTAAATTGACATCTGTTAGCCTATCACGGTCGACTAGGATGCCGTTCGAAATCGAAGAGCCGCATTCTCCGCACGGGCATGGAGCAAGATCGCGTATAGCTCGTTTGCAAATGGGACCCACATCCCGAGACATGAACCTCTTTGCCCAATGAGGAAACAAAAGTGAGTGGTTGATAGGAACCGTATCGAATTGATGACGACTCCAATTGTCGTTGATTGACTGAGGCGTCTTTGTCAGAATATGGTGTAATGTAGAAATATGCGGAGCTAAAGAGCACGTGTAATCGAATATTTGTTCTATTCAATAAGCTACGAGCACTTTATGGACCCTGTTCCATTCAAAAAGACTCACTGGTATGCAGCATAAATTTGTTACAAATACATGCATCTCCATACAAATAGTGACCAACACGATGTTCATAGGTTGGTAGTCTGACAATGTAATCATCTAGATCAGCTCTTTGGCCATGTTGACCCATCTGCAGTCCACAAACATGTAACATAAAAAGACAGATTTTATCACTCACGAGCAAATGTAGGTCTCGCAATCATTCTGATAGGCGTCATAATCAGTAATATTGCATACGCTCGGTTAACTTAAAGCAGAATGTTCTACGGAGTGGTGCTGACTATTTGACAAGTTTTCGTATACCTTTAAGAACCAAATCATTTCTACTGCGATCTTCAGGGCCACGACAGGTGCATGTCAGTGAACATTCTGTGGTAATGTGACACATTTATCGGACGCCTTGATGTCTGAGCAGCTGAAGTTGTGATTCTGTGCTGTACACTGTACGGACTCGTCCAATACAAAATGACTGGCAGAAGAAATACAGTACACACAGGACTGTGCTTAACCCTTTGGGGGGGGGACTTGAAAAGATCAAGCATTACACCTGGGATCGGACAGTAAGGCCCTAGGAGAGGAAGATGTTTACAATTTCCCCAAAATCTCTTGCTATTATATCCCATTCTAGTGTAGTACTCGTAGTCATGACATGTTGCAGGTTTGCTTTCCTAAGAGTCTCAAACCGAAGGAAGAAATGGGCAAGTCTACTAATTTCCAAACTCCCAAAGCAGGAAAGCTAAAAAGTCCTAACAACTTGTTGTGTTTCTGTGTAGATATGCCATGCACACGTACCTAAAAAGTTCCAGAACTTTTTTCGCCCTTGGGAACTACTACTCAGCAAAGTAGCTGTCACAACAAGCATTTAGTCACCACAGTAACCTTCAGTTGAATGCCCATGAATGGCCAGCCTCTACCTCAGACTTCTACGAGTCAGTCGTTGAAATTCCACGACTCCTCGGATTCTCTTATAGAAGTAAGAAATCTAAACGTGTTGGGCGAAAGTCATTTATTATTGGCCTCGTTCAGTCAAAGGTGTCAAGATTTGTGCGTGGCGGGTCACTGCTGCACATGCCGACGCAACAAATCGCAAATTGACAATTATACTACACGGCTTGAAGACCCGAAGCACCTCCGTTGCTGTGCTCTGGCTTCAAAAGACTCCCGACGTCGCATACACAATCAATATCAAGCCTCGCCGCCAGGTCGACGCCAATCTGAACTGCTGCCTACGGATGCAGATGTTTCACAGGACTTGTCCAGAGATGCAGGCTTATCAAGTAGCTGAAGATTTTGAGGCGCTGCTGCCGGCGATGACCTCCTGCTCCAGAGCTACCCTTGCCTCAATCTCCTCAAGTGGGTAGTCGCGTGAGTCTCCGCGACCCCAGATGAACCTCATCACTGTCCATGGGTCGTCATCGTCCTCTTCGAACAGAAAGTGCGGGTCAGCGCCTATCCGCAGATACTGCAGAGCTTGTTCAAATAGCATATCTGCACACGCCATTGCGAAGATTGTCCAAGATCCCGATTGATCGGAAAAGGCCAGATTGATATCCGCGCCGCGGTCCAAGTAATCATCTACCAGATCATCTCTGTCTGCAATATAGGCCATGTGCAGAGCTGTAACACCGTTGCGGTTTTGGGCGTCGATATCAACAAGGTCGTTGTCGATCAGATAGTCGATTGTTTCTTCCATTTCCCAACGTGTCGCAATATGAAGGGCTGTGACATCTCCTTCGACATCTTGGGAATTGGCACCTCGCTTAATCAGCAATTCTGCAGTAGAAGTGTGTTGATTGCATATCGCGTAATGCAAGGGTGTCCACCATGAGAAAAAATCATCCGGGTCGGCGTATGGACACATATTTGCGGGTCTTTCGTCCACATAGTCAGGGTCTCTGTCGTAAAATTCGGGGCGATTTGGGAGGAATTCTGGGCCGCGGAGCAATTCAGAGCAACAACTGCACAGCTTTGCTGATTCTGACTCGATATCTGCACCATGGTCCAACAGATACTCTACTACAGAATCCTGTCCGTGACTTGCGGCGCATGCAAGCGGGGAGAAATGAGCTCCTGAAGGAGGATGTACATCATTTTGGATGTTGTAGTAGTAATCGTGGATGTTGAAGAGAACGTCAGTGCCCCAGAGCAGGCCGTTTTCGTCAAGCATGTTCACATCCACCCCACTTTCAACAAGCCGCTTCAGCGTTCCAAATTCCTCGTTTTCAATAGCCCAATAGACTGAAAGTGTACAGTCAGTTTCTACTAATGGAAGCCATTGTTTTGATACCGGGCCAGCCAGCGCAGTTCTCACACAACACTTACTAGCTACGCCGTGCTCGTCCTTGACATGCGCCTTATAGGCAACAGGAATGGCAATTCTGTAGTAGCGACGACTGGTACATGCCAACGAGATCAGGTCACGAACCGAAAGATACCACTCTTGTTCTATGATCTGAAGAAGGAGCTCATCTGGCAGGCGATCAAGGTGGCTTCCAGGGTCGCGAGCTGCAGCCATGGTGTCGAAAAGAGTCGTGTACAGATTGGTGAAGAGATTATCGATGTGTATGAGCTTTCTGCTACTGACAGAAGGGAGGGACAGTATTTTAAAGTTGACATCCAGGCTCCAGGCCCCAGCTTCTGCCTAAGGCTGTGAGACAGCCACTGGTGTGCAAACAAAGAAGACAAAGGGCACAGTTTGGCCATCACACCTGCCTACTATTTCTTGATCACCTAAGAACGGCCCCAGTCTAGAACACCCAGTAGTAGACGTTGCGGCATTCATTTACCCTATTCTCGGGTACAATGTCTCAGCTGTGAATGCGCAGCAGGTCATTCATCCAGCCAGCTGCATATCTATGTTGCTAATGGTATCATGAATGGGTGCCGTCGATCTTGCAGTGGAAGCATTGCACATGTTCTGCACCGGATGTGCCGTTGAGGACGATGAATAATTCTGAGAAGTACATCATGGTACTTTCTACGAAAGGTCAACATCTGTGAACTGTCCCAACCGATGCAAAATTTCACCCTTCTCTGCCCGACCCGCGATCTTGAGCTCAACCCATCCTTGATGTGGCCGATTTCCTTGGCCCCTCGCTGTACACATGGTGGCGCACTGGTCAGCATCAGTCTGCCGTTTTGAATGTCGGTGGAAGGATGCTCTGGAACACGGAGGTATCTACCATGGATACGACTGCTTCGTGGGTACTATTTCAGAAACACTGGGTGTCGCTGGCTGCTTAGCGGATACGTTGCATTTTTATTGGGCTCTTCTAGGTACTTTCCATTCCATTGTGGCCTTTTTAGAAGACATGATTTTCTAGAGCAGTCGTTCCACGGGGCTGATAGGTGGGGCGAAGTGTCCAAGAGCTGTAAAATCGGGCTCATAGTGGGACCTGCACCTGCCGGTGTCTGCGCCGTCTTTCTTTGGTGGTCGCGCGTCCATTGTAGCTTTGAAGCTCCTATGGTTTCGTGCAAGGTTGCTGGGATTGTAGACCTGCATTGTAGAGCTGCTCGTGTCGACCTAAGCACTTTGAAATATTGTCTGAATGTGAATGAAGCCTCAATGGCTTTACGAACTGCGAAAGGATTGTAGATTGCGTGAAAGGGTTCGATGTCGTTATGTATTACAATGCTTCAAGACCTGTACAGAGCCCAGCTTGCTAGTATGTGTCCCCTGGCAGATAGCTGATCCAGCGAAGATGTACTTCACATATGCGGTCCTTCACTTGACATAAGATCTTCCACATAATTCGGGCAGAGAAGAATGAGTAATAAATTTTAGAAAACTTTATTTCCATGAGATGCGAACGTATTCATAAAGTTTCTAGTTAAGTGGACCAATGGGCGTAGGAGACTTTATTCAGCCTATTTGATACCATGATTAATGCCCCATTCGAGCGTTGGGCTTGTTTTAATGCGTGAGTATCATACACGACGCGAAGTATGATGTGCAGGAGGAATAGTCAAGTCATTCGATCGTAGTCAGGGCGAAAATCAAAGTTCCCTAATTAGCTGACTTTGTATGATCACCATTGCGACCTGGAACGGATGAAAACTCGGCCACGATAGCCCTCATCTATCACCAACAGCTTGCGATTCCATGGTTTCAGGTTCAACAAAGATCCATAGCGTTGGGTTGGACTTCACATGTTTCGTGATGTTCAAGCCTAGTATCGCTTTGCCTTTTGATCACACGCAAGTCGTGCACTAAGCCACAAAAGAAATGTTACGCAGGGCGGAGGTACTTGGACTGATTTCCACTAACACCTAGCGAATCATGGCTGTCCCCTACACGCCTGAACTCTTGCACCGGCACGTATTCCAAGCAATTGCTTGCTATGATGGAACGCTTACGCGGGATCAACGACTGAACGATTGCCACTACCTGAATTAGCTACAATCTGAGCTCAGCCGCAGCAGTACATCGAGCGCAGATGCACGATACCAAGGCTGTGGGAATGGATCCCGGTAGTGCTGAGACCCGAGAGACTATCAGACAGCAGCATGGGCAGAGGACGATTGCCTACTGTATCATGAGAGCAATCCTGCGTTTTGGCCAGCATAAAACGCCTCTGACGTGTTTCCCGCGTGCTTGGACCGACCAGACGGACTCTGAGCAACGTGCCTCTCTGACGAACGCGCGAAATTCGCCACAGGTCAACTCAAACAGGGCAAGAGAGGCTCGTTCGCGCAAGAACGACTTCTTTTGGGGCTAGAAGCTGACTTTCTTCTTGGAGTGGTTCGCACGGACTGGGCCCACGCCTCTAGACGGAATCGTCGCCCACGCGGCATGGCTTCGTGAACGTTGCATCCCAACCGAGCACACGAGATCCAGCGGGGTAGATATCAACCGGTGAGCTTTTCTGAACTCGGACTACTGCAGTCGAGTCCGATGTCTTGCACTTGGCATGGAATAGGGAGATGCAGTGTCACCTATGTGGACCGCTTGCCTTCATTGGAGGCGCATAAGGGCGTATCTGCAGCCGTGAATTCTTGGCGGACTTCTGGGTGGGTTCTCGTTCCAAATCCGCCTGGCATGCCTTCTCGAATTGGCATATGTAACGGCTCTGTGTTGCCCGAGCCGCATGTCAGCGTGTCAAAGTCTTGCGTCAGCCCCTCAGCGAACTGCAGGTTTAACCCGGTGGCTACACAAGAACCCAATGGTAGAGGTCCACGGCATGCTAATTCTGAGCCCGATGACTGAGAAGCAAGATGGTGCCGCCACGATGATGTCGATCAGTACAATAGATATCGCGCTTAGACTTCTAGAGCAAGGGGCCACTATCTACGTCAGGTCTGTCCAACGCTTCTTGCGGGACGCTGGGGGTCAGTGTTGGCGAGAAGCCGTCACTTGGGGTGAAAGTACTACCTGTTCGCATCTCGGTACCAATCCCACTCTCTGCATGTGCGTAAGGAATCTTCATCCCGTCCTTTCATTGGATAGGGCTGACGATGGACCATTCGAAGGGAGAGATGACGGCGATCAATCCACGAGCAGTTCGTCTGGAACCCTAAGGGCTTGGCTAGATGAACACTAACGCTCTGACCACATCTCGAGCACATGTAGAGACATAAGTAATTCGAGCTGGGTGGATCCAAGCTGGACCATACTAGTGACCCGGGTCTTTCCCCTAGCCGCGCTGCAGGGGATTAAGATGTTGACTCAGATAAGGTCATCCCAGGGGCGCGCCAATGGATGCACCCATCTGGCGAGGATATTCGTCTCATCACTCATTTTATTTACTTTTGGGGCCCCTCTTTCTGCAACGGGCCGACGGCATGCGTAGGGGATGAAGGTGCGGAGGCTTTCACTGGGCATTCTAGGCGCAGTGGGAAAAGCAAGCCTCCGGACTCGTCGACGTTTGACAGGAAGTCAATCTCAGGCAAGATTAACCTTGATACGTGGGATAAGAAGCTCGACCTGCATGCTGCAGCCCCTGCAGGGACATCACGGCCTACCATGTCTCCCCTTGCATCTTCCCCTCAAGTCTAAGATTTACCCGGTTTTAGCTTTCAGCACAAATTGTTTGTCAGAAAGAAGAAGCTCCCGCTACGTTTCACCAGGAAGATATCCTTCTGACATTCTCATTGATCGTAGAAATAAACTCATGTCTAATGTTTGACAGCACACGTGTTTCGCGTGTGACGGGCAAGGCCTGACGCGAATACATCCTCGTGCGAGCTAGCCTTTGACCCTAAAGGCGTGCCGCCGCCACGTTCGCCTCAGGTAGAACAGTCTTGCGCCCATGTCTGTAGCCTAGCATCTGAATCCCATGAGAAGTCTAGCCTGAAACCTTTCTAGAATAGATCCGATGTGGTAATACGCTGTACTTATATGGTTCATACCAGCCATGGACGCTAGTTCCAAACCTGCAATTCACCTGGGCCATCGGGGATGATGCCGGACCAGGTTTCTGGGAAGCTGTTACTACCTGCCACTACTACGCAAGCTCGTCCAGCCCTTAAATCTAGCCCCTTTGCCTTCCCATATCCCCAGGAGCCTTTGTTATGAGACAATGAGACGTTCTTCGCGTCTTTGCCAACCTGACCCCCTCAATGGCACCAGGTGCCCATGCAAAGGTCGGAAATGAAGACGGCCACCCTCATCCTCATCCTCCTCCAGTTCCTGATCGCAGGCGCGACGGCCCAGTCATCTCTTTCTGAAGTGGTAGCGGAGCTGCCTAGCTGCGCTGTGAGTTGGCATTCCTCTGAGAATCTGTGACTTTTGCTTCCGCTGACAACCATATGTCTAGTTGACCTGCCTGATCACGGCTATCTCGCATTCACCGTGCTCTCTGACCGATGTCGACTGCACATGCTCGAACAAGAAGCTAAATGACGAAGCTCAAGTCTGCGGCCTTGCCAATTGCACCATCAAGGACGGACTCAGTGAGTACAGCACAGCCTTTTGTTATTCTTGGCCCAGTCTCAACAACTGACATTCGAGAACAGGAGCGAAGAACATCACAGAGACACTATGCCAAAACGGAGCGCCACCAGACCGGAGTCTTGTCCCAGTCTTCTCAGGCTTTCTCGCTCTTGCTGGTGTAGCTGTGGCTCTGAGATTGATCGCCAGATATATAACTTTATGTTACTTTTGGTGGGATGATCTCTGCATCTTCCTTGCCTTCGTGAGCACCCCTCCCTCCCTCCGACCCACATCCCCACAGGCTATCCAGACGAAACCAAGAAGCAAGCAAGCATTCTGACACCCCTTTTCCGACCACAGTCGGGCTGCGCTGCCTTTGCAGCAACAAACATCCGAGCAGCGGTGCTTGGCATGGGTCAGGACGTGTGGAACGTTCCCTTCGACCACATCACCTGGCTGCTGCTGATCTTCTGGGTCAACATGGGCCTGTACGCCGTAACGCGGGGGCTGATCCGCGCCTCCATTATCTTCTTCTATATGCGAATTTTCCCGAGCACCTCCAATTACACCGTTTACCGCCTCGTATTCTGGACGGGTGTCCTCAACGCCGTGCACATCACGTGCTTCACCCTCGCCGTCATTTTGCAGTGTCAGCCTACGCGCTTCTTCTGGTACCAGTGGGACAAGCAGGGTCCCGTGCAGGGCCACTGCGGCAATGCGAATGCGCTGGCTTGGGCCGCGGCTGGAGCGGGGATTGCGTTGGATTTGTGGCTTTTTGCGCTGCCTTGGCCAGGAATCTGGAAGTTGAACCTGAGCTGGAGGCGGAAGATATTCGCTGGGATTATGTTGAGTGTTGGTGTTGCGTAAGTGACGAAATGGTTGATCCCAGGCTTGCTTACATATGCGCTGACGTCTGATCCTTCAGATTCTTCGTGATCAGTCTTGTGAGACTGAAGACGATTAACACTTTCACGACTACGATCAATCCCAGTAGTAAGTCGACCGACCCTCGACATAATTCGCAGGCGAAACGACTCACTGATCATCTTTATACAGGGGATTTCGTGGAAGTAGGAATCTGGTCTGGAATCGAGATCGATGTCGGCGTAGTCTGCCCCTGCCTGCCGTCGATCCGCATCCTACTCGTCCGATACGCGCCGCGCTGCATGGGCTTGGGGAGCAGTGCGGACCACGACCTGGAGGAGCAGCAGCAGGCGAGCAGGCCAGCTCGGGGACGACACGGTAGGAGGCTCCGGAAGCGCAGCTACGTCAACTTCGACGTCGAGGGCGGCAGCAGCGGCCGCAGCGGGAAGATGTCCCTCACCGCTGTCGCCTCGACGCCTCCCGGCAGCACCTTTACGGATGGTAAGAAGAGCCCATGGAATGAAAGCGAATACCGGCTTGCTACTTTTAAGAGACATAGCACGGAGATGGTGGATGATGTCATAGTCGCTTCTGATGTTTGAGGATGGTTAGTCTGTCCTGTCGTATATAGAACATTCCATTGAATACCTCCAACGCTCTGCTGCCAAGCGACGTTTCCTGGATGGCCTGTCACTGATTGTGGGCACTGCTTGCTTTCCCACGTCGATATAAGGCTTGGGAAACCCTCCAGGGTTTTCAGACAGTGACACGCGATGCTCAACTTGCTTCTTGAGAACGTAACGTATTCGGAGGCGTCTTACACGTTGCTTCAAAAGGCAGCCGTGCAATTGGCGCGCATGACGGAGCCTGTGTCACCCCAACAGAACTCACTGTTTCACATCATGGTGGATTGCGCACGCGTATCAGTAGTTCATGATTTCTTTTTATTTCAAATCTATCCGCAGGTATCTACCATCATGCTGCGCCAGTCCAATCCCAAACCAAATCATATTAGACCACGACAACCTTGTTGGTGGCAGACTTCTCCTTCTCGTCATCCCAGATGTTGATGTCCCACTTGGGTTTGTCTGCGCAAGCAATGGGTCAGCATTTTGTCGCATCAGAAAGGTGTAGCCATTTCCGGCCAAAGATAACTCACAGGTAGCTGGGACATTGAATCGCTGGTACTCCTTGACACCAATCTCGTTGATAGCCTTGATGTCGTCGTCGTTGAGCTTGATCTCCTGGAAGTTGGCAGCGATACGGCTGGGTGTGACAGACTTGGGGATAACGCTGTGGCCGCCGACCTGGGACCAGGCCAGCACGACTTGCGCGCCGGTGGCGTTGTGCTTCTTGGCGATGGCCTCGACTGTGGGGTGAGTGATGAGCAGGGGCAGGCCGAAGCTGTTGTTGCCGAAGGCCGAGTAGGCGGTAATGTGGATGCCCTTCTCCTTGGCGTAGGGGATGAGGGTGTCGTTCTGGTTCAGGCGTGGGTGGCGCTCGACCTGGTTGACGGACGGCACAACACCAGTGGCCTTGGTGACCTCCTCGAGGTGCTCAATGGTGAAGTTGGAGACACCAATGTTCTTGACCTTGCTCTTAGGGAGCGCGATCAGTGCCTTCCATGTGTCCACCAGGGAGACACCGTTGTCGAGCGCAACCTCGTTCTCCTTCTCCTTGTGCTTAGGGAAAAGCACCTCGCCGATGGCACCCTCCAAGGGGAAGGCAACGGGCCAGTGAATGAGGTAGAGGTCAAGGTAGTCAAGCTGGAGCTCGGCGAGCGTGTCGTCGAGGGCCTTCTCGACGTGCTCGGGGCGGTGGGCGTTGTTCCACAGCTTGGAGGTGATGAAGACCTCCTCACGCTTGATGCCGAACTCCTTGAGGCCCTTGTGCAGGCCCTCGGCGACCTCCTTCTGGTTCTGGTAGATCTTGGCCAGGTCGAGGTGGCGGTAGCCGGCCTTCAGGGCCTCGTAGATACCGGTAGACACCTCACCGGGCTGGGACTGCCACGTGCCATAGCCGAGAGTACTGTGAAGCGGGAAGCACTCGTGTCAGTGAGCTAGAACTCAATGGTAACGGACTCATCTTCCTTCTCCCGAGCCTCTGGATGGAGAGTAGACAGATGTCATTCCCCATGCCGATCAGGGGTTGATCCGAATATGGAGGGGTAGAACTTACGGGATCTCGTCGCCGGACAGAAGCTTGGCCTTGGTACCGAAAGACATGGTGAAGGAATCAGATCTGACGTGTTTTGTTTACTTTCGGTGAGGTGAGGAGGGTAGAGAGACGAGAATCGGTGTAGAATGGGACGAGAATCAGGAGATCAAGAGACGACCCCTCTGTTTGCTTTCGTTCAAGAAGGGAAACAACTTTATAACTCAAGGAGGGGCACGCATGACGGCATAGCCCTGCCCCATTCCTGACCCATATTTCTGCTGCCCCTCCCCCTCATTCTCATCATCAAGGTGCCAGACCCACGGCAGCATTGTCGAATCGCGCCGATGGTGGAGCGCAGAGTCTTCCCTCTTCCAGCTTTTTGTTGCTGAGTCAATTCCCGCATAGGTTGTGATTGGCGAGCGTAACAATTTGGCGACATTAGCGCCAGGAGGACCCTCAGTCGGGCCAGTTCAACCCGAGCTTCTCCAGCATTTCTTCCGTCAAAGCGGATAATTGGTGAAGCTTGGCGGCTCACATGGCGCGGGATGAAACCTCAATGCTATACCAGCAATGGCCTAGTTTGGGCAGAGCAATGGTTGTAGCCAGGACTCGAATATATGAAGCATCACGAATAATTCGTGATCATAACGAAATGGCCGTGCCAAATTTGGAACACATGAATCTTTTCTGTCCCATCATCTCAGCAAGCCGCAAATTTGGGTTCGGCCACCGGAACACAAAATAGTGCCCGGGTGGATACAAATTTATAACCTTGGAAGAGCTTCCACTTCACCTCCGACTACTCCCGCTTCACCCCACTACCCCATGGGCAAGCTCTATATCGCGGGTGTCATCAGGTTGAACCCATTATACTTTTGCAAAATTTAGGCCTGTTGGAAAACCTTCTGGTATGACATTCTATATTCATCAAAGGGTTTCTGCCAGGCAAGGCGGAGCTACCGATAATTGTGCTATATAGACTACCTATGGCGCGCTTCGTAACCATATGGATCGGTGATCGCGTGATGGGTATCCTTAGTCATCGTATATCAGAATGGAAGTGGGTCACTTGCGTCCTCGTTTCTGTTTTCTCTTCTCTAATAATTTCAGTCTGCGTCAATAGCAAGCATTTCAATTGCTTACGCTGACCGTTGTCTTACTAACAGCAGACACAAAACAACACTGCAAATCACCATCTGCGGGCCGAAAATTTCATTGGCTCACCTTGCTCAACATTTTCTTTCCACTTTGCAGTTCAAGACAAAACTCAAGCGAGAAGTAGTACTGTCTGTTTTAGAAGCACAATTTGACTGGGCCAAGGGGGCAGGCTTAGGGGCACGGCTTGTTTGAACAGATTGGCCTATTGATGGCCGCGACCTTGTGTTCTCGGGCAGAGTCAGCCAACTAACCATGGTGCACCCAAAGCGGCCCGTTTCGACACGACCGTCCTGGTGTTTCGGCCGCTTCACTGGGTGCTGCCCCCAAATTGACATCTCGCCCTTTTATGCTTCGCCATGAGACTTAAAATCCGCGCAATATGCGCCGCCTACTTTTTGTTTTGCTTGAGTTGCTTGCTAGTTGCTATCGTCGTGTCCAAGCCGCTTCAGCTCACGTCGCGTATCTTTTCACTCCATTATCCCATTTCTCAGCCCTAGTCGCGCCCGATAAGTGAATCTTGGTGGAAGCTCTAGCAAGTCTGGTATGATGGCGAGAAATAAGAACAGACTGTATATTGCAATTTATCCCAGCGGCAGGGGCGAGAACAGGTGAGTTCGCGTAGAAATCTACATCTGGCGTGACACGACTGTGTGTAGATTCTGCAGATATTGATCCATTGAAGAATGTTGACCGTTTCGTATAGATATCACTGGGCACTGATGATTGGGCCAAAGGCTGAAGATGGTGCAGTCCGTGGTCAACGCCATCATGTCAAGAACCAGATGGTTGGCGGCTGGAGTTATGTATCGAACCAAGTTCGAGATGTTCGGGTCACGGTTCAGCTTCTGGCGCGTGTAACGATCGCGAAGATAGAAGATGAGGCGCGATTGATAGAGATCATACAAAATGTGCCAGTTGATCCAGGTGATTGGCACGGCCGAGACGACGGGAGTGAGCCTGAGTGGGGCTGCCGAATTTGGCTTTTGGCGGCGTTGAGATTTATCAAGGACGATCCGTGCGTCCTCGGCACGAATGTCTTCAGTGAAATGGAGGGACCTGAAGGCATTTTGGAAACAGCAAAGGGTTTTGTTGAGGGTAAAATCGCCTCCGGGCGGTATGATTCACATGCCATGGAGCCCAAGCCGCTCTTGGATCTTATGACGGGAAAGGAGACGTACGCAGATATCAATCTCAAAGCTAAATTATAAGCTCAATTATGACTAGCACTACTTGTAGTAACTAAGGTTTTGCGCATTTTAGTGCCTTAGGACTACCTATTAGCATAGTGATGGACTTTCTCGCGACTAACACAGCACCTCAAGCACGGGAAACCCGCTTTAGCCCTCTTCTTCTCCTGGTACTCGGCGTTGGGGTTGATATCCTTCCATCCAACGTGATATCAACTGGGTTCTCACTAGCCAAATATGCAAGCAGCACATCCGCCTGCAAGTCCAGTGTGATGTAATCAGTAGTCGCCTCAAAGAAATTATCACCTCCGCCAGCAAGATAGTCAAGAGTGGCCACCTGATAAGTACCAGCCAAGTCGATAGGTGTACCCGCAACAGTCACATTCATAAGCCTGCTTCCAACCTGGCCAGCGGGGTCGTACACAATCCTTAGGCTGCTGCTCACCTGCAGGAAGCTTGTCACCGCCCGTCCGTTGGCTTGGTTGACAGCAGAGACAATTCCCTCGAGCACGTCCCAGACTTGCTGCCCGGAGTAGGTAAGCTCCACGATGGCGTTGCCGAACGGGAAGGACGTTAGGACCTCGCCTCTGGTGACGGGGCCGACGTCGATGGACGCGCGGATGCCGCCCGCGTTGATGATGGCAAAGTCGGCCTCGGGCCGGTACGCAGTGATGGCGTCGGCCATGAAGTCGCCGAGCGTGCACTCCTGGGCCTGGCACGTCTCCTGCACAAGCTCGACGGCCGACTCGCCCACGACCTCGTTGGCAAACTCTTGGAACGGCTCCCGCCACGCGTCGATCTGCGCCTGCAGCTCCGGGTCCTGCTTCGTCTGGTTTGTCAGGTGGATTGGCGCGCCGTGATATTCGAGCACGCGCCCGGCCGAGTCATATACCAGGTCAATGTACCCGAGGTACTCGCCCCAGCGATATGCAGTCACGATGAAGACCTCATCTCCATCTGTGTTTTCCGCTATTGTTGGGTAGGACCCCTGACTGCCGGTGAAATTGCCCAATGGGGTATGTGAGTGCCCGCCGATGATGAGAGAGAGGCCGGTTGTTTGCTGTGCGAGCTTGATGTCTTCCGAGTAGCCAATGTGGGTGAGAGCTACGATCCTTCGAATGTAGGTTGTGGCCTTGATCTCATCAATGGCAGCCTGCACGGCGACAATGGGGTCGGTGAAGGTAGTGCCGTTTCCAGGGTTGCTCAGCTGGCTTGTCTCTGGGGTGATGACTCCGATCACTGCCAGGTCATATTCTTCAAAAATAACATACGGCTTAACAGAACTGTTCAGAGTCGGGTTGGTACTTTTGAGATTTGCTGCGAGAATTGGGAAAGTGATGTTATTGATGAAAGCGGCCAGCTCCTCGTCGCCGCCATCAAACTCGTGGTTGCCCAAGGTCATGGCATTGACGCCAAGTTGGTTGAGAGTATCTGCAGTCCTCCAGCCTTTATAGAAGTTGTAAAAAAGTGTGCCTTGGAACTCGTCCCCCGCGTTCAGGAACAAGCTGTTCTCCTTCGACGGCCGGGTTGAATTTAGAATTGTCTTGACACGTGAGTAGCCACCGAAACACCCTCTCTCCGGCCGTGTGCAGTCTGTCCCAGATGAGGAGAATTGGTCGAGATGGGCATGGACATCGTTGATATGGTAAATTGAGATCTCAAAATTACCCGTGTCGCTTCTCCTCTGGTGCAGATCATGGCGACGGCTGACAAGAACATCTTCTGCAAATGCTGCAGGGAGGAGCAACAGCGCGGACAGAAGATTCCTGATTGAAGACATCGTCGCCAGAGCCTTGTGGTGTTGTTCGAAGTAGAGCGGAAGACGCGGAAAGGTTACATTGGCTTTCATGGGATACGCATGGCATTTTAATTTCAATATCCCATTTGTCTCAATTTCTTTACGGTTGAGTCAGATGCAGGGGCCATGTCTAATTGGACTAATGATCGTCCTGCTTGGCAGCTGGGCACGTCGTACACCTTCTGAAAGGGGGACAGTGTCCCGGGATTGTGGGCGAGCTTGATAAAGCACGTGTAGAACTATGCGTGCTGGCAGGTTGATAGGGTTGGCCAAGAGATGTGGTCGTGTGTAAGCGACTTGGCAGACTGTAACGAAAGATAAGTCGTGGCTGCACGCGGCGTCATCGCGACGATATGTGGCTGAAAATTCGAGATGGAGGAATATTCTCGGGTGAGTTGCTTCTTAGGGCCTGTCTTACTCAGTACAAACTATGATCCATCAAGGTCCGGGAGATGGCCAGTGACGCTTAATGGCCGTAATGGACCAAAGCGTAAAACCACGGACCTGACTAAAGGTTTGCGTCTCCACCCTAACCTTATCACATATCCAACGTGAAGTGAGGCAGCGCAAAAATCTGTTTGCCTATTCTAGACTTTATTTAAGCCCAGTGCGGTTAATTTTGCGGTATTGCTACGTTCAAGCTTTGGGGACATATACTGTATGTGTAGAAATGATATTAAAATCACCGCTGGAACAGGCTGGGTTCTCCGGACGAGCCGGATGACACTGCCCACATCACATACACTGGCACTGTTGGAACAACACCGCCACATTCTCAAAAATCGCAACGCGTCGTTGCGAAGACCACTGTAGCTTTTTTACTTTCCCGTGTAGAAGGTTATTCAATAGAAAAGTACTATACAAGAGGTTATCCCAAGGAAGGTTATACCAAGATAGGTTATTCTACAAGAGGTTATTCTATAGCTGGTCATCCCAAAGCTCTGCCCCTCCCCCCCCCCCTTTTTTTTGGCAAAAGCATACGTTGATCCCAGATATACTGTGGCTGTGAATGCTTCTATGTTTCCTGTCGGGCTCGCGGCACATCTTCAAGTGCCAGTCTATGCACTTACTGAGCAGGCTGCTGTGATTATCTCTGGACAAAATGACGATGGTATGTGTGGGTAGGCACAATGCATGAGAGACTGCTTGCTTGAGTCGATGGGACCTTCGAATAACGACATGACGCACTGCTAGACTACGCATTGATGGAATGAGAGGGTCTATGGCGGTTGAGAAACTGTTTTCATTCACAATTTCAGATGCTTTCAAATACGTTCACCCCTGAAATGGTGGCAGCATTTGCCTTTTGCTGACTTACTGCTTATGTATTCCCGCAACCCTTTTCGTAACTCTAGTTATGAACTGTAGCGTGAAGTCCCGGCAGAATCTGCAGGTCCTCAGGCTTGTGCACATACTTGCCATCCTCAGTGATCTTAGCCCCAGGCGTCTTGCGCTGCTGCTGCGTCTGGCGGATCTTGACCCACTCCTCGGTGGTGAGGTGCTTGCCCAGCTCAGTAAACACATTAGAGGTCTTGCCGAGGCGGGCCAGCAGGGGACTGTCCTGCAGAGGGTCCAGGACGATGTGGTTGTTGGGTCGGGCAAAGTACAGGACACCGAGGCGGTCAATCTGGGCCTGGTCCTGTGGCGGCGCATGCACGCGGTGGATGGACGACTTGATCAGCCCGCCCGTCAGCGCCGTCAGCGCGTCGCATGTGTTGATAGTAATGGTTCCGTCCACCGGCTTCACCCACTTCCACTGGCCCTCGTTGTTGAGGATCTGGAGGCCGCAAACGGGCTGGCGGAAAAGCAGCGTGATGCTGCCGAGGTCGGTGTGCCCTGGCGAGTAGAGCTCACCGACTTTCTTATTATCCTCCTGCGAGCGGGCAGCATAGTGCATGTACCGCAGGTGGTCTTCCCCCTTAACATCGTACTGATGCTCTCGGACTAGCTGGTACTCATCGGGTAACTCGAGGAAGAGTGCGAAGAGTCTCAGCAGCTTCACGACGACCTCCTCGTGACATTTCTAAATAGAATTAGAGGAAATTTATGACCTTGCTCATTGAGGCGCCTCAGGACCTACCCGGGAAAATGCCTCGATCTCTTTAATGTTGTCCTCGAGAACCGGGGGCTGTTGCCGCTTGTGAAATCCGTCAAACTTTGGAATATTGTAGACTTGGACATTGTCCTTAATTCCATTGCCAAGGCTGATGACAAATTATTAGCAAAATTTATAGTCAGTGACCTGCAGCTCTTACATTCTGTGACCGGCAGGGCGGTACCCATTGTATTCGCCTCGGACGAGGTCATCACTGTTGTGAAACTTCAACTTCTCCTCCAGTGGAAGATTGTAGAACTCTCTGCCAAGAGCAAATTGCCTGTCTACCTCTTCTTGACTGATGTTGAAGTTCTTCACGTAGAAGAAGCCTGGGGAGATCTTAGTCGTGGGGACTCATTTGGCTGTAAACGCAGTGATACAGGGACACTTACCGACTTTGGTGATAGCATACTCAAGCTCCTTAACAAGCTCCTCCTTGCCGCCAGGCGTATCGAACTTGCTTAGGTCAATGGTCACCAGTTCAGCCCAGTCCACTGTTCAGGTCAGAATTGCAAAGCGATGAATGGTATCCCTTGACTTGTTGCTTACAATCTTCCTTGGTCACGGGAACCTGCTCGTATCTCTCGATGATTCTTCCTGGCATCTTGTATATTCAACCTGACAATTGATCTGATACTTGTTTTTGAGTTTAGGCCAATATGAAAATGTTCAAAGAACGCAAAGGTATGAAAGTCGATATGTTTGCAGAGAGACGTCAGCTTCAAAGCAGCATGGAAAAGACCAGGATACATCCAGAGTTGCCGCCGCGACAACGACATCGGACATTTAATGCGAGTCCACCTGTATATGAAGCACGCCATATGAGCTTATCACCAGCCTCTTACAAATACAATCCCATTCAAAACATGGCTGGTCCCATCCGAAAGCATCCACCTGCTGTCTAACCCGCATCGACCACCAATGACAGCTGCAACAAATCCATATCAGTGTCCGTTGATCACAAGCTGCATATGTAACAGGCTCGATTAGAAGTCCCTCCCGCGGGGTTTCCTCACACACGTCGTCCTCCACAGCCGGACAATGTGAGGAAGTGCGGAGATGTGAGCACGCAATAGCTTCGTGGAGCACACCATCTTCGGGAATGTGGGATCCTAACCCCAAACCACAGTATTGGTGAGTATTCCCGTGCAGAGAATCAGTCTCGCAACGGCTTTAGCATCTCGGAAGTCGTGAGGGTTCTTTCGGATATCGCCTTGCTCGTGGAGTGCCGGGGCAGGACTCAGATGCCGTTCAGCCTCAACTTGGACGAATGGGCAAAACCTCGGCAGCACGCCATTCGAGCCCTGCCAAGCACCACTTTAGCTGCAGATTTACTGTGACCATGGATATGAATTATGGGTTCTTGCTCTCTTCTTGAGCTATATCGGATGAACCTATAGCCCCCGGAAACAGGTGCTATCGCCCTGATGAAGCTGACCCTCGGCCGCAACACGGTCTGTATCTATGGTGGAAGGGTGTGGGCCGATCACGCCTGAACTTGGGGGCTCCATAGCTTGAGGATGAAATTTTGGTGCCTTTAATTTCGATAGAGGATATGAAGTGTTTGGACTCCTGTTGTCATGGCATTGTCTGAGATCGTCAGCCTGCCTAGTATCGTCCTACGTTCGTAGACAATGTCGACCTCAGCGGAGGCGAAAGCCGGCGGCCGACAGCGGTCGAGGTTATCGTTGATTGGTGTTTTCAAAGAAGTCTTCAATTGGTACCCATCTGAGTACCCAGTGGCAGAGAGAAAGTGAGTTTCACATATTATTCTGAGAACACAAGACCTCATCAGGACCACATACTCAAAATCGAACAGACTATTACTGAAGCTCGACATCTCTATCCTCGTATTTGCATGCTTATGCTGTGAGTTTTCGATGCCTGACCCCTCCCCCATCCAGAAAACACAGTGTACTGATTATAAAATTCTCAGTCTTCGTCAAATACCTTGGTAACCTCTGAGCGATCACCTACACAGCTGGACCAAAGCTAACACACAAAGACCAAACCAACATCAGCAATGCCTACGTCAGCGGGCTCAAGGAAGACTTCAGTCTCAACGGCAACGAGCTGAACTACTTCAACGTCTGCTACACAACAGCATACGTGGTCTTCCAGGTTCCCGGGATGCTGTTAATGTCGCGTCCGAAACTATCCAGGTGGCTGCTCCCGACGCTCGAGATCCTCTGGGGCGTAGTAACCTTTGCTCAGAGCCGCGTCACCAACGTGCACCAGCTGTACGCGCTGCGGTTCCTGGTCGGCATGCTCGAGGCGCCCGTCTTCGCCGGCACGCACTTCATCCTCGGGTCATGGTACAGCGGACCGGAGCTGTTCCGCCGCGCAGGCACGTGGTTCATCTGCAACCCGCTCGGGTCCATGATCAGCGGGTACCTGCAGGCGGCAGCGTATAAGAACCTATCCGGAGTCGGGGGTTTGACTGGATGGCGATGGTTGTTTATAATCGACGGAATATTCACCATCCCCGTCGCGCTGCTGGGCTATATTGTCTTCCCTGGGGTTCCGGACTCGCCGCGGCCGTTCTACCTCACTGAGGACGACACCAATCTGGCCAAGAGCCGTCTGGAGAAATTCCGCATTCGAAGGCCCGGGAAGCTTAATCTGGACGTGTTCAAGCGGACACTGAGCCGGTGGCATATCTGGGTGTTTGTGTTCTGCTATATGTGAGAAGACCCGTTTCGGTCATTCCGACCTCGTAACAGTGGGCAGTACACTGACCTGAAATACCCAGCTGCATGATCATATCATCCTACCCCTCGCAGTACATGAATTTGTGGCTCAAGGTCGAGGGCTACAGCACGGTGCAGGTCAACGAGCTGCCCACGGTGACGTACGCCATCACTGCTGTCGCGTCCTGGCTGGGGGCGACGTTAGCGGCTATCTACCCTTCCTGGGCCATCTACAGCATCGAAACCACCTGCGTCCTCTTCTCGACTATCTGTATGATCATCTGGAATATTCCCAAACCCTTGAAGTATGTCCTTCTCGCTCGCGCACGATCGTCTGTCCAACACTGACTCGTTTGAAAAAGATTCTTTGCTTGGTACCTTTTCGGCGTGTCTGGCTGTGCCAGTCCAATCCTGTACTCCACTGTGAACTCGGTCGTTAGGGACGATTCTGAGGAGCGAGCTATAATCATGGTTAGTTCTTTTCTCGAGACCGACAGCAGAGCCGTCGTTCTGGCATTGTGATGGCTGACAATACATCCGTAGGGATCTATGATGACCTTCGGATACTCGTTCCAGATTTGGGTTCCTCTGCTCATCTTCCCTACCGCGGGGCCCTACGGTGCACCAAGATGGCAGCACGGCTGGCCTGTGACATTTGTGTTTTACTTCCTGTTGTGGGCTGGTTTCATCACGGCCTTGCTTTTGCACAGACGAGGGTAAGTTATAAAACTGGGTCAAACTTATGACACGTAATACTGATCTAGCGAATAGTGAGAAGAAGCGTCAGCAGAGGGACTTGGCCACTGCCCTAAGCGGTGCAGACGATACGAGCAGGGAGATTGTTGCTGTTGAAACACCTGTGAACGATAAAGCCAACGGCTAGCTGGTCTTGCTGAGGCACGATGAGAGAGGATGCAAGACTCTCGATCCTCGAGTCGAGAGAGTTTACCAAATAGCCAGTAACAGCTTTAGTGTCAGAAGTAGTAGTATATTCGAATGTCGCGCGCTGGGTGCTTCCTATAAAAGTTTCAACAGCGGCGGACAAGGCTGAAACCGCGAGTAGAGTGTTCGGGGCCGACACCACTAAAGAGGCGATCCGGATTTTCTGAAGCAGGTGCCTTATTACCGACTTCTGGGCAATGTAAATTGGAAGTGTCCCTGAAAATATGACTGCCCAAATGCCGCTTGCATGTCTACAGTACCTGGTCAACTTCTTGAATTCTCATGCACATGGGTCATAGAGAGACCCAGCTTCATATATATATATAGTTCGAATTGAATTCGTCCTACAGAGAGGCAAAGGCCAATGGCCATCACTACCACAAGGCATTTGAGCACTAGCGCCTTGATCCAAGTCGTGGATCTCCATTTTTATTACGACTCCTGCACAAACACCAAGACCTTGAGGTAGGCAGACTGCTCTTCTCCTCGTTGTCCTTCTGCCAAAGAGGTCCATGTCCACATTACCATCAGAAGTTCAACTAGCCATGACTATGGCCCCTGGAACACCCTGTAGACTAGTTCCTTTGTGGGCTTAACACTTGAGTTGACTCGCCGCTGCCATCATCGAACCGACGGAACATTTCGTCGCAAGGTTTTGTGATATAGCTATGCTATTCATGTCATGACCACATCGCTTGGCCTTGAGGCGCACGCCTGTGGCTGGGTTCGATTCCACTTGTCGCTCCAATGAGGTGTATCAAACGAGAACATGATCACAGCATTGCCTTTCAAACTTCTCCCGCAGACCCTAAGTCGACGGCCTGGGCGCAGGCGGATCGCTCAATAATTCCTTAAACGTGGCCCGACCCGCAGATGCCTCGGTGCTCCAGTCCCTATCAACAGCTGACCTGATCCTCTGCTCCAATTGCAGCATCGTGGGCCGGTCACCAGGTCTATGAGCCATGCACCAGGAAACTGTATCCATGAGAAGCGGGTCATAGCGTGCCAAGTTTATGTTTGACTGGAGAGGGACACTATAAGTCGGCATATCCTTTTTGCTACCGTCGCCTACCGTCACACTTGCCGTCACACAGTCTGGAGGAACTATGGGCAGGTCTTGGGTAAGCTATAAGAATGGATCAGCAACATCAACTTTGTGATCAAGCAACGAGACAGTCCTTCTTCATGAATCCTATGCTGCCACATGAAAGCTTTTTTCCTACTTCCTTCTCTTTTATAGCCCCTTTCTTGTCAGGGGCACTATCTAGCGCCCACAAGCCAAGGTAAAGGTTTTAAAGAGCTGGGAGAAGACAGTATCAAGAGATACTCACAATTATGGTCATCAACCGTCCAATCTGCCATACTTTGGTATCCAGTGTTAGCTATCGGAATGAGCATTTTGGGGGCATTTACAGAGGCAAATTTGACTGTGCTCACAATTTGTCCACCAGTCATACTTTCCAGCCGTGTCATCCTGGGCCAACGTCGCAGCATCCGACACACCTTCCCAGGCAACTGTGAACTGTTCTGGAGTATTGCACTTTCGAAAATTCAGCAACCAGGTGCTCGATCAGTCGATTGGACGTACCATACCCATGGATTCCCAGCCACTCGCCAAGCGGCCGGCGACAATAAACCCTCACGGTGCCGCGGCTCTCTGAAAGCGCCAACGTTTCCCAGATCGCCAATCTTAAATATTGGCACTACATCGTGCGGGTGCTCTCCTGGGGCAAGAACCGACTCGTCTTCGCCGATCATAACATTGCGGTCATTTATATCGAAGTCTATTAGACCAAGGTCTGTCCTGACAGGTTGGCCTCCTTGCATGGGTATGAACTCTTCCTGTGTTTTGACGACTTCTTTTGCAGGGTCAAGACCCTTGTCCCATCGACCCGGGTACGCCAGAGCAACACATGCTCTAAAGAGACAGTAAAATATCCTCCACATTTCTGAGTCCTTTAGTAAAACGTTACGCTCGGATATCCTAATAGCAAGCCTCTGTGTGCAGGTATCGGTTGTGTTAGCATAAAGTAATTCAAATTTCAACGAAGTGGCTGTGATTGAAAGTGGCCAGGTTGTCCTTCCTTCTATTTCAAAGGTGCGGTGCATGGTATTAAGGTCGTGTAGAATCGGGAGGCCTTCAGCATTTAGGAGCCTCCGTATTTGCAGTGTCCTCTATGCAATTACAGAGTCTTGAAAGTTGTCGTCACAAGGAAATCGGGGCAACATTACATTAAAACTGCCATGCTCCATGAATTCCATTGCATAGATCATTAAAGGGGGTCCGCCCAATAGTTGAGATATAAAATCGTCGTCGACTACTTCCTGCGCCAGGCATCGATTTATGATGTCTTCTGGTATTAAAGAATCTATGTCGTAGTCGGGAAGGCCTGTCGGATATTGTCGCTGAATGAGCCAGAGTCAGCATCAAGAGCAGTCTGGAAAAACTCTCCGACTAGAGCCCTTCAAAGGAATCCCTTTGCGCATAAAATAATCGATGAGTTTCCAAATTGGGTAGGTGATCAGGAAGACATTCAAAACAAATATAGCATCGAAAGGACAGCTGCATGATTGGATTATCGAGAGCCTCACTAGAATCTCACCTGAACAATATGCCGTGCTCCTACCATTTGCCTCATACACCACATCTCAATCATTGTCGACCATATTTCGCCGCTCCATTTGAAAACAATCTTACGCGGCGGCTGGTCGGCTGTGGACTCTGTGGACTCAAACAACACGGCTAGACCCTGCGACCCAGCCCCAAGGATCTTGACCATTCTGAGCCCCAGACCCTCAATATGGCTTCTTAACACAGGTTCTACTGTGCGCCCTGCGCCATCGTCTCGCCTCCTGACCTGTCTGAAGGGTCTATATCGACGGTCCGGAATCGTAGTATTCGAATCTCTTAGAGCAGGATCTTCCACGCGAGAGGGCCGATACGGGATAGGGAATCCAGTGTATTCCAGCTCGCGCTCAGCATCGATCCATTGGATATTGCGCCTCCAGTGATCGAAGTAGTCTATACTACGTTGCAGAAGATATCTTGTGTGGGCTTCTACCCTTCTTGTGTTTAGTTCCATCTCGAATCCTGGAGGGATACCACGTTGCGAAGGCGAAGGCTACTTTTGGATGGAGACAAGCAATAAACTCTACGCGCTTGCGAAGAGAGATTTGAGGTTCCGATGAGTATTCTCCGGTTGAAGCGAGATTGAAACACAAAGAAACTATGCAAGAATTGAAGACAAGATCATACTATCTAAATTTGTTACGACAAAGAGCAGAAACCCGCACCACAGTCTGATTGTATATGGGAGTTTTTCCGTTTGCGGATACCGTGAATGGGCCTTCGCGACAGCGTTTTATCCACCGATCACAGCTGAAGAGAGTATGTACAGGACCCAACACAAATTTGAAGACGATGCGCGACAGTCATACTCAAGATGAAATACGTGCAAATTTGTGCACAAGCGCTGGCCGTATTACCCAGACGACACTCATCAAGCTCGCGTCTTGGGGTATCAACCCAGCCTTTGCTTCATCCCCTCAAAATACCTGCCCATCTCCTCCATAATGGTATCAGGATCCTTTTCAACCTCGTCCCATGCATTATCCACAAGCTTGCGCACAGACTCGTGCCTGCAGGTGATACTAACAGGGAACGGATTGGGCCTCACAATGAAATAGTCCGATATATCCATAGTGTCCACCGCGATCTCGCCGCCGGCCTCGTCCAGGTGCCTCCTGAAATCAAACGCCCACAGCAGCCGCGACACCATGCAGAACAGGGCACCACGCGCAATCTGCTCGCCTAAACATACGCGCCGGCCATAGCCAAACACTACGGGCTCAGGGAGGCTTGGATCCTCGAGCCAGCGTTCTGGGTGGAAGATCTGCGGGTCTTTGTACACGGTCTCATCCATGTGAATGGACCAGTTACAAGGAATTATGATGGACTCCTTTGGAATACGGTAGCCCTCGTAGACGTCCTCGCGCAGATTAGCGTGCGGTACGCCGGCGATGATAATGGGGCGCCACCGCATCACCTCCTGGATGACGGCGCACACGTAGGGGAGGTCTCCCTCATCCTCGGATGAAGGCAGGCGCGCACGACCGACAACGCGGTCCAACTCCGCCTGCGCAATACGAATCTTTTCCGGGTTCGCGAGTGCCGCCATAACAACCATCTCGAGCGTCTGCGTCGTCGTATCCAGCGCCGCCAGGTTGAGGATCGCAGAGTCGTACGCCAGCGACTCCGGATTGAGTTTCTGGCCCTCCTTGCTGCCCGTCAGTGCCTTGGTCCAATTCCACACGCGGCTGTTGCGACCCCTGAGGTTGCTTTCCAGGTGGTGCGCCCGCTCGAACTGGTACCATTCTTCGGCGGTTCGCTTCCACGGCGCGAGCCATGAGGGGAGGTAATTCAGAGCAGGGAAAATGTCGCAGGGCCACACGCCGGGCTTCATGGCGCGCACGAAGCGATCCTCGATGATATGCCCGTTCTTCAATATGGGCTCCTCTCCTGTCTCGATACGGAAGCCGTAGGTGAGCATATAAGACATGGAGGCCGTAAAGCGGTGAAGAGCCATTACGATGGCACAGTACCCATCGAAGATCGGTCGTTCGTCATGAACGTGCCTTACATATGCACGGGCGGCTCGCCGTGCGTCCTGGCTGCCCTCGACAAAGCTAAGCAACTGGCGCAGTGAGGCGAGACTCTCCATGTATACGAGAGGCGTGACGGTGCGGCTGGCGTTGCGCGTGAAGAGCTGGCCTAGGTTGCGCCTGTGCGCGCGGTACTTCTCATCATATGGCCTTATGAGCATGTGGTCGCCCTTGTATAGTAGCTCCGAGGCCATGGGCATGCGCGGGCGGTGCGAATAGTTGGCGCTGCGCTTGTTCAAGAGCTCATGGGCAGTCGCATGGTCGCCGAGCACGATTATAGTATCCTTACCCGCGATGAGGCGGAATATGGGACCATACTGCTGCCTCCAAGCGTGGAACTGCCTGAATGAATGTGTCTTCGGCATTGACAGGAGGTTTCCTAGAATGGGGAGGGCAGGAGGGCCTGGCGGGAGGGGAAGGCGGGTGAGACGAAGTTGTAGTGCTCGGCAGAACATCGCCAGAACAGCTAACAGGAGGAGAATCCAGCGGAGCTCCATGATGACGGTGCTGTCTTGTAGAGTCGAATGTGGAAGACCTGTGGGAAAACCGAGAGGGCAGAGTTGTAATGCCTCAGGAGATGAACTTTGTCTCGTCACTAGTAGCGAAATTCTTCTCAGAAGATTCAGTTCCTGGTTCTAGCTCGGAAGGCTTATGACTTCCAAACAATGGTAGACGTAAGATATCTATTGTATCGAGTTTGCCTTGTTGAGAGGGGAACTTGATCTGCCTTGTATTTGTATTCAATTGTGAATTGTTTGAAATTATGTTGTTTGTACTCCAAATGTTTGGTATATTCTCTCACATAAAGGCAACTGGATGTCGAAGAGATGACTATTCTACTGGCCCTCTCGCACCGACGAGGTTCTGAGGTTACTTAAATCCCCTTGGAATAACTCTCCCAACGGCAGTTGCGTTGTCAACCCGCGACAGTCACGGCACATTCACTCGCAAAGGAAGTCTGAGTTTGCCCGGGGGGGGGGGGGGGTTGGAAGGCCCCCTCGCATACCACCGAGTAGTTGCATACAGGTTTCCGCATACAGGCAGGTATCACAGTGGTATAATTCGATATCAGGCCATTCGCGGCAAGCACTTTATCATAATAGGTGAAGACCGTGTGGAGCTTTCCAGTCGTTGCATGGCCAGGACGATGCCTGGAGGGTGATTGGGTGAGGATGTCTGCGGGCACTGCATGCCTGGTTCCCAATAGCCCACGCGTAAGCAATGCTGGATCTGCACAGAAGTGATAACCAGAATGACTAGTCATTCCCACCCACCGGCTTACAGGAGGTAGTTTAAGATTTGATCGTCGATTGCTGACAGCCCCACAATGATGTCCAATGCATGAACCCGTGTCTCTTGCATTATCTGGCTTGGCTGCTGCGAGAAGTATCACTTGATTCCCTGAAAATTTTCTGATCAACTTTGAACGACACGGTGAAAAGTGACGAGCTTGGACAGTAAATGTAAACATTTGGAGAACACATGGACGTTGGATCAGAATGGCTTCCACGATCCAATGGCCTGACAAATGCGTCTCCCCTGGTGTTATCAATGACGAAATACCTGCGTCCTGCAGTCATCAAGTCATACACAAGTGCGAGCCTCAGATTGGAGATAATGACACACGATGCCACATCGGCCGAGCGAAGAGATGATGTGAGTGGTTCGGATTCTAATGTTCGGAAAAATTCTATTATATGCTTCAGTGGCAAAACAAATGCTCGCTCTAATAATGATGACCGGAAAGACGATGACCTCAAACCCAGTACATATTTACACCATGCCACTACCACCCACTTATATACCCATCTTCCAACCAATAATCATCACATTTCTCCTGTTCAGGACGATCTTCCTCAACCCTGTGCATTGAAACTATGCACACCAACACCGCCGCACCAGAACCGTGGTACCCTGGTGAATAATATCGTGAAAACCCATCGAATACACGCGAGTCTCCTCGTCCGGGTTCTTCTGAACAAACTCAGACCGCGCATTCTCGACGAGCCTGACAAAATCCGTCATGTGATGAGGCTCTACGCTTAGTAGAAGTTCGCGCCCCGGCTTCCCATGCAGTTGTGTGGCATCCGGTGACTCGTCGGTCGTCAGCGGGGAAGTGCTGCACTCTGCGCCCGTCGGCGGCGGAAGGAGCTCGTGCCGCGAGAATGTAACCCTGTCTGACCTGCGGTTGAACCAGCCGGTCCTGGAAATTTGGGGATTCCTTGAGTCGGCTTTCTCCTCCCAGCAGCCGCCTTCGGTGCAACTCCTGGTGTAGATGGCGCACGTGAAGGTTATTTGGGTGTGGTTCTCGAGGAAATGGTCGCGCATCTCCCCACAGACGTGGGCCAAAACTGGTGTTGCTCGCGGGAGGGAGGTGGTGCCTTCAGGGACGTGAAGGACATTGTTGGCCTCGACTTCGAAATGGTAGTCTTGCTCTGATTGGTCGAGAGTGAAGTCATAGATGATGCGGCGGATCTCGAGAGGGAAGCGAGCAAGAGATCCCAGTGGTGATGCAGAGCCAGTCGCCATGGTGTATGACTTTGATGGATATGACGCGAACTGAGTAGATGATCCGGGTTGTGGTGGGTTTTGATTACTTCTTTGACTAGTGAAGTATTGTTGGTATTCAGGGCACTGAAGGTGATGATGGAAGTGGCCTATCTGGATGTGTTGCAAACAAGAGGATGGCTCTCAAGATATAGGCGGACCGAAGTCGGGCTTCCCGGTGTCTTCGGAACCCTCGAAATGTGCGGTCGCTGCTTCTGCAAATACCAAACAAACGGCACGCCCGACGCTCGGATGAAACATTATATAGGCTCTGCGATCAAGCAAACGGCAACCCCTGCTGGTGGGCGATATGGCGGGGAAGACCGGATGAAACATCTTTGACAGGTTCGCCACATAATTGCCGCCACAGCCACTCACCCATGCGCTTACCTTGCCCTTCACCGGTGAGTACCAGAGTGTTTCGTCTAAGATTAGAAAGGCGGTGGATGAGGGCTCGCGAAGTGTAAGATGGGCACCAAAAGACCGCACGGCCAGCCTCCGAAGTGTCAACCCTATGTTCTCAACGTTCGGTACTGGCCAAGTGCAGTCTGTGCGAGAGTCCAGACGGTTGAGAAAGAAGATGGCATCCCAGCTAGAGGTTTCCAATGCAAATCTTCCTGCGGTCCTCCTTCACGACTCTGGCCTCCTTAGCATCCAAGATTATCTCCCATGTTCCACTCGATGCTGAAATCCTCGATTCATCATCCGTATGCTCCTCCATAGTCAGAGAGACGAAAACATGATCCAGCAAACCCAGCCAGCTCACACCGTGAAAATTATCCCATGAGAAATTATTCTATGGTTGTTCCATAGTAGATTATCCCACAGGACGCTATTTCATAGGATATAACCCCATATAAGGCTATGGACAGAAGAGTGCACTAGTCGAGTGTTGTCCGAATATCTCATGGACTTGTCGTGTCTTTGGCTGAGCAGTGATCCTGAAGTCCGGTCCATGAATTAGGCTGAAAAATTCGTAAAACTAACATCTTCGGGGGAAAGTGAATGACACATACACTGTGGACTCATCTGACAAGCTATCGTCTTTGAACATTGCCTTCTGACGCATGCATAATTGGAGACACAGACATAATCTTTGCTTTGTCATGCCATGAATCACTGCAACTTTAGGTTCATATAGGCTCTGGCCTGATCTCACCGCCACCGTTTCGAAGCTGGTGTATAATGTATCGGAGTCAATGTCAAAGATCATTCAGCGCGTGATACACGAGACAAAGATCATGGCCGGTGGCATCACTTGTCCTTAAATTATAGACTATTGAAGAGGCTGGCTAACACCCGACTCTAATCCGATACCTTCACAGACCCTTCCTTTATTATACCAGGTCAACTTGGACTCCAAGATTTCTGCAGTAACCCACCGGGCTGTCTGTGTGTGAGTACTGTCCGTCTCAGGGTCGCCAAATGGCTTGCCAGTTTTGTCCTTTCTCAGTCGGCCACCAATTTGCAGCCTGTCAAGGTCTTCCTCAAGAGCAGTCTCCTCATTTGCCCGTAGCCCATCGCCTTCTTGACTCTCGGACTTGCTCCTCGGGAAAGTCGTCCGACCTTCGGCCAATGCCTGGAAGATCACGAGCTGGTCTTGCAGGAACTCATCCACGACACCTCCCGCGCTGATCTCCTCAGCGAGCGAATTTGTGACGGCTTTTGCCACTTCATCGCTGAGCTTTGCGGTCGTCTTCCCCTTGCGCTTCCCGTTGTAAAGAAGATCCCGACCCCAACGCAGATCTACTGATCTCGCCACCAAGAGGACATACATGCGTGTTTCGTGCTTGCTCTCCTCGGGCGCCCGGAAATTGTACATGGCCCCGGGGAAGTGCTTCTCGAGGTTCTCACGAAGAGCGTCCTCGAGTTCCGCGTGCATGTTGCTCGGTGAGATGATCGTTACATCAACAGATTTGATGTCAAAATTTTCGGGCCTTGTTTCAAGCTCGAGATTCTCTTTCATTCTCAGCGGTGCCCCGAAGGAGACTGGATGGAATCTGAATCGCAGCGACCCCCTCGAGGCCGGGCCCAAGCTCCATCCCCTCCTCTCGAGCCTTCTCTCCGCACAAACGCCGAACCACTCCTCGAGAGTCGGCAGGAGCACCTGGTCCAGGTACTCGTAGCTGAGCGAGAACGACACATTCGTGCCCCCTGAGATGGTCAACTCGATAGGCTCATTGCTCTCGTTCCCAGCGAACAGAAGGAAGGGGAACACGGCCTGAAATACCAGCAGAGCGCTGGCGGCGGCCGACTCGGCGCGAATCACTATGTTCCTCTCCCGCAGCTCACCGGGACCGCGCGTCGGTCGGAACTCCAGCGTCTTGCTGCCTACCTCGAGGCCTGCTACGTCGGCGCCGGTGGCTTTTGCGAGCCAGGCGATGGATGTGAAGTGCTGGGACTTGAGACCTGGAAAGCGAGCTTGTCAGGATTCAGGTGAACGACGATTCTCAGGAAGGCTTAGGATCGTGTGCATATATGTTACCTCCGCCTCGTGGGCCCGGACGGTTGCCCCTTATGTTTGTGATCTTGACTGGCTTGCCTGCAACGGAGGCGAGCGCGATTGCGATTCTAACAAGTTGGCCGCCACCTTCTCCAGTGCGGCCGTCGAGATGGATGATGTCGCCTTCGGCCATGTCCATATGTCGATATTGAGTGGTGGCTGGTTTTGACAGGGCTCCGAGATGCTGCTGCTGCTGATGTCTTGCTGGGATTCACTGGGGCTCGCTCATGAGATTCATCAAATGTCTTCCGGATTGAGACTAGACAGATAATGATTCGTACCATAAACCTTTTATGTCTTCTGGAGGGGGATTGAATTGTGTGGAGGGAGGTCCATCTTACAAGAGGTGCATTGAGGCTAAGCCGCCAGGCAAGCTGAGTCACCCGGCGACAGGTCTGCAGCCAAACATTGAAACGGCACTGCCCCCATTCCTTCGCTTGCTTCGAATCCACCAGGTGGGTTGGCCGGCCTCGGTTTGCTTGTGGACCCAAGCTTAGGCTCGGTTGGCCGCTTCGCGGTCACAGGATCTATACCACGAGAAGAACAATAAAGAGGGCGGGTTACAAAAGAATTAAGGCTATCTCTGATACGATGACCAGCTATAGGATAACCTCTTATGGGATAACCTCCCTTGGCACAACCTCTTTTGGGATGATATCTTTCGGGTTAACCACATTTAGGATACCCTCCTTGCGGAAAGCCTCTTTTGGGATACCCTTCTTTGGTATAACCTCTGTTGGGACAATCTCCTGTGCAGTGTTCCCTGTTGTATTACCCTCTATATAGGAAAGTAAAAAGGTCACATGCTGTTCCGGAATGATGTTTCTATTCTTTTCATTTCTTGTGTAGCGCTGTTGTTCTAATAGTGTATTATCCTGGCCTACGAACAATCGTGCCTTACTTCTAGCCCCTCAGGCTCTGTGTCCTGAATTGTCTGCCCCAAATGAGCCAGGCGTCCAGTGTGAAGACATCGCGCATAGACCGAGCGGATGGACAAAGTTCAATGTGATTTTGAAATCAAAGGGGTGCCCAGGAAAGCAAGTACTTTCAACGAAGTATCTGGATGCACCAGCATTAATTGTAATCCTACTTCTCGCGGCTCCCTCCCCGATCTTCATTCAGTGCAGTATATCACGGTCGAGAGTGCCATCTAGATTGACAATGACCTTATACTCCATCGCTATCTTGAAGAATCACAGGCTTCGACTTATAGACATCGGCGTGTTTCAGACCTGAAGCAAATCTCATGATAGAAGGATAAATAATTTCTCATTGATTGAATGTCAGTTGCGTAGACATGGCCATGCGCGCTGAGACTACGCTAGGATCACTTTCCAAGCCTTCCCGACCTTTTCGAGCATCTTTGGAGCTTGTTGCACATCTCATCAAATTCTTAGCCAGTACTTCTATACGTCGGTAGCGATTAGTATCAGAAAGCCGATGCAAGACAAGAGCTCCTGCATTCCTGCTCTGTTTTTGTTCCAATGAGCGCGAGGACAGCATCTTCATAAGCCTCAATATCCCATTCTCTCCAAGTCTGTAAGTCAAGCTTCTTGCCTTGGCGCACATATAATTAGAGCCTCTAGAGATTATAATGTAGAGGATTGAGGCCAGTCTCCGGCTGCATTAGAGAGTTGTTGCCTGGAGAATAAATCGTGACCTGGGGAGAATCTCCAGAAGGATCTTGATCGACGCAACGGTCGAGAACCTGGAGTCTCGGACTTGTGATATCCTCCGAAGCGTACATCACAGTGGTCTTCTCCAGGTTTATTTCATAGATCAAGTTGCCACAGGGCCAATGAGCAATGCATTGTTGTGAGGCTAAAGGCCAATGGAAGTGCAACATATTAACTATTCCGTTCTGCGTCTCAGGTACATATTTCAGTTTGCGTGTTAACCTTGGGGACAAGTGCGGGTGTGCAACTTGAGAATGTAATAATTCTAATACAGATCAATTGTTCTAGGTAGGTGATCTCAAACTCCTAGTATATGACACTACTTTGTTGAGTCCCTTAATTCGACAAATTACTTAGTTGGCTTGATCAGAGCATATATACTCATATATAGAACAGACATAAGGAATCTGGGCACATCAATTCCAAAAGCCGTGAGTTGGATCCCTCAATGGTCTCTAAGTCCATTAACCTTTTGCAAAGTGCTAAGAAATGTATATCGTCCTTTCACACGCATTTTGGGCAATGGATTAAACGACAGTGTTCACCAGGGCATGGCGTCCTGTGATTTCTTTTCACCACGCCCAGAATACCATGGCTATGACTTGAATGGTAGGAGACCCAGAAAGAGAAGTAAGTCTATACAAGGCCATAAATAAGTGCAGTGTATAAGCTTTAAAACATGAACATGGGACACTCTACTTCTCTCACAGCTTAAGGAAACAATCCGTTGATCCAGAGAGATAGAAGCATGCGCACCACGCAGGTGACCACCCGAATTCGTTGATGAACTCAGATGCTGTGGCAACGATGAGCCTGATCATTTCGAGCCGCTTGTGTCACGCTTCAAATGCATCATTGTAGAGAGTCCCATAAGGACCTGACAATACACAGCATCAGCCTCGTCTTCCTCACGATGTTCACATGCCAAATAGGACCCGTCCCTTCAGCCTCGCCGCCCCAGTCAAAAGCCCGGAACAACCCGGGCCAGCACCAGTGCCAACACCAGCCCCGACAGCACCGCACTGATCGCTTCCGAACAAAGAAAAGGCGGCGCAGATACACTGTTTGCGTCGCGGGCGTGCCCCTATCCCCGCCCAGACCGACAGCAAGCTAGCGCGGCGCATCAAATATGCCAGATGGGGAGCGGACCCTCTTGGCAGGGCACCGTCATCTCCTCGACTGGAATGGGCCAGGGGAGAAGCTCAGACTCGCCTCAGAAGGGAAAATGAGAACCAAATTCGTTGTCCCCCAGCGCCATTCCCGAGCGCCATTCCCGGCGCCTGCCGTCGACGGTCCGCACCCAGGTGTGAGCCGCGCTGGGGGCCAGGCGTCTCTCAGACACCACCATTCCATTCCCCGTGAGTGAGACTTTTCGGGTGAAGCGCACATGGAGAAACAAGGTGTGGCCCATTCGCATATTCCAATAGCGCTCTTCATCGAGAACGGTCGCCGATGGGAAAGCTCAAGCGGGAGGGGTGGTGGAGTGTCGTCTCCGACCGCTTCCTTTCAGACCTGTCCATTCCTCGAGTATCCCACACTCATTTCCCATCAATAATGTGCCCTTGAGGGAAACCTCCGTTTCCAAGGCACACACACTCACACATGCCCACCCATAGATCACATCGCTTACCACCCCTTGCAGGTTGATAATGCCAGCCGGCAGGCAAAAACCCAGCCTGAGACCCGTTGCTTTCGCATTCCAAAAGCAACTCCAGACGAGCAAGCCGGGGAGACGGCAAAAGCCGTTATGAATGTTTGTCTCGCGTTGCTTTTTCTCCCCTCCCCTTTCTACCCACCATCTTCTCGCCCTGGTTTTCTGCCCAAACCTTTTGGTCCCAGACCCCCCTCCTCTCCTTTCCTTTTTCGTCCGGACGGGACGATCAGCTTGCTAGCAAGGCTGGGTGGGTACTTGGGCCCCTGCCCTCAGATCTATCGGGGCAGCTGTTTGCGTCAGGGCCTGTCTCGTATCGAAGGCTAGACAAGCGACTTGTTGTTTACACACTCGTCTCAGACGACAATATTGCGGCATGCCGACGCTCAGATGCTTCCCAACTTTGGTAGCCAGTCGAACAGTCACATATCATTCGAATCGCTGGTTCGGGGTTGAAGCCCGAGGTGATGGCGTATCTCAGCCGCTCATCTTAGCTGGAGCTGCCGCTGCAGCTATCGTGCGCTGGTCGCCGCGGCTGATTTTACTTCTCTCCAGAGGTTCAATCGGGCCGAACATCTCCAAGCCGGTACTCTGCTTTGCCTGTAGAAAAAGAAACAGAAAGATATATGCAGTGAAGGACTGAGCCTCAGATATACATAAACAAGTATGATTTGTACAACCTCAGTGCTGTCTGTGCGTCTGCCCAGAAAATGTGGAGGCTAAAAGCAAAAAGATTTGTGATATTGGATGGACTGATCAGTTTCTCTTGTGATATCACCAGATGAAAGCCTCAAAACGCTTCTGAGCACAACACAACCAAGTAGATGACCAAGGCAGAAGAAAGCAAACGATTCATATCATTTTTCACGGGACTTCTCTTCGATCCGGAGAAATCCATTCCCACGAACCCAAACATGGAGTTTCCCAGTCGCGGCGTCGTGCCAAAGCAGTCCAACAGCAAAACCCCTTCGCCCATAGAGGCGTGCCAACACAGGCAACAAGCATGAACGCGCACCATCATCACCCAGCGAAACGTAAAAGGATAGGAAAGAGGAACCCCGCCATCAGTCCTCATTGACAAGCAGTAAAGCAACGGCCCATTCCGCCCCAATTCCGTTTCCAATATAAAACGTGGCTGAACCGGAGGCAGCGGGCCTGGAGGGCTGAGATGGCACGATCGTCGCACAGAGCAGGGCTCAGTCATATATTGTGCCACGTAACTAGACGCGCACAAGCATAGCACCAAAGAAGGGAAAATAAAAACACATTTAAAATCCATAATGACAAGGAGAAAAAAACACGAGATAACAATTGGAAAATGAGAGAGCGCGCAGCAAGCAGTGAGTGCCATCGTAAGGGAGGCAATCCAGGAACAGACGGAAGGATCCACACTACCGATGAACAGTTCATCCGTACGTCTGTCTGTCAACGGGGCTCATGGACCAGCCCGCGAGGCATCCACAACGAGGCTCACCAGAAATCACCGCCATTTCATCAACAAAATCTCGATATCAGTCTCACTCAACAACAGGTGGAAAAGCCAGTATGAGGCAAATAAAAAACCTCGCAGTCAAGCAGCGCCGCACCGCCGCCGCCGACGACGACGATGACGCCGCCCTATCTGCAGCAATTACCTCCTCGCTGACCGACCAGCAGGCCCAGCCGGCAGATACACACAGATAGACAGACAGATCGCAAGTTCATGCGTGATGAGTAACACGAACTGAGACCAAACCTAGATTAGCAACGCCATGGGCGCGGCAGAGTGTGTTTCCCGTTTGGGATTAATGCAAAGAAGCACCCACCCACACATCTTACACACATATACACACATGCATCCCAACAAAGCTGCCCTGAATCACCTCTGCTGCGGGCAGGACATAAATCTGACTCTTTGAGTCCGAACCTGACTCTGTGTAATTTTTTTTCTCTTCGGTAGGTGGTGTGTGCGTGCGTACTACGTGTTTCGTGGCTGCAGAACCAAGACCTGCGGGAGGGCCGCCTTCCGGCGCACTAGTGTCCGGACTGTAGAGCTGCCTTTCGATAGCTCCGACACACGGACATACCTATTCTTTTCCCCCTTGTGTGGATATGGGGTCTATCTGTTACTTTCGTTCTGCCTCTCTGTCCTGTCATGATGGGTTTGCTTTGCTTTGCTCTGCTTTGCGCTTAGCCTCAGCTGCATCAGCGCCCTCGTGATCCGTCAGATGGATACCAAAGGCATGAAAAGCGAGCAAGAGAGCGAGCATGTCCCGCTAGCGCGACGGAAGCTTGGGGTGGGTGGCCCGCAGCAACGTTGTCTCCAGCGGATTTCGTCTCGCTTACCTCGCTCGTGACTGCATATGTGCGTGCATGCATGCACGGCAACTGCCTGCGCACCGATGATTTCTGCTATACCCAGCCCGATAATGAGAAAAGGCGTGCAGTGGCGTCGAAGCTAAACCGGGGGTTGAAGGACATGGTCGGTCTGCTAGATGCTGTGCCTGTCGGTCTACCTGGGTAGAGCAGGGTCGGGAAGGCTACTGTAGCGCGGGTCGTCCTGTCAGTTGCGCTCTTGTTCTGCCGCTACCCACCCCCAAAAAGCCAAAAACGGCCCTGGGTGAGCTAGCCCGTCATCCCATCTGCCTAGCTCGGTGTGCCTGAGAGGGATGCTTCCCTGCGTGGGGATGTTGACGAAATCTTGCGATACGAGGCCACACTGGTCCAGACCAGCAATAATTCATTCAATCATGTGCTCGGCGGGAGCATGGTGTAGTTTCGGATGTCCTGTCTGTCAGTGTCAATGACAGATAGGAATGGGCGCGCATAGTCGCCACCCGGGCAGCCGGGGAAGCTGCTGCAACCTGCTTGGCTGACCTATGACCGACACCCTGATGTCCCCAATCCACCCATCCCATCGTCCGCGGCGCCGGGACCTGACCTAGATTGCCACCTGCTTGCTAGGCTACCCTGGTCGGGAAGGATGGCGGAGGAAGCTGCTGTCTCGCAAGTGCCGGCAGGTGGGAATGCAGCGTCGACGGAGCAGCGACCATCCTCGGCTTCACGAGACAAGCAGAAATCCCCATGCCGGCTGCGAATACAGGGCATGTGTTATTGCAGATTCCCATGTCTGCAAGGGCCCCGGCGTCAAGCTGCGTGAAACAGAATTGAATGTTGCTGCTGAGACCTCGTGGGTTAACTTGCTAGTCGAACGACTGGCCAGTGCGTCTTTGGACCCCTCCCACTTTGGTGCGTGTGCGTGTTGTTTCGCGACGTTTCCTCTCCTGCCTGCCCGCTGCGCTCCCGCTGCACACCACAGCCCCGGAGATTCCCAGTCGACCATCCCATCCGATCTATGCACGAGAAACCGTGTGGTCCGGTAAACGGAAAGATCCTCCCCTCCAAGCTTCCCGTCCGCCCGTCCCCCGGATTCTCAGGGTGGTCAAGTCAATGCGGCCCCCGTCGTGAGGGCCACACGATGTGCAGGATGCGCTGAACTCCAATGTCGATTGCCAATACGGGGCCATCTGCCCCCTTCTCGAGGGAAGTCGGAAAGAATGAAGGCTGCCTCCGGCCCTTTCTCGACGTAATTAAACTGTGATATCATCTGATATCATTGTCCCTCGCGTGCTAGCATCGTGTCAAATTCCTCGACGGGGACGGCGACGAGATTGGGCGAGCGAGCAGAGCAAACCCCGCCGACACCCTCTTCAAGAAGCTGATGAGGCTGCAGGTGAGATTGTGCCCAATGCCACCCATGCTTTTAGGGGCGCTAAACACGGCAGTTGATCGACACACTGACCAGCCCACCCCTTGTCCCTTGCCCGCTGCCGTAGCAGTTGACAGCGGCGTAAGAAAGGGCAGCAGGGCAGCGTGCCATCGTGCCAGTAAGTAGACTGCATCATTCCTCTTTTCGGCTGGCCTTCTTGCCCGCGCTACAGCCTTTCGGGGCCCCCTGTCGCTTCTGAGACGCTCCCCTGTGCGAATCATTGCGGTGGGGTCGCATATGGCAGCATATGGCAGCGTTGCTGGGCGTTGACAGGCTCAGATCTTCATGATCCCACGCCTCGACGACGGGGAATATGGGCCCCTGGCCAATCTCCCGAGCATCGGGGGTCAGCGGGATTGGAAATGAGGCTTTCCAAGGTTCCTCCTTCGGGAAACTTTGTTCAAAGGTGTTGCAGTAGCTAGCACTGCCCGTGCTCATTGCAGTAGCCTGGTGTCCACCAGTTCACCGAGACGGGAAGAGGGGGGAGGGGTGGTTCGTCCCTGGGGGCCAACAACAGTCAGCCAGTCAGACTCGATTGGGGAGACCCGCAAGCCCGGATCGTAGCCTGGTCATGGCGGACGGCGACCCCTCGACCCGCAATATCTCATCGCTTCCGCCGAAGTTTGTGTCGACAAGGGCTCCGACCTCGCTATGCCGGGCGTTGGCGTGAGCCATGGGACTCATGAACCTGGGAAAGCCTATCTGGGGCGCAAATTACCTTCATTGTGATGTTCACTCGTGCATCGTCGACGTCCACACCTGGGACCCTTATGCCAGGGGTGGCAAGGCTTGGTGCTGATACCAGACCTGCATGTCAAAACTGTCAGCATCCGCATTAGGAAGGCAATGCGTGACAGCTCGGCCCCGGCCAATGATACCTTTGTCTGGGGCTAGAGATCGTCACTTTATCATCCCAGGTCTCTGGGTCGAGCACAGCACAGTCACTGTCGGGAGATGCGGTCGTATCTGGGAAGTTGATCGAGGTACTGTACATGTCCAGGTTGCGTCCCAACAGCGATTCGATGTTCGCCCTTTCAGCTCCACTAGGACGACAACAAGACTATGATGGATCTCCACGCGACCACGTGCTGTGGTGGAAATCTCCGGCCATCTTGCAAAGTCAAGAAACGCGAGTGGCACGGGCACCAACGCTGCTGGTCGACACCTACCCTCAAGCGACTAAACCCCCTCCTGTACGGGTACTCGATGTCATCCAAGCCAGTTTTCGGCCAGGTCCACACCGACTTCTTCTGAGCTCGTTGATGCACGGAGCAGCCGCCAAGATGACCTGGCGAGAAGAGGTCCACAATGTACGCGTCAACTGTGATCATTAAGTTGTGGCCATGCAGAATCCATTCACGGGCACACACTCTCAGGTACGAGCTGTCATGGTGCAATCTTGTTACGAGATGAGGTCAGTATCGGCGAAGAGGTGAGGTCAAGCTTGACGAGTGGCTTTGGCTATCGAAGGGTGCATCGTTTCCTCTCGGCGACGTATGTCCAAATTGCTTCCCCAGCTTTTTGTAATTGCCGTTCGTAGATGCCCCGGATATTTGAGTTTCAAGTCGACCTTTTGGGACAGGAGCGCTAATCTGGCTGATCATTTGGGATTAGCAGCCAAGGCCTGTTGGTCAAAATTGGATTGTTCTAATGTTTGTGCAATCTTTTGACTTTCGAGCCGCAACGGCGGCCGTGCTCAACCTTGGGTGGGGCTCGACCGATCTTCTCCGAACATGGGACACCGACCACGTTGTTGAGGTCCGCTGTCACGGAGCTTGTTGGAATCTGTTGACCAGGACCCATGACCACGAAATGAGATGGAGAGCGTGTCATCGAAGCGGGTCCCCCTATCCTCTTCTTCCTTTTAGGGAAGTCCATGCGTCCAAATTCTCCCTCCCGTCCGCGAAGAGGATCTGGGGTTGGCCGTGACGCTGATACTGCTTCATCAAAATAGGTCCACAATCAGCTCAGGATGCATATAGACTGAATGCACGTAAGCTGGACTGCGGCCATGGGTGCTGGTGGAGTACCGTATCTCAGCGCTTTGCAGAACAGGCACAGGCTCGGCTCATGCCGCATATGTTTTCCGGTATAGGCTCTGTACCTGTATTCTCACTTTCCCATCTTGGGGACATTGACAGCACAATGCGTTGCGTGAAAATTCGTGTCACGATTGGGGGCCCTGCATGGCAGAATGGTAAGTCGGAGGGGCTAACCATGCAGCCCCGGTCGTCTCGACAGCATGCCGTGACAGAAAGAGGTCCATGTGACATACATTCGCGTCCAGCAGTGACCATGCCCTTTCCTGCCGTTTCGCCAAATTACTCATCCAAAACCAGTAAGCGACATGGCTTGTGCTGGGTCGCGTATTCCAGGAAGGGGAATGGAGCAACGCTGGGCAGATGAGCGGATGAGTTAATGCACCTTTTTGGGCCTGGGCTCAGTTGCAGGAACGTAAGGGTCTGCCTGCTTTCACATTCATCTCCCTATGGTCCCATCGCCATTTTAGCACAGTATGCCTGGGAGTGGGCTTTGGTGCACCGTGATGTGGTTGTCCTTGGAAGAGGCCGCCTGTAGCAGATGTGGTCATTCTAATCGTCCTCCCTTGTAATAGTGTGACGTTGAAGGTAGTACTGGGACATGTGGTTGGTATCCGCCATGCTGGGTTGCTCCCCCAGGGCTCAAACACACACCAGCAGATCGCAATGGAGTTTTCTTGGAAGGCTGGCAGGTTGTACGCGGGGGTGGAAGCGTTCCGCGAGCTCAGTGGCAAGCGGAAAGGACAAGGGTTGGCAAGGCGCGCTGGGTGCACCGGGTGAGCAGGTAGCTCTGCCACGGCACCGCACGGTCATCTACAAATTTTGTCTGTAAATTCGATGGCTTGGCAGACGGCTTGCCTGTGTCGGCGGACTGGCGCTGCCTGCGGTAATCCGTGTGGGATGAGGCGCCAGGATGTGATGGCTGGATTGGGACTGTTTCCGCTGTCATTGGCCTGATGCTGGGGGAGGCGTAGCACCAAAGCTTGGTTTGCCTGTGGACTTGAGGGCCCCTCTCTGATGGTGTTATTCCCGGATGCTGTGCTCCCGTTGGCACCAGCTTGTAGGCACCCACTCCCACTCCCACCGCTACTTACAGGGGCAGAGGGGCAGCCGCCCATGCTAAGCAGAATCGCTACCAGTGTTTGCGTCGTAGGACTGGGACTGGACTGTCGACAGAGAGTGGCCCACCGCGCTCAACTCCGGCCATTTTCTCCCAATGAGCAGTCAGGGCTGGAACAGAGAATGTGGATGCAGTTTCTCGTGTGAGGGGGGCGTGATCTGTTAGTGTCAAGCGTTTGTCCTGCTGCTTCCGTCGTTATTCGAAGGCTGGCAAAGGGGGGCAAGCCGATATGGCTGCCACGAGCGACGGAGCGGACGAGAGGAAGGGAGGCCACTGTGATCCGTGACAGCAGCGCGGTAATAATCCCTCGGTACCACATAGCAAGTCCCTCGACAGCGTGCGTGGAGCCGTGTCGCTGTCGCTGATGCGGCTGAATGGAGTGACGTATGTATCCATGGGACTCAGTCGCAAATCGCGGGAGATGGCCAACCCACCACACCAGACCGGGGGCCGGCGACTGTGGGCGGTCTGATATCTGATCCGCCTGCCTCGAGATTGAAATCGAGCTGAGTACTGCGTGGTAACACGTACTGCACTGTGTAGGGGTGGCTTCGTCCCGCTTGGTGGTCTCTGCTCTCCCTGGCGGCCTGGCGGCCTGGCGGCCTGGCAACCTGGCAGTGCATGGGTGACGACGATGTGCTCTCAATCCAGTTCTCAGTCTGACGCTGGGGCCAGTCGAGGAGGAGGAAGAGGCTGTATGGCATCATAGGGCAGGATAGACGAGATGAAGGTCGGCACGGCACATTGCAGCATTGCAGGTAGGTGAGGCCCAGTGCTGCAGGATTCACTCAGCCTGACGGCACCAAGAGCTGAACAGACCACATGTACTGTTACTGTAGTAGTGCTGGGCTTTCCGTAAGAAGCGCACCACTTGCGCGGGGGTCCCGTTTGGTGAGGGAGGTGAGAAATTCAAGCAAAAGCGGGAGACTACTACGTCAGAGGGAGCACACACAGGACGCAGCACGCACCCAAGATACTGGATGACTCGTGCGGCAGGGGCCATTGGGTTGTCTGCCGTGTCACGCAACGCCTTGTTCCTTCCCGTGCCAGTCCCGTCCCAATCCCAATCCCAATCCCAATCCCAATCCTAAGGCGCATCCTAAGGCGCATCCGACCCGGGGCTCAGGTGGGCTGCTGGGTTGCTGGGCAGGCCAGGCAAGGTGAGGGAGGGGGGAGTGGAAGCTTCTCTCCCTGTTGTCTTCTTGATGATTGGCAAATTAATTCACCCATCGATGGCGGCAGCAGCAATACCACCCGGAAGGACGTCAGAGCGGCTTGGCATAGAGTTTGGCCCTGACCTTGAACATGAACATGAACATGAACATGAACGTGAATGAATGAGGGCAAGCAGTGCGGAGGCACATGAGCAGCCTACACCTCCATTTTACCACTGGCTACGTAATATAGTACCCGACTTGGCTAGCCTCACGCCTAGTTTTGCTGCCCCGTGCGTACCTGCCTTGCATACTTCGGGAAAGAGCTCACCCAGCCTTGCCCGTTTCAGCGTCACAGCCCTGCGAACAACTTTCGTTGTCTGGGAGAAGGTTTTCGTGAGGGGGGGGGGGCTTTTGGTATCGAAGAGGGGGGTAGAGTGGATGGGCGGGTGCGCATGCAGACATGCAGCCATGCAGACGCACGCAGCACAAGACGAGACGAGACGAGGCGGGCAACAACCATCCGGTTGCCCGTCTCGTCTGCTCTGTTCTGCTCTGCTCTGCTCTGCTCGTCCTGACGATGGGCGGTGTCAAAGTTACCAAGAATGAAGGAATGAATCCGTCATGTCATTGCGGTCTGCAGTTCTCGATGCAGTACCAGCACCAGCACACATATTCCTACATTAGCGCCGTATGCCATCGTCGTATTCTAGGAGAAGAGATGACGGCTTTGCTCCGCCTTGCAGTCTTACAGTCTTACAATTTTTGTTCAGTGCATTTCAGCTCTTGCTGTCTCTTGGGGTGGCTGGCTCTATCTGTCTGCCAATTGGGACAGCCAGACAGCGTGATGTCAGTGGAGAAGGTTCACGATCAGGAGTCCACTCCACCTCCACTTCACCTGCTCACCTTTCGCCCTCGCCCTCGCCCTGTCGCCCTGTCGCCCTCACCCTCACCTCAGCCGCTCCTTCCCGCATCATTCCTGTTCCTGGCTGGGGCACCCTCAAGGAAAGGGGTGGGGGGAGAGACGGAGACCGTATTTGATCCGTGCTTGACCGTCTCATCAACGCCGGCAGCAAAACAAAATGAGGTCTCCATCTCCCCAGTCGTCTGATGCGAGAAGGGTCTTGTCTTGCAATTCGGACTCAAAACACTTGACATGCATGCAATGCAGTCCAATCCAATCCAAATTGTGCCTATTGTTATTTTTATATCGCTGTCCACCCGCGCTCCACACCCGACTGCTCATGTGTTGCGCAGGTGCCGGCCTCATCTGATTCAGATTCAGTCGACATTTCTCAGACCCCCCCCCTGCCACCCTGGTCTCCTCTCGGGCCCGCCTCTCCTTCGCGCTTCCCTTGCGTTCAACGTATCGGTACGAAGCGTATCCTTCCGCAAGGGGGGGTCGGGCTCCACTCGCTCACAAGAGCCGAGCCCACCGCCTGCTCCGTTTGCACCATCCTCGAGCATGGCGCATTGCGTGTATCTTTTCCCCTTGCTACATCTGCTTGTTCCTCCGACTTGGTTCATGTCTCGGATTGTGATATAGATTCAACATGGAATCTTGCGACGTGGGACTCTACACTCAAAAATCGTACATACACTAGAGAATTTCCAAGTAGCTGTAGCTGTAGCTGTGGCAGTAGCAAGAAGCAGGCATGCGCTCTTAATGAGAAACAAAGAATGCACGGTCATTTAGACGGTACTGTGCAGTAGCGCATGTGCCATGTAGACTCACTCGTGCCACCACCTGGTCCTCACTCTGGGCGGAGACCACCTTCCTGCTGTCCCCAGCCCCCTTTCTGGCTTTTCCCCAGACCAAGAGACTTGCATCTAGCACACGCACACACGCCCGCACGGCTTGGACTTGGACAAGTCGCACCTAATCAGCATCGCTTCGCTTCAATCGCATCGCATCCCATCGCATCAGTGGCGCCTATTAGCCTAGTTTGGTTGCGACAACAGCCGAGACAAATATGAGATTGGCTTGAGCAATGGCCGTTTGATTGTTATCATTTCGCCGTCAAGCGCATTTCGAGGTGATATCATCCTCGAGGTCCCCGGGATGAATCCTCCCTTGCAGCCCCGGAGCAACCTGGAGCACAGGCATTTGTTGAAGCAAATGTCCTCTTCTGGTAAGACCCATCTTGTCGAAATTGAGGCCCATCTTGAAAGGGAAGCATGTGGGTCATGGCTGTCCCTTGCCTCCTCCCTTCCATCTCCATCTCCAACTCCAACCAGAGGAAGGGACTCGACTGATGAGTGAGTGGTACAGTATCTTGTAGACTGACAAGAGACGTCGTGTGGCGACTGAGAAACGGCCAACAAATTCAGCCCAGCTCAACTCAACCCAAACCAACCCACCTCAACTCAATTCGGGTCAGTCCTGCCATTTCAGTTCAGGTCAAAAAAAAAAACTCAGACACGACGTTGAGGGTCAGACTCGTGTCGTCCCGAGTCTCTCAACCCCCCGCCATGCGAGTCTGCCCCAGTACAGCACCACAGTCACGCACGCACGCATTAAGAGAGAGGTCTGTACACAGCGCCCTCTACGTACAGAGAGGGTCTCCATCACCAAACAAGCACCAACCCCCCACCCACCACCAAGACTAATGCAACCTCAATGAGGCCCACACCAACAATTGAAGCGCGACATCTCCAGTTTATCTCCACACTGGTTCTGCCAGGGTGCCCTGTCCTCCCTGCCGTCGACCCTGTGTCCTGTGTGTGCCGGCCCACACCACCAATTGACCGACGACTTGCCTCATCTCGACAGACACACGCCCCCCCCACACACCTACGTTACCTTTTCTCTCTCTCTCTCTCTCCCCTCTCTCCCCAGTCAGTCAGTCAGTCCCAATTCCAGTCGTCCCAATCAAAACCCCCTCGAGCATTTCTGCCTGTGTGTTCCCACCCCCCATCCCATCCATCCATCCCCAATCCATCTGGCTGTCTGGTTGGCCCCGGCTTTTGCTGCTTCTGCTTGTGCAGCCAGCTTGCATATGCTGCTAGTCCGCGATAGTCCAAGCTCCCTGTCAACGGCTGGCCTACTACGGCACAGTACGAAACCCCTTGGTTTGGATTGGCTTGGTCCGTGAGGCGACGAAGCGTGTGCGTGAACGAACCTGGGGCGTGTGCGGTGACATGGTGTGTGGTGTGTGGTGCGTGGGCGTGTGTGGTGTTTTTTTTCTTGTGTAGTGGTGCTCGTCCTCGACACTGCCCTTGACCTTGCCCTTGACTGCCCTTTGACGCTACGCTACATTGCTCCGGTACATGTCCTCGCTCGCCGCCAGCCAGCCAGAGCACAGCGCAGCACAGCACCGGCACCAGCGCAACTTAAGTCACGGCGGCGAAAAAGAGTAGAGCCAAGAGCTGGCAATACCTGACCTCGCTTTTGCCTTTCATCATAGCTCCCTCCCCTCAATCAGAGCGCACTCCCGCCCGAAACCTTTATGTAAAGCTTGGCCCGCCGACGGTTTTTCGCCTCCCCCATCATTGTTGAGCAAAGCAGGCTGCTCTTCTGTCATCACATCTAATCTGAAATTCCAACCCAGCTTGAACATCTCTCTGCCGGGTGATCATCTCTCTCTCAAACAGCTAGCTTTGGCACTCCAATTTTCTCCGTGCTATTGTATCCCGGGAATCCCAAACAGAGACACAATAAGATCGGCTTTGGAACTTTCGCACGCACGACCACCGCCGATCACAAGGAGACGCAGCATACTACTCGTCCGTCCCTCTCACATCTGCGCAGCACTGGCAGATACAGTCAAGATTCGCCAAGACGTCACGTTGGCAGCTGTGCTGGGAAGACACCAGACGTTCGACGTCCACACAGTATCAAAATTGCGCTGCTCCACGCCCATCTCCCATCTCTCACCCACGCATCCTCCGAGTGCGTGTGTGTGTGCGTGTGTGTATGTGCGTCGCTGCACAGCTACAACTAGTACATCGCAGAGGTACTCGGGCTCCACGCTCCTCGCTCCACGCGGTATCAAACTGTACCGGTACAAACCTTGGAAGCAGGGGAAAAGAGTGTGGTGCTCTTCGTCGTCCATGACTCTCTCCAGTTCCCCACGCATACTCGAAGATTATCATCCCAAACTCCCGGCTCCTCCCAGGCTTGACCGCCCGCCGATCTTTGTCCTTTCTGTTCAACAACGCCAAAACCGCCAGCCCGCCCAAAATTGAACACCAATTGCTCCCCAATCTCAGCCCTGGCACTCGCCTGTCCCACCTTTCACACGGCCCTATCTCCTGGTCCTTGTCTGCCAGGTCTGCCTGCCTGCCTGCCCAACCCCATCCCTGCTGGCAACTCTCAACCTCCTTTTCTCAGGACGGCTCCTTGTACCGCCGATCTCTTCTCTCTGCTGGAGTCGTCACAGGCCCGCTGAAGACGTGTGTCCCCACCAGTCCCGCGCACCAGCAGCAACCAAGACACAACGTTCGGACGAGCCTTTTGGGTCCAAACAACCGATTGGCTCCATCGCGCTAGTCCTCACCTTGCACAGGGGCCACTGTCTCTCTGCCGTCTTGTCATCCTCCAAGCTGGTTCCCTCGCGGCACACTTAAGGTCGCTGATCCCTCCGTTCTCGAATATCTCGCGTGTGCGCTGGATCTCCAACCAGTCTGATCGCTTTCAAGGGAAGAAGGTAAAAGTCTTCAGTCTCCCATCAAGGTGACACGGCTTTGAATCCTCCCACGGAATCCCGCATCTGATCAGCAAACCTTTTTTTCTCTTTCGCACCTTTCCTACCTTGACACAAGTCCCCCCCACCCCCTTCCCCACGAAGGACGAACCCACGCACGACGAGACGTGAGCAAGACTGCACCTTTCCGGCCAGAAGAGGACCATCTTGCCTTGACCAACATCTTGAGCTCGTACAACGCACAAGAACAACGGTCCAACATGACGATGACAATAGACGCCAACCAGCAACGATACGGACATCTTCAATTCGATAACATGTCTTCATACCCCACCCACTCGCCGCAATTCAGCAATCCTTGGGCAGCGTCCACGACCGCCCCTTCGAGCCACGCCTTGTACGTGGCATCGCAACCCGGACTGGCTTCCAACCCCATGGGCCTGGATCGCCACGCGCAGCAGCCGCCGTCCCGGGCACCAGCCACTACTACTGCGCCTCTGGCCCCGTATGGCTCTGTCCCGGTGACTTCAGCTTCAGCAGGCAGCCCTCTCAGTATGGTGGACCCTTCCCTTGCAGGAGGACAAACGGACTTACTTTCTCTTCCCCAAGATCTCCTCAGCATCAACCGTATGCCTCATCCTAGCTCTGCCCCCTCGTATGCCGAGTCTGCCTACACGACGGCTGCCTCGCCAGTGCATGCTACGTACGCTGCGTCGCCGACCAGCTATGACGGCATGGGATATCCGTCTTCCTCCGTACGACACAACTTTGGTCTTGCGCCCGAAGCGGATCCTCACAGAAGGTATTCCCAATCATCAGTCTCCTCTGGCGCATCCTACGATCACCAAGTCGATGGCCTGCCTCCAGTGCCCAGGAGCTCACTTGTTGACTTTCGAACCAACAGAGGTATCAATGACGACCGACGAAGCTTCCAGGACGCAATCGAGGCGAGCCACGGTATGCTCTCCATGAAGTTCGACACTAGCAACCAGGAGACGCCCCGCGCGGGTGTCTACAACAACCGCGGGGCCCGTGGTTCGGCCGATTCGTACGGATTTCCTTCGGCCCATTCGACTTCCTCCAGCGTGTCCTCGACAGGCTTCAGCCCGTACTATGGATCTGTTGACGGAAGTGTCAGCGACTACTCGACAGCTGGCTCCGACATCGAGTCTGTAGGAGGCTCCAGGACGCTTCCGCGCCCTCAAGGTCTGATGCCCAACCAGCCTCCAGCACCGCAATCCATGATGGGACAATTCAGCTCCAAGGTGTCTAGCAGCACTCAGAAGAAGCACAAGTGCAAGGTCTGCGACAAGCGCTTCACGAGGCCCAGCTCATTGCAGACTCACATGTACAGCCATACAGGGGAGAAGCGTAAGTACAAACCCCACTGACGCGCTCATTGCTGGAATATTCGAATCAGCCGGTTAACAATTTGGGTGCAGCTTTCAAGTGTGAAGTGGAGAACTGTGGTCGCCATTTCTCAGTTGTCTCGAACCTCCGAAGACACCGAAAAGTGCACAAGGGCGATGCTCGATCTGACGCCGGCAGCGAGGATCACCAATCTGATTAAGAGGATTTAGGCCCACGACACGCTCCACGGGCTATCCCAATCGACTCTAGATCCGCGACTGTACATTATGCGACCTCAAGAGCCTCACGTCGACTGAGTCGACGAGCGGCTCCACTTCTCTTCTTCGTTCGCGCATCGCCAGTTGGGCCGATAGATTTACCGCCTTCTAATTCTCATCATTCGCTGTCTATACCCTTTTTTATGATTCGTTTTCAGCCTTTTTGGTCAGGTCATGAGCATAGCCGACACGGGTGCATCGGCAGGAACTTCTAAGAGCTGGGTCGCGTCGTGCATATCATCCCGGAGTGTGGGATGGGATCTGGGAGCGGCAAAAAGTTGCATGTTTCAAAGTTGGGTCCAGAAGATTTATACCCGGTTGTTCGAACGAGATTTTCGGTCGTTTTCGGCACTGCATTCTTCGATTCCACGGATGGCGGGTGCCTCGCAAATGGATGGAGCGACAGCGGGCTCCATCCGACTAGAGCGAGCGGACGCGGGGCGCGAAGGGTCGGCCCGACGACACATCGAGCAAGTTTTAGACCGGCCATCGACTCTCGACCAGCAGCAGCACATCCAAATTTCTATCGGTCGCTATCGCTCGCCACATCAGCTTCGGGCAAATTTACTCTTCCCTGCCTGGAGCCATATCACTTTTGCGGAGCGATTCAAAATATTCTGCGGATACTGATCCCTGGGCCCTCCATGATGGCAGACCAGGGTCAAAACACTCAGATGGTCGGGTTTTATACCATTGAGTGAAACGGCGTTCACGGCTTTTGTTTTTTGTTGCGTTTGTTTTTACCTGGCGGACCAGCCTCGGTGTCGGATCATGTTTTGTTTACTGGGCGGGGGGAAATACGGTCACGGTCTGGGTCCCATCTCTGAGCCGGCGTTGCTCAATGTCTATCGCTTGATACCACCAACCAACACACAACCCACCTAATGTCTTTCGCTTATACATCGATACCTGGAGCCACTCTCACCAGACGCTCGCTAATTACTACACTATATACATTTATTGTATTTTACGGTCGCTACACGGAAACTGGAGGCAGGAAAGCGGGAAATACACCGGGAAATGGGAATCTAGAAGTCTCTGTGAATCCTCCAGGGGGAGGATTTTTACCAAAGGAGAGGGAGCCACCAGCACGGAATTGGGGAGGCGGTTGGGCGGAAGGGGCGGCGAAGGAGTTGGCTTTCTGGCTTTTGATTTTTTTTTCCCTCGGTTCTCATTTTCTGTGCGGATGATTTCCTTGTACCTGGTTCTATCTACCCTCTTCCCCCTCTTCCACCCACTGATGAACTGTGCGGTTCGAGATCTGGGGGGGAATACTGAGGAGAGAGAACAACTCTATCAATCACAATGTACTACTAGCTGAGCGAAAGAAAGTTTTGAGTCTGCGACGAGGCTTCTTCTAAGGCCTTGTTCAAAATAAAACTTCTGTCGAAAGAAAACTTCAAAAAGTGTGCTCGTTGTATTGCATTGAGTGAAATCCTGAGGACCATTGGACCCAACTCAGCTCTCAGCTCAGCTCACCCATTAGTCAGGTATAGACGCAGCAAAGACCTGAGCTGTGCGCGCAAAGTGCGAGAAGACTAGACTATTCTATTCTCGCAGCAAAAAAACTCAAAATCTCGTATTCCACTTTCGGATATCTTGTCATCCGGAAGCAGCTTGGCCTGATCAAGCTGATCTACAAAATAATTATACAGTGTGCTTACTTCATCTCATCTTTATGTAGATAGTACGTAGGAAGCAGTGTTCCGAGCGACCAAATCAAACATCGCAGGAGCAAAAGATCACCAGCGCCCCCAATATGGCAAAACAAAACTCGTGATCTGCCTACTATGGCAGGCAGGCAGACATGCCTGCCTGCCTGCTGGAGAAAGAGAAATGCTTCGGCCGGCGTGTAGCGGATCGACAACGGATACAGCACGTGGTTCACGTGGATGGGGAGGGCGCGGGACGGGGGTGGCTTGTGGGAAGCCGGTGGTGTCCCGTTTGTTGCTGATCATCTCGTCTCGTTTCGGCCGTCTCGTCTCCTCACTGCGCCCCAACCGCTGCCCTGCCAAACCCACACCTTCGCCGACGACGATCTCTCCCAAGTCACCGACGACGATCTTAAAACAAAGCTACGCCCTATAAGCTGAGCAAAGGGGCAGAATGAATTTGACTTCCCAATTGGACCATATGCCAAGTCAGGGTCAATGTCAATCATGTAACCCCAGGCGGGCAGGACGAAGCCCGTTCGTCCTGTCTACAGATTTACAATTGCGCTAAGGTCACACTATAATCACAATGGCTAGTCACGGGCTGCCCATCGGATCCAGCTCGGTGGGATGGGAACCAAATTAAGCGCCTGTGTCCTGTGTCTGATTTGCTTATTCGGGTCCTAGGCAAGGCTTAAATATAATTGATGTTCATCATGCATGCCATCGAGTAGGCAGGTGGTAGCAGCACTGTCAGTTGAAGCCACTGTACGGGTAAGTGGCTAGGTTTGACATGAAACACCACCCCGGTCCAACGATAGCGATCTGCAATATCGGGTTCCCTCAACCACAATTTGTTGTGGTCGGATTGGGCCGTTAGAGAGGAAGCAAGCAAACACATGATCATGGCCTGACCTGACTACATCAAAACTCAAAGTTGCTTTGAGCGGCACTGCCGCGCACGAGAGGACGCGAGATAGAGAGAGAGGGAGCAGAATAGCGGTTCACGGTATGCAGCAGGGCACGACCCAGCACGCCATCCAAAATCTTCCCCGAAGACGTACGGATATGGAATGTTGTCGTCAGCTCTGGGCAAGCACAGACAACCCGGACCCCATTGCTCGCCCATTTCTGATGCAGTGCTCCCAATGGACTTGGGACGTGTCAGGGAGATGACAACTGATACATCCCATCAAAGACCGGCCGGGTCATCAAATCATGCTCAAGTGCACGATCTCTACTCCACGCACTCCACGACGGCAGAGAAGCAGGTGGTGCATTGCAGTTGCTGGTGGCTGTAACAGACACAAGGCCGCCCGGGGCTTTGGGAGTCACCGTGCTCCCTCGCGCGTCGCTGATCACTGCCAGTTTACCTGGTTTCCGCCTGTCCCCTGTCCGTGATCAGCCCTTCACATGTGCTTAGGACATGGCTACTGGGTTGGATCCCAGAGGCCTTGAAATTTGCAGGGCGAAGAGAGTTGTTCTCCACACTTGGACATGAGAAGGGGCAAGGTGACTCGCCAATGGGTGACTGCGGAACCAGCCAGAGGCAAGGGTACCGATGGGTATCAGAATGGACGTTCCGGTTATGGATGGGAGGGGATGACGGGAGGCGATGTGGGTTTTACTCAGCACTAGGAGAAAAACCTGCGACCGGTCTGCCGGTTGGTGCAGTGTCATGGAGGGAAGAAGGGACATGTCAGCAAACAACGAACGCTGATTGTCAGGTACAAGGGGCGAGGATCGAGAGATCAGAGCAAGACTGCTCTCCCACATGCTGAACATGCTAGAGCAGATGAAAGGAGGAGAGCCAAGCACTGCCGCACCAAATATAGAAAGGAAGTCCTAACCTAATCGCCAGTGCTTGCCTGCCAGATAGCCGGTGGAGCGGACTACGACTCCGGATGAAGGAAGCTCCAGGAGGACACGTGAAGAACAAGGCAGAACTTCCATGTCGTGCCGGCCACTATGCTGCTACTGACGCCAGATGGGTTTGGGGAGGCGCCGCTCCGGCGTGACTAGTGGTGTTCGGCGGAACTAGGGCCGATGATCATGGCCGAAAACCGCAGCACCAGGACAGTAGCAACGGCGGAAGAGACCCCGGGCTCCAGAGGGCTTGTTTCGACCAATGCTCTGCCAGGTACGTGACCCGAACCACGGCTTGATGGCGCATGTGGTTGAGGCCCGGCGTAGCATCCGGCGCCGCGGGTGGGAGGGGAAAAGGTGAAGGATGGTGAGGATGACGATGATGATGATGAGGCAAGACGTTGCGTGGCCATGCGACCACGGAACGGGTCCCGCAGTGAGGGACATAATTGTTAGCTGGCTGTGTGCCCCGCGCAGGCGCGAAAGGATTGAGGGCATAGGTTGGCTGCTCTGGTGGTATACAGTCCCAAAGTGGCATCGTGTGTCCGGGTCGATAATGTCATCTCTTGGTGGCCATCCGGTCCGGCAAAGCAAGAGGGTGACATTCCCCACCCCCTCGGGGCGTCCCCTGCAAACTTGAAACATGCTTGGCCAACGGCAGTGGGTTCCCGAGGCGGACAGCTGTGTTTATCGCTGCCAGGGTGGGAAAGGGCTCGATAACACATTGGTGAGATGGCTGTCGATCGGCTGCCGCGATGGCACCGGGAAGAGCAGCCAAGCAGGCGAAGCAACCAGGCTGCAGCCATCGCAGAGATGTGGGCCTCGCAAAGGGGGAAGGGAAAGGGGTCGGAAGGAGATGCTCTGGGCTGGCTGATTGGCCAGAGAGACAGCATGGTGGGAGGAAGCTGACCTCGAGGCGAAGGAGGCGACGCCGGCCGGGGAGTCTGATTGGGTTGGTGAACAGTCAAACAGGCAACACGTGAGCGTTGTATGATGGGGGCAAAGGCTGCTGGGCTGCTGGCTGGCTGCTGGGCTGCTGGCTGGCTGCTGGCTACTGGGGGGGCAAAGGGGCCGATTGGGTTCTGAGGACCCTGGAGGATTAAGCGATAGGAGGCTGCAGTATAGATTTGATTGCGCCGAGCATCTTCGGCTACGCCTTCTCCGCGGTGCTGTGGCTTGCGAGATTTGTTTCTTTGTTTTGGGACAGCGGATGCAACGCTATTTTGGCCAGCAGGGCGTGCGTGGCAGCCGTGGTTGGCTGGGGGTAGAGCAGCATCGATACCCGCCGCGGGAGATGGCTCGCAGCCAACAAACAACCTCGGTGGCAGGCTGGCAGGCTGGCTGGCAGGTGGGTTGTGCTGAGATGTGTTGCAGGCAGTATCGCCGTCCACGTTGGGCCTCTTGTTTGGAGGGCTGAGTGGATC